GTGTACTTGTGGCGGCCCAAATTGGGGCTCAGCAGATATATATGTCCCCCACTTTAAGAAATGTATAAGAAGAACAGTCTCTTTGATCTCCTCTCCTTCTCTGTTTATTACCCAGCAAGCCATCTATCTTCGCATACAATGTCCGATACCGACTCCTACGATCTCGTCAGCTTTGCCTTCAACGGCCCATTCATACACAGCAAACGACCACCAATCTTCATAGACGCCAGAAACCCTTCTCGCGCGCTCAGTGCAGGGCCGTTTAAGCGACTTGTCTGCTCACTGATTGCCGGGTTCAAGGCTCATCATGTTCAGGTAGGCGACTGCGTGCTTGTTCAAATGGACAATTATGTACAACTACCCTTGGCGTCTCAGTGAAGGCTCATCTGACTGATGCTAGATCCTTCATTCCGCCGTCTATCTTGCAATCGTTGGTGCTGGGGCGTCTACATGGGCTGTAGCCCTACGTCTTCACCCCACGAGCTCGAGCATTTTGTGAAGCTGTCTGATCCCCGAATCATTTTGACGGCAGAGAGCACCCTCGCCATGGTTCGAGACGTGTGCGAGTCTTCGTCTCCGCCGCGTCAAATCTGCCTTGTCACCGAGACTGCTATCGATGAGCTCATCACTTTCGCAAATGAAGATACCAACCACCCTCTGCCTTCGGCAAACAAAGAAAACATAACAACCGAGTCAGTGTCAGAATACCAGCTCACTGCACTAGTAACCCACGGATCAACCCCCTGGCTTCGTATCCCCACAGTCGAAGTGGCCAAATCGACCCCCGCAGCAATGTTCACCACCAGCGGTACAAGCGGGCTTCCCAAAGCAGCGATTCGGACGCACCATACCATTATTTCGCACCACCTGACCGTCCATTACACCCCTCCTTACATCTCCGACCAAGGTCTAGACGCAAATCCAAGCCCGATTCGCCGCCTGCTTGCCCTCCCTGCCTACCATTCGTTCGGCGACTTTTGGAATAACCTCTTCCCCTTGCGCTACGGTGAGCCGCTGTACATTCTGCCGCGATTCGACCTCGCCGAATTCATTACGGCCGTAGAGCGGTTCCACATAACCGAGACCTATCTCGTCCCGGTGGCGGTGCAGATGATCGCTCAGGCGGCTAAGACTAATCGGCGAATGCGGGAGAGCCTCGCGTCGTTACGGTATATTGGAGTGTCAGGTGCGCCAGTGGATGCGGCCTCCTTGCAACGATGCGAGGAGGTCTTGCATGCAGATGCGTGTGTGAGTCAACTGTGGGGAATGACGGAGGTCGGGGTGGTTTTTCAGAATCGGTATGGGGATCGGGCCTATCCGGGGAGCCTGGGGACTCTGCTGGAGGGGTATGAAGTGAAGCTTGTTGATCCAACGGGGGATGATGTGGTTGGGTGGGGGAATGAAACAGGACATGCAGGGCAACCAGCGACAGGGGAACTCTACATTCGCGGCCCAGGGGTCTTGTCCGGATATAAAGGGCGGAGTGACGCAGTTGTGGACGAGGAAGGGTGGTTTCCCACAGGCGATATGGTGTACGAGAAAGATGGGCACTGGTTTATTGTGGGTCGAACAAAAGAGCTGATCAAGGTGAGAGGGTACTCGGTAGCGCCGGCGGAGATTGAGGCGCTACTGCTGGAGAAAGAGGCGAGGATAGCAGACGTGGCAGTCCTAGGAGTGAAGACAGGGGATGGTGAAGAGGAGGAAGCGCCCAGGGCGTACGTGGTTCGGTTGAAAGGGGAAGGCAGTAAGGGGGCGATGCAAGGGGAGTAACCGAGGAGCAGATCTGCGCGATCGTGCAGCAACATCTGGCCAGTTATAAAGCTTTAGAAGGGGGCGTAGTCTTTGTCGATAGCATTCCGCGAACAGATATTGGGAAGCCAGCTCGGTCGAAGCTGGCTAGATTGGATCGGCAGCGTGAGGAGTTGGCAGGCTTGCTCCGGGCGAAGTAGAGAGAATCTAATAGTGTTGAAAAATATAGAGACCCTAGTCTGATAGGAATCGTCCGGCCACCTTTTTAGCCTAGTGGTATTATATTTCAATAAATAGTAACTGTAGAGTATAGACGACTGTGGTATATAAACGCGACGCTATTTATGTTTACAGATCACATACGCCGCCTCATCAAAACTTTTGCCTGAGTATCCACCAAGGACACCTCATCGATCATCGTATTTTCCGGTCGGCACTTTCCATCAGGCAAGCGGAATTCATACCCGACCAGAAAATGTGCCAGGATCATCTTGATCTCGTTGGCAGCAAAGAACCTACCCGGACAAGCGTACTTCCCATGGCCGAAGTGAAGACTTGTTTGGTCTGTGGTGGCAAACTGATGTCGGTGTGTCTCAGCAGGACGGGCCCGACGCCGCCGTGAGTAGCGATATCCATCGAATTCTGGGTCGTAATCTGCTTCCTTTGTAATATCTGCAGCTGGTACCGCGAGATGCGTCCCTTTGGGGAGAATTGTGCCGTCAGAGAGGGTGAGATCGCGCATGACGATGCGTTGGAAGCTCACTAACTGGGGGTTAGGCGGCGGTTACTTTACGCTCTAGGAGAAGGTAGGGGACAACGAACGTAGAGCTGGCGGATTCAAGCGCTGAACCTCCTTGATAAAGCTGTCGAGGTCCCACATCTTGGTCAGAGTCGTCTTCCTGTATTCACCGCCATCTTCTGCGACGGCCTGAAGGACCTCACAACGCAAGGGGTCAACATAGTCTCCATAGACACATAGATCGTATACAGCCTGAGTTGCCGAGGCGGTGGTTGTATGGATGGCTGCAAGACTGAGGATGAGCTGACGGTGTGCGAGTTTCTCGGGTCGACCATCAGGCGGGTTAGCTTTATCCATCATCCACTGGAGTAGATCAGCCGGTTTCTCATCGCCTGGGTTCCCGGCTTGGTGAGCACGTCGTTCGCGAACCAGGGAGCCGATGATTTGGTTTGCCGTACCGAGGCCACGGCGAATAGCCCAGTAGCGAGGAATAATAGGAGCGATGAGCGGGCGCATCCAGCGTGGAAAGCGGCGGAGGATGGCCATGGTGAGGAAAACATCCCCAGTGAAGTGAATAGAAAGATTGAGCCATTCTTCGTTACGACAGGTGGGAAGCCCGACGAAGATACGAGCGGAGATGCGAGCGACGATGCGGAGAATGACATCGTAGATACAAACGGGAGTCCAGTCGTCCACGGTGAGATTGCTGGGCAGCTCGCGCGCGAGTGCAAAATCCAGCTCGGATTTGACAGCGTGAATGAGATTCCCAAGACGGGGGGTCAGTTCAGTCTGCAAAACGTGGGTGTGTAGGATTCCCTCATCCAGGATGTCGATGGTCGAATATCTGCCGAGAAGGTTCTAATCCAGACCGAAAGGTCAATGAACAATTTGGACAAGAGGGAAATATGAGGGATACCTTCATATGTGCCTTGATCGCACTGAGCTGCTCATCTGGCTTGGAGTGTAGTTCATCGACAAAACGGGTGGGAATGGCCAGAATGTCGGTGTCGACGCGTGCTATCCTGAACATGCCATTTTTATATTGTCGACATCCCTGCTGGATATGATGGAGGGCCTCCTTCGAGAACCGAAGTCCGACAAGCCAGCGCGGTTCCCAGCGAGAGCGAAATCCTACAAATGGAGCTTGCTGGCGAGGGGAGAAGACTAACTTCTGCAGTCTATACCCTATTAGAATGCTAAGCAAAATAAGACTCAATTTCACGAGGGAACTCGGCCTTTGGAGCCAGGGATAGGTGTAGAACAACTCCATGATATTCCGTGTCCGTGAAGGTGGTCCATGACAAAGAACTAGCAAGTGCTGTGAACTATATATAAAGCAAAAAGGACAGGGCTGCAAGGGGGTCCTGTCATGCCGACTTCAAGGCCAGCTCATCCTCCATTCTGCAATCCCTTACCGTCCACACCGGCACTCCATGATACCCACACCAACTCCGCCACCCAACCATCTTCTGCGCGAGCGGCGTCATTCCTTCCAGAAGATCTCTGGGCAGGTCGACATGGGCCTCCATGGGTGTGAAGTGCGCTGGATGCATAGTCACACTCAACCCGCGCCGGTTCTCTGTTGACCGATTTTCCCCAGCGCCGTGCCATACGCTACCTAAATACAGCACGGCATCACCCGGCTGCATAAGAGCACCAACGGTATTCTCAGGCACTGCGCCTGCAATTTCCTCCGGGCTCCAGCGATGACTTCCGGGAATCAACCTCGTCGCACCGGTGTCCTCCCGGAACTCGGTAAGAGCGATGAAGAAGTTAACCATGAGCTCTGGCGCATCCGGACCAAGATACCGCGTAATCCCGTATAGACTGTCATCGCGGTGGAGACCTTGGGCCTTCTCTCCTGGTTCGACTTGGAGAACAGCGGCACGGTTCACCCAATAGTCGCCGAAAGGTGCGGTGAAGAAAGAGCCAGAGATGGCATGCATCAAGGGGTGGTTCAGGATAGTGGTGCGGTATGTAGGTGAGATTGCAGCCAGGTTTCCCATGTGCTTCGTGCGGGAGCCGACGGTCTTCTTGTACAGTTCCCCAGTGCTCGCTCGAGGGCCGGTGATGGTGGCACTGAGGTAGGGATCGACTTCTTCATTGAGAGCAGTAACGACTGAGTCGGGGATAAATTGCCGCACAATAACAGCGCCGTCACTCGCTAGGTGTTGGCTTATTTTCTCTGAAGACGTCGAGGCGTCTACAGTGCGGACGGGATTAGGACGAGGTGAGACAGTCATTGACATGTACTTCATTCAGGTGAGATATTGCTGAAGTCCTATGAAAGGGTAAAGTGTCTATAAGTTGAAGCTCAACAAGGTCTGTCTGTATTGAGTAGCGGTGTAACTAGCTCTGGAAGGGCGGTATCAATCCTATGCAAGGAGTAAGGAAGGAAGGGGGGTGGGAACAGACATATAATGCATGTGGAATCGCGGTGAGCGTCGGAGAGGCACTGTACCAGCTCAACAACAGCAAGATGATGGCCCTTGTGCTCTGTGCCGTGCTCGTTATGCTGTACGTCGTTGGAACAGCCCTTCGCGACCTATTCTTTCACCCTCTGCGTCGTGTCCCTTGCCACTGGCCGTGGATTGCCTTCCCTCTGCTGCGCCACATATCAGCCGTCCGAGGCAATGTGGATCTCGACATCAAGCGATGGCACGAACGATACGGCCCGGTTGTGCGGTTTTCACCGGATGAGGTCTCCTTCATCAGCTCTGAAGCGTGGAATGAGATCTATGGCCGCCATGACCGCTGCAAATCCCTCCCCAAGTCCAAGTTCTCAAACAGCAACACTGCGGATATCATCAATGCGAATGATAGAGATCACGCCAGATACCGTAAGGCGCTCGCCCACGGGTTCTCGATCAAGGGTGTTCGCGAACAAGAGCCTATGATTCAGGGTCATATCGACAAGCTTGTCGCACAGCTCCAGTCTTCTGCAGATACACGCCAGCCCGCCGATCTGGTTACCTGGTATCGACTCACCACCTTCGATATAATAGGCGATTTGGCATTTGGCGAGCACTTTGGTGGTCTCGACCGCGGGCGCTATCATCCCTGGGTCGCCTTTATGACCAGGTACACGCGCCTAATCCCCTTCTTCAAAGCGATGGATGAGTATCCAGTCATCTTCCGCACCGCGTTCGCTTTTATGTCGGCCTCCTCCCAGGCGATTACGGAACAGATGCAGTATAGTCGGGCGTTAGTTCAAAAACGCATCCACTCAGTTCCATCGAGCGTTCAAGGCCGCCCAGACTTCGTGGACTCCATTATGCGCCAGCGGGGGACAAAGAACGAGCTGTCAGAAATGGAAATCGAGGCCAATGCCAGCGTCATCATCATCGCAGGGAGTGAGACTCCAGCCGATCTGCTATGCGCGGTGACATACTGGCTATTACGGACACCCGAGGTTCTTCGTCGTGTTCGGGATGAGTTGCAGGACGCGATCACCACCCCAGCTGATATTACCTTCCCTGCCGTCACCACAAAGTTACCTCTTCTAACAGCATGTCTTAACGAGGCGTTGCGACTGTATCCCTCCGTGCCAGGTGGTTTGCAGCGCGTTACAGTATCCCCGATTACCCTCTTAGGGTTTACTATCCCTCCTAATGTGAGTCGTCCAAACATTATAGCCAACATTATCCTCAACTGACAAAGAGCAGACCCAGGTCGGCCTCCACCAATTCACGGCCTACACATCGCCATCCAACTTCCACCGCCCCGAATCCTTCCTCCCAGAACGTTGGGACCCAGAAGTGACCAACAACCCAGTGTCGCCCTTCTACAACGACAACCGCGAGGTATTCCAGCCCTTCTCGGCCGGGCCCCGCAACTGCATTGGCAAGAACATAGCATACGCAATAATGCGAACGGCCCTTGCGAGAGTGCTTTGGGAATTCGACCTGAAGCTGTGCTCTGAGAGTGAGAACTGGCATGTGCAGAAGACGTATGGTTTATGGGACAAGGGGCCGTTGCTCTGTCAGCTGCGCAGAAGGGAAGGGCAAAGTAATTAGGAATAGCTCTCGTCTACTTATTGCACAGCTAGCTGAATGGATTATCGACTATTCTCCATGTCCAAGTTGCTCCAAGTACAAATATAAATCCGAGAACAACGCGTAACATGATACTCCCACCACCTGTACCATCTTCATTCCACCCGTTGGCGACCCTGGTTGATACAGGTATAAAGTCCAATTTTGGAGCGTCCTTGATAGTCTTTGATGCAGCCCTGGCTGGCAGATCACCGGAATATGGCAGCACATACCTGCCGAAGAATCGGAGGTATAAAGTATCGCGAGCATGTAAACGGACGACTGTCCGCGCGATGCTGTATATTTTATCCACACGCCCATTTCGCTCGGCCGTATACTGTCTCAGCCGTCTGTCAAACTGTCCCGTGCTTGGTTTCCCGTTCTGGTTGGAGATGAGAACCTCGTGGAGTAAATTCGCAAGGCTAGCGGCGTCTTCGATGGCGCAATTGGCACCTTGTCCGGTGTTGGGGGCCATCTGCCTGATCTAAGCTGCGGCTTGGGGATGGAAGATGGGTGTCACGCACCTTGTGTATACTGTCTCCAATGCATACTATGCGCTTGTAGTGCCAGGTATCAAAGACATTTTCCTCGAGGACTGTCGTGTTATGTCTTGTTCTCCGATCCCAGAGGTCGCGAAATGTCACCTCGCCCCAGATAATGTCCTCTGCGTATCTCTCGACCACGGATGCCGTATCGGTTGCTGTGAAACGAGGCATGTCGCCATCGGCATAGACATATTTCCGGTCAAGCTTCCAGATCAGAAACCAAAACGTCCGATCGTGGCTTCCAGGGAAAGTCAAGAACGACCGTTTGTTGTTGAGGCTGGCAACGTGCTCGCCCGCCTGGAATCCGGGCACGGCGGAGGAAATACCATATATACACGCATACTCCGCTGTGAGGGCTGTCAAACTCTTAGCCGCTTTCAGTGTTTGTTCAAGGAGGATGTGCTACAGACCTTTCTTCTCGCCTGGTTCTATACCCTCGCCCTCCTCGGCAGAGATCCTCCACATTTCTCTGCGCACAATGCTATGCACCCCATCACAACCCACCACCAGATCCCCCTTGTAAAGCCGTCCATCCTTCGTTCTAATCGAGACCGCTTCTCGGTAGTCTCCCTTATCCTTGACAAACTCGACCCGCACAACCTCCTTGTCACAAAGAACCTGACTTCCTTCTCCTCCTTCTCTCGTCACGTTTCCCTGTTGCTCAACCCGTCCGCCAATGCCGAGTCCCTCGGTAAGAATACGTAGCAGGGTCCTCCTTTCCAGAAAGGCAAACGGCAACCCGAACCTATCGCCCACGACCCGTGGAGACTCATTCGTTGCAACATACCCTTTTCTGCCCGGAAAGCGAAGATGTGCTGTGTGTAGGGGCTCGATTTCGTCCTCGATACCCTTAAATAGGCCTAGTTGGTCAAGGATCCGGCCGCCATGAGGCAGGATTCCGATAGAGGCGCCTTCTTGGGGAGTAAATGACGAACGCTTCTCAAGCACCGTGTATCTTATTGTTGTTTTGGCACGGGGATCGTCTTGGAGAGACGCGTTCAGGGCAGATAGAGCATGGGCGAGCGTTAAGCCAGCGATGGAGCCGCCAATTATTAGAACTCTTAATTCGTCTCTCGCGGAGTTTTCGGCCATTGGAACATTCGGTATAACTAGTGATACCGTGAACGATTATAGTGACTGAGATGTAACGCTCTCTGCACTATACAGGGGTAGAAACTTGGCATCCGATCTAGTAAATGAGCGTAGAACAGTCTATTCGAGCATGACTACCCCTCCATTCTAGTGTACTCCCCTCACTTAGGTTCTAGGTCGAGTCACCGCCAGTTCATCCCTTGATTCAATAACACCCCACTTTCTATATAACAAAGTCATTCATCCTTGATACTAGCCCTTACTTCAGCCTGTCTGACAGACCAGAAACAAAAGCCGTACGCTCCGTCAAGGATAACAAATGCCGCAGCCGCCCAGTAAATCAATGGGTTCATCGTCCATGCCCACAGTTCTGGCCAGTAGTGTGCACGGAAAAAGACTCCAGAAATGGCACTACCTGTACCAATAACGCGAGAGGCCCTACCACTCAGTTAGAATAGGGAAAAAGAAAGTAATTCGAATGGGGCAGAGGACCTACCAGATGAGCCAACTCGCGCCACTCGATCGCCTCGATCTCACGAGCCCACACAGCGCCGTCGCACTTGTCATGATTTGACAAGCCAGCCCGCCATAGTAAAATGCGGTCAGAGGGCCCACGATTTTTGCAAGGCAGACGTGTCCAGAAGCCCAAAGAGCTGTAACAATGATGAAGCAGGCATGCAATCGATACCCGCGCAAGGGCGAATTCCCCCGTGATTCAGGGCTGTATTTGAGAGCGGTGGTTACTACAACAAGGTTTAGCGTGACCCAAGCAGTGACTATCGGGAGGCGCGGCGGAGGGTAGAGAATGGCGTAGACGAGCTCCCAGGCGAGGTTGCAGGATACAGGGACGATCGGTACCCAACAGGCGTCATCGCGGCGAGCTGTGCGGATCGTGGCGATATAGCACGTCAGCCAGCCCGCTGCCATAGCAAAAAGAAGTGCGTCGGAGATCCATTTGACCGACTGGAAGGATTGCGGGGCTTTGGCGAAGTCTAATGAGTCCATTATTGTCTTGGTAGTTGCAGGAGGGTAAGCGGCTGATCCTCAAATTATAGGAACCCAGGCGTGATTAAACAAGGGGCGGTTACAAAGAAGCGCCTCTCTGTATGTGAGGGAGCCTAGACCCTTGAATCGACAGCTTCGTTGCAAGGTAATATGCAGCGTTTTTGCTTTTGAGCCCCCTTGCAAGGTGTACCCAAGGGGTTCGGTGTGCGACAATGGCTGTACCCGACGAAGATATGACCCATCATATCGAGAGAAATATCATGATAAATTCTGAACATGCCAGTGGTGAACTTCCTCTCACTTCCGCCCGCAAGATGGCTCCAAGCATCCCAACGCCTCTAGTCACGGCCGTTGAGGGCGACACTCGGCAGAATGCAAAACTGGGCCCGGACCAGGTACCGAAACCAAATGCTCTCTCGTTCTCACAATATTAAACTAAGGAAAGATAGATCATAGCAGCGCCTGTAGACTACCTCTTGTCTCTACCTGGAAAAGACCTCCGCAGCCGCCTGATCGCCGCTTTCAACGAATGGCTCAACGTCCCATCGGACAAACTCGATCTTATCCGACGAGTGATCGAGCTCTTACACACTGCCTCACTACTGTAAGCATCTTCGTAGCTCGTGACATGCTGAGGTGTCTGACTTTCGCAGGATTGACGACATTCAGGACTCCTCCAAGCTCCGGCGGGGTCAACCGGTCGCTCACAGCATCTTTGGAGTTGCGCAGACGATCAACTCAGCAAACAGTGCATATTTCGAAGCCCAGCATGAGCTGCACAAGTTGAATGACCCCCGCGCAATTCAGATATTCACAGAGGAACTTCTTCGGCTGCACCGCGGGCAGGGGATGGACCTGTACTGGCGGGACTCCCTGACATGCCCGTCCGAAGAAGAATATCTCGGAATGGTGGCTGATAAAACGGGAGGGCTGTTTCGGCTCGCAATTAAGCTCATGCAGTGTTCGAGCAATAGTAGTTAGTGAGTGTCCCTCTCGCTAAGGACAAAGCCTCTAGACCGGCTAATTAGAGAGAACAGCGACTACGTCCCTCTTGTCGACTTGATGGGCGTCATCTTTCAGATTCGCGATGATTACCAGAATCTACAGAGTGGGACGTACATTCAGAATAAGGGATTCGGGGAGGACTTGACGGAGGGCAAGTTCTCGTTTCCTATAATTCATGCAATCCGGCATGGCGCGCAGAGCATACAGCTCCTCAACATTCTCAGGCAGAAGACGGAAGACGTGACTGTCAAAAGATACGCGATAGGTATTATGGAAGCTGCGGGGAGCTTTGCATATTGCCGCGCAAGGATAGCAGAACTGGCCACAGAGGTGAGGTTGATGCTCCAGGAAATTGCGCGCTCTACGACCGGGACTGGCGCTGGGGGGGGAAAGGAGTCACCGAGTTCCTTGATGCGCTGGAGATCAAACAGGACAGTTCATTTTCTCATTGTGCAATCGGCACGGAGGGGTCGTGATAGTCTAACGTAGTAGTGTAATTATATAGTAGACCAGCCATCGTCAATGGGAAGAACAGCTCCGTTAATTCGAGAAGCCTGATCGGAGCACAAAAACACTATAGTAGACGCTACTTCGCCCGGCATCATGACCCCATAACCATCTGCCCGGTTTGCGTACACGGCGGAAAAGATAGGCTTGAGCATTGATGTGGCTTCCTGGTCAAACCGAGCTGGATCAACACTATTTAGTATCCCAGTTGCGACGCCTGTTGACAGTCAGACAAACTGGGAACCCACAACGCCCTGGAAAAGAAAGGAAGATCATACCCCCCGGACACAGCACATTGCACCGGATATTCTCCCCTTTGAATCTCCAAGCAACATTCTTCGTTGCTCCGATAAGACCATGCTTACCTATTCCATGTCAGAGCCACCCTTGAATCGAGTTCAATGGAGCGAAGAGAAACATACTCGCCGTATAGGCTACGCCTGCCGCAGCACCACTCATTCCAGCCCGGCTCGCCATGTTTATAATAACTCCAGACTTCTGATTCCTCATAACCCCGATAACCTCTCTCATCAGTTTTACCGGCGCGGTAAGGTTGACAGCCATACACCGATCCCAGTCTGCGTCCGTGACGGCGTCGACGCTGGCATTATGGTCGATTACTCCAGCAATATTCATCAGAATGTCAACACGGCCATCGAAGGCTGAGGTACAGGATTCAACAATCTTCCTTGGCGTGTCAGGGTCTGTAAGATCGCATTGCATTGTCCGACACTTGTCACTGGCGTCGAGAGCGGCTGGAAAGGGCGATATATCAACGGCGAATACACTGGCCCCAGCGTCTAGAGCAGCTGCTGCGGCTGCCAACCCTATTCCCGATGAGGCGCCGGTGATTATTGCGACCTGCACTGAGAGTCAGTTTACCGTCGTGTGGTGGTCAGTAGCGCAGTACTCACGCGATTCTGGAGACAGCCCATCGTGATAGTCATTTCTTCTTTGCCCGTGTGGACGAGGATCGCAGGTAGAGGAACACGAACTGAGCAAACACAGACTGTTCGACAAGATAATTGGGGGGCACACCATCTTTGGCATTGGGCCAGCCAGACAAGACAACTTCTATCCCTTTCGCGCAGCAAGGGGGTGGTTCATCCGCTCTGAGCTGGAACCCACGTGGATGGATTATCCCCCTTGCCTCAGTATTGGGGTTTTCGACGACAGCGCTCCGTTATCGAGGCACCATCTTAGCCCGGTCCCCAGAGAATCTGCTGATAGCCAGTCGACTGCTCCCCAATTGCCATCGAAGCTGCCTACTGCGCGAACAGAGTATACGCCGGACAGACAAGCCATCATGATTTCCACCATATTTACATCAATCCGAGACGTTGAGCAGTCCACAACAATTATTATCACATCGTTGTTGGTTGCTATCGCTCTTTACATAACTATCCCCGCCCATCTACGCCTCAATTACCTCTTGTAAACAGCCCCAAGCCCTGGGAACTTTTTTTCAACAATGCGAAGAAGCGGTACTACGCAAACGCGAAGAACATTATACAAGCTGGATTCGAAAAGGTTGGTCTCCCGTCTGCTACATCAATGTTAGCGAGAGTTCACAGCAGCATAGTCCAAAAATGGGTTCTACGTTGTCACCGAGAATGGGATCGAGCTGATCCTTGCACCGGAATATGCTCACGCTATACGAAACGATAAGAGATTTGACTTTCACGCTTACAGGGTCCACGTAGGTAGAGCAACTAGTCTAATCCCTTCTCTGGACTGACATCAAAGCAGACAATGCTACCCAATGTCGCTGGCCTGAACGTCTTTGAGATGGATCAAGTGGGCAAAGAGATTATGAGCTACATCATCCGTCAGAAACTAACGCATCAACTGGTCGATCTAATTGGGCCTCTATCTGAGGAAGCGAGTGATGCCTTACAGCAGAGTTGGGCAGATAATACAGGTACGGTAGCTCCCTGGTGCCTTTCCTCAGTTGGCCTTCCGTTGCTTATTTTATCGTTAGAATGGCACGAAATCAGCGTCAAGTCCACCATCCTTGACATGATCTCCCAGCAATCTGCCCGCATCTTTCTTGGCCGCAGCTTTTCCCGCAATCCAACCTGGCTCGTCCTGTCACGCAGCATAACCCTTCACGCATTCAGCGCTGTGCGCGAGCTTCGCGTGTACCCATCACTTCTCCGTCCGCTGGTTGCGTGGTTTCTCCCCGCATGTAAATTGCTTCGTGCTGAGATAGCCAAAGCCCGGACGCTCATTGAACCCATTATCCTATCACGAAGAGCGGAAAGAGAGCGATGCATAGCCGAGGGTCTCGAGCCACCAATTTACCTGGATACTATCGCTTGGGCGGAAGAATGTGCACGTGGACGCAAATACGATCCAGCCGTCATACAGCTCACCCTGGCACTATCGGCCATGCATAACACCTCGGATTTTCTCACGCAAGTGATATACGATATAGTGGCGAGACCGGCGCTAGTAGAGGAGCTGAGGAAGGAGATTATTGACGTCCGAACCAATAGAGGGGGAGGAGAGCTTTGGAATAAGGGGGATTGCATCAGCTAAAGTTGATGGACAGCGTCATGAAAGAGAGTCAGCGATTGAAGCCCACAGGGTTAGGTGAGTCTTTCTGTCACTAGCATTGACATTACGAAGTCAATGGGCTGATGATATAGTAAACATGCGGCGCTATGCGACTGAGAGGATCCGCCTCTCTTCGTCTAATCCTGGAGACAACGACAGCATCACAATCAAAAAAGGAGACTTGCTAATGATTTCGCAACACAATCACTGGGTCGAGGAGATCTACCCTAATGCGGCGCATTTTGACCCTTACCGTTTCTACAAGATGCGCCAGAGGCCCACACAAGAGCATGCTGCACATTTTGTAGCGACGAGCGTCAACCATATCGGATTCGGGCATGGGGCGCATGGCTGTCCTGGCCGATTCTTCGCCACCGCCGAGACTAAGCTTGCGCTTTGTCACATTCTGATGAAGTACGACATCAAACTTGTGGATCAGCCTAAGGTCTTCACTGTTGGCTCCATTACGAGTGCAGACCCCGTTGCTAGGGTTGCTGTGAGAAGAAGGAAGCACGAGGTGTCTTTGTAATTAAGGATATAGATAGATTACTAGTTCTACCAAACAAATGTGATTCACGGTTTGACACTATCCTCTTCTTCTCACACTCACTACCACATCTGGAGGCACAGCATGTTCCCCCATAAAGAAGTTGGCAGGCCGTCCATCAATCGCTTCAATGTCGTAATGTACGACGATGTACGCAACCATCATTTTCAATATGCGAGTGGCGAAATGTCTTCCAGCACTGGCAACGGTTAGACTTGCCAGGAAATTAAGGGAGATACCCAAACTCACCAGGCTGAACGACCGTGTCCAAAAGACAGAAATGTGTCGCTTGTTGAGACACAGGAGGCCGGCTTCCCGTCCCGTACGAACCGGAAAGGCTTAAACTCGTTTGGGCTCTCATAGAATTGCTTGTCGCGGTGGATGGGGATTGAAGGGACGGCCAGCCAGCTGCCTTTGTTAAGAAATTGACCATTTGGCAGCATCAGCCCGTCTCCGGGAACGACCTCGCGCAACAGGGCCATGGAGGTAGGCGGTGCCCGTCGAAGACTCTCTCGAAGTGTACTATCTATGTAGTGCAACTGGAGAATAGCAGTTGGATCGGACCATTTCGCCGGGTGATCCAACGTCGCCTCCGCCTCGCCTCGAAGGGTTTGGTAAATGTCGTCCTTTGTGCTTGAACCGAGTATGTCAAGCAAGGTGTGGTGGGCCGTCAACACGGTACTTGTAAACGCAGCGCCAAGCTGGGTTGTTAAATCATGATGAGCAAGGAGAATTGACGGACAAGCATACCAACAAGTTGAAGGCATCTGCAAACATCTCCTCCGCACCGTCAGCGCCCCTAGTCGTGAGAATGACCTGGCACAACCAAGTGACCATGTCCTCCGGCACCTCTGCTTCCTCCTGCAGTTTCCTCAATCTTTCTCTCACAATCGGCATCAGATACCTAAGGTACCGCCGCTGGACATACCCGATGGGCTTCTGCAGCACCCATCCGATGACGCCTCTGGCAGGCGGGGGTAAACATTGCCCGACCACCGTTGAGGCTGCTCCAAACCACTGTGAACTCGATATGATGGCCTCCACGAAGCGCTCATTCTTGGCTAGCTCACGGCCCGCCAGCACGGGAACCAACGTATGGTAGACCGTGTACCGCAACGCGCGAGCTAGGGACACTTTACTCACACAGTCTGCGATGCCAAAGCTCCTATCGATGGCCCAGCTCATTTGATCATACATCTCCGCCTTCAAGTTGTCAAATTTCTTGTTTAGGTGGAGTTTGATCGCGCTGTGCAAAATTTCGTTAATTGCAGGTGTGAAGCCAGGCGCCACGTAACGCACTCCCATCCGGGTGTATGCGGCGCGACGCGGGCACAGCACGGTCGGCGGCTGGTCAATAATCCATTTTATGTGCTCTTGGGGGAGAATGACGATGGGTTCGAAACTAATGAGGGGCATGAGAAAGGCTCGGCCCGTCTTATTGAAGGCTTCGTAGCCGGCTTCGAGGAGGTTTGGATTGTAGCGCCATTGACCAAGGCAAGCACGGAACGAGCTGAGCAATCCTGATCGGCGGCCTATCCACGAGATGTGCTTCGGTCGACGTTCGGAAGGGAACCAGGAACGAGCGAGATGGTTCAGGGCTATTGTGAGGACTAGAGGGAGGAGGATGATGAGGAAAAGTGTGGCCGAAAATGGGCTCTGCATCTTGATCACGGGCGTTGAGGTTTTGCTACGTACTGAGAATATGTCATGGCATCTTTGTATTAGTTGATTTCGAAGTCTGCTGAAATAGCGGTGTGGACGTGATGACGCCCTTGCATCAGTGGCATCATCTATCATGGCTACTTATGATGTGGGCATGTAAGGGCTGGTTAGCGAAAGTCCTCACTCGCACAATACCAGGAATGCATATATAAGAGGTCTGTCTAGCACCAATTGATTTTGCTGGTAACAGCTGCTTCGACGCCTCGCCATAATGGTTCGCTCTCCCACATCCCAAAGCAGGTCCATAAACCAGATATCGTGGGACCTTATCCGTATCTCGCGATACGACAAGTATAACTCATTTCTCGCCCTCTTTGCCGGAGGTTCGTCCACCTTACCCCCTTTGCCAGTTGGCCCTAACAAGGCACAGTATGGTCGACGCTCCTTGCCGGGAGTACACGACTTCGCGAAGACCCCAACCACATCTCCGTCTCGTTCATTCTTACCCGTGTCCTTTTCTGCTCCTTGGCAGCATATATCTTTTCCGGGGCGGGCATGGTGTGGAACGACTGGGTTGATCGAGACATCGATGCTCGCGTCGCACGCACCAGGGATCGTCCCTTGGCCGCAGGCAGACTCCGCACTGAAGAAGCCATGGTCTGGATGCTGTTTCAAGCTGGCATAGCCACGACGTTCTTGTATTGGATGATGGACGGACGATATGTGTTTGTAACCCCAACAGTTCCCCCTCTCCGCTACCAAGCTTGACTCACAGTGCGAGACTGTAGTTTGCACTCCATGATTCCCCCTACGTTGGGAACCCTGATATATCCATACTGCAAAAGGCCGCTCGCACACCGAATTGGTATCTATCCCCAATACGTTCTCGGTCTGACAGCATCTTGTCCTGTCCTCTTTGGCCGCGCCTCGATCTACCCCAATGTAGACTCCTTCACTGCACTTGTATGGTCTAGTCTGCCGCTTTGCCTAGTTGTCTTTACGTGGACTCTCTACTTCAACACCGCTTACAGTTACCAAGATATTATCGACGACACAAAACTGGGTGTAAACTCACTTTACAGTCTTGCGGGACGACACATACATGGCGTACTTGTGGCTCTAGCAACGATAGTGGCGGGTGCGCTGTGTTGGGTACTATACCCTTTGGGCTCAGTTTGGTTATGGATCTCTTGGATGGGGGTCTGGATCATTGGATGTGTGGACCAGATGAGGAGATTCGATGCGAAGAATCCAGGAAGCGGGCATTATGTCTTTCGTAGTAATGTGGTGATGGGGCTATGGGCAATGGTGGCCTGTGTTTTGGAGGTTGTATTTAGGGGGTTACAGAGATGACTGCAAGTAGGAGAGGGAGGCTTGACGCACTGTTCGATACTCAAAGCAAATTCCCACAGGGGGTCGTTACGGGTATGTTCTCTTGCAAAACTTTAACTGCCGTCTCGAGCTGTTCTTCTTCTCAGCGCTGTCTTGACACGAGGGCCCTGTGAAACCTGGTGGCGATGGCGATACAGATACCAGTGCCGCAGGCGCACGTAAATCCCTCAATAACATACAAAGATAACGGGCTGTCGAAGCGAGTAGAGTTCATTGCGCATAATTTGAAAGCGAGGAGAAAATACTAGTGGAGCAAGGGGAGCGGTCTTTATTTCGTATGTGGACAATATTTGCGACAGAAGTCTGGGCTTTCCAAGAAGGTGTAACCCTTGCATAAACACATCCTGAATCGGGAATGCCCACGCGGATCGACTTAGCCGAATGGGCTCCCAAGCCAGTTAATATTGATGAGGTCAATCGCTCGTCTTCTTGCTGAATCTGTCTGTCTACATCGCTTTTGCCTAATGTCTCTCGAACCCATAGCCATTGTCGGAACAGGATGTCGCTTTCCTGGATCCTCCTCCTCACCAGCTCGTCTCTGGGATCTTATTCAGAATCCGCGAGATGTCGCCTCCAAAGTTCCCAGTGGCCGATTCAACGTGGGTGCATTTTACCATCCAAACAGCCAACAGCACGGGGCGACAAGCGTGGCTGAGTCGTATTTCCTAGAGGAAGATATACGAGCCTTTGACGCTTCTTTCTTCAACATCTCTCCAGCAGAAGCAGCTGCCTTGGATCCGCAACAACGTCTGCTTCTAGAAACTGTTTCTGATTCCCTCGATGCCGGCGGGCATAGACTCGATGTCTTACAGGGTTCGCCTACGGGGGTCTATTGTGGCTTCCTCCGTACAGATTACAGTCAGATACAATTTGCAGATCCAGATTCGATTCCTCCATACACGGTCACCGGAAACTCGCCCGCGATCATGGCCAACCGAATCTCATACTTTTTCAACTGGACTGGGCCATCATTCTCTGTGGATACCGGGTGCTCCTCCAGCTTGCTGGCTGTCCATCTGGCTGTCGAGGCATTAAGGAAAGGTGACTGTGCGATGGCTGTCGCGGTGGGGAGTAATCTAATCCTATCTCCAAACGCCTATATTGCCGACGCAAAAACAGGGATGCTGTCTGCTACAGGCCGGTCGCGGATGTGGGATGCATCCGCCGATGGCTACGCCCGAGGAGAGGGGGTCGCCTCCGTGGTTCTAAAACGACTGAGCGATGCTACCGCTGCAGGGGACGAGATTGAGTGTGTGATTCGGGCTACAGGAGTGAACAGCGACGGGCGGACAATGGGTATCACGATGCCGAACGGACAAGCCCAGCAGCAACTGATCGAGTCAACTTACGCCAGTATCGGCCTTGATCCAAAGAATGCCGAGCAGAGATGTCAATATTTTGAGGCGCACGGGACGGGGACGCAGGCAGGAGACCCCCAAGAAGCCAGTGCCATTTATGGGGCTTTCTTTGGGGATGCCGCACCGGAAGACTCTCAAGTCCTGCATGTTGGTTCGATTAAGACTGTGATTGGTCATACAGAAGCGACAGCTGGCTTGGCTGGGCTGATCAAGGCGTCATTGTGTTTGCAGCATGGGGAGATTGTTCCGAACCTGCTGCTATCCTCGCCCAACCCTCGGATCGTACCTTATCTATCTCGACTGCGAGTGCCAGATGAACGTGTCCCATGGCCGAGCTTGTCACCCGGGGTACCTCGCCGCGCTTCAGTGAATTCCTTTGGCTTTGGCGGTGCTAATGTTCATGCCATTCTCGAAAGCTATGCCCCGCCGTCCTCTCCTCGGCGCCGCAAAGAAGATGAAGTGGGCTCTTGCCTTCTCCCTTTTGCTGTTTCGGCAGCTTCTGAACTCTCATTAGGAATGGTGCTGAAGGATCTCCTCCAGTTCCTCGATGATAACCCAATGATTAACCTCATGGATCTTGCTTTGACCTTGATGACACGCCGTTCATGTCATAAATACCGCGTAATGTTTACTGCCACCTCAGCAGACGAGCTCAGAGACCAAATTACAAAGGAGATATCCCGCCGATCCAGTGGCCGCATGCCGGTCGGCCTTCGTCGCCATGTCCAGTCTCATCTTAACTCCCGGATCCTGGGCATATTTACTGGCCAGGGGGCACAATGGCCGCAGATGGGCCTTGATCTCATCAGGACAAGTCCGCAGGCCCAGAAATGGATGGCCGATATGCAAGGAGCCCTCGATTCGCTACCTCTACAATACCGGCCCGACTTCGACCTCATGACTGAGCTGGCAGCCCCCGACTCGGACTCACGAGTCCACGAAGCTGGCGTCTCACAACCCCTCCGCACGGCCATTCAAATCGTTCAAACCAACCTCCTTCGCAACCTTGGGCTCAAATTTGATAGCGTGATCGGCCACTCCTCCGGCGAGATTGCCGCCGCATATGCTGCTGGAATGCTCGACCTCGCAGACACGATCCGGGTTGCCTATCTACGAGGCTGGGCGATCCAACAGTCTCAGCACCAACAAAATCCTGGGAGCATGGTCGCCGTGATGCTCAATTGGAAACAAGCAGGGGAAATCTGCAATCGCCCTCAATATGTCGGAAAAATTCAAATTGCAGCCTACAACTCCCCTACAAGTGTGACGCTCTCCGGCGACCGTGAGGCCATCGACGAACTAGTCTGGTTGCTTTCTAGTTTGGGACAAGCCGTGCACCCTCTCCATGTTGATACTGCGTACCATTCGCACCATATGCATTTGAGCGCGGAGGTGTACAGACGGGCGTTGGAAGCTTGCAAAATTCAACCAAGGAAGCCGAGCTGCCCGGTGCGCTGGTTCTCAACCGCGTACCCAGGGGTGGACCTTAGTGTCACGCGTGACGATCAAGCAAGTGATTACTGGGTAGCCAATATGCTGAAGTCGGTTTCTTTCTCGCAAGCCGTTGCGGTGGCGCTTCAATCTCCGGGGACCAAGTATGACTGTGTCATTGAGGTTGGTCCACATCCTGTGATGCGTGGGCCAGTGAGCCAGATCCTCGAGGACATGTCAAGGCCAACAGACCTGCCGTACCTATGCCTCGCAAAGCGAGCTAAATCGGGCCTTCAATCATTTGCCGCGGCGATTGGGGAGCTGTGGACTGTTTTTGGTCCTGGGGACCTTGATGTACAGGCATATGTCAACGCATTCAATACCAATGCTTCAGGAGCTGTGGTAAAGGGCCTGCCACGTTACCCCTTTGACCATAGCCAGAGCTACTGGGCCGAGTCGAGATTATCCCGAGCCCGTTTACATGCTCGCAATCCACCCAATGCGTTGTTAGGTGGAGTCCTTCCGACTTCTGGCCAGGGAGAGCGTCGTTGGAGGAACTACTTACGTCCCGAGGAGCTCCCTTGGCTGCATGAGTATAGACTGAATGGGAAGTCCGTCCTTCCACCGGCAACGTATGTCGCCATGATGGTGGAAGCAGCTATTGCGGTGGCAGGGGCATCTCCGGTACAAGTAATCGAGCTTCATGAACTTGAAATCTACCAAGAAGTACCTGTCCCGTTATACCAGGCGGGGCTTGAGACACTGTTCGCTGTGGGGGTAGAATCAGACGGACCCTGCGCAACAGGAAAATTTGCATGTCAAGCAGCTGTTCATGGCGAGCTCTGTCGTGTGGCCTCCGGCCGATTCAAAACCACATACGGCGCGCCTGATGCGCGAGCTCTGCCTGCACGATTCCCATCAGCAGGGCTCAACCCGATGGATGTCGGCGATTTCTACTCTCATCTATCTGCTCTCGGCCACGACTACGCTGGTGATTTCAAACGTTTGTCTACACTTTCCTGCAACCGAAAAGCGGCTTCCACCACAATGACCCATCCAGGGAGCGAGAATCAGCCAGCCTTACACATCCACCCCGCTACGATCGATCACGCGTTCCAGACACTCTTAGCAGCGTCAATTTCCAGAAGGGTGGATAAATTGACCAAGTCACTCTACAGAATCTCGAAGATCTCCTACCTGGCCATTAACCCGACTATGCGACCGGCAGACAGTGAAACCCTGACCATTGACGCCGCACTCCTTACCAAAGCTCCAGGGCAAATCACCGGTGCAATAGACATTTTCCGGTCAAACGACGAGTGTGTGGTATCTTGTGAAGGACTTCACCTAAATCGAACCGCGAATCACCCCACCCTATCTAGCCTGTTTAGCAGAATGGACTGGATACCTCTGCAACCCAGCGCAGCAGCGGGTGGCAAAGTGTTATGCCGGCCGGGGGTCGTCAGTACGCTGATGGGTCGTGAGCAGCTCGCGCTTCTGCATCTGCGAGAACTATGTGAGAAACTTGCGCGGAAGGATCGGAAGGGGCTCTCAGGAGCCAAGGCTGCGTTTTTAGACTGGGCTGACCATGTCCTTGTCCTTGTCAAGGGGGCATGAATCCCGTCTGGCGACCGGGGTGGTTGGAGAAAAATCTTGAGAATATCTGCACACCTGCACTTGGCCCTCTGGCGACGATCTGTGAGGAGTGGAAAAGCCTGTTTGATTTTGAGTGCAAGACTCGTGCTCCTACTGTTGAGCTTCTGGATGAGTACTACGCCGCGAATTTGCAGGATTTCGCCCCATGGTATGACCGACTCGTGTCGCTGGTAGGACAGTTGGCAGCGCTTTATCCTGAGATGAATATTCTGGAGGTGACAAGTAGTGGAACGGATCGAGTGACAAGACGCGTGCTGAGGGAGATTGGGACTGCCTACAACACCTATACACGGGCAGTCATCCACAGGTCGATGATGGCACCGTCCACGAAGCCGCCTGCACAACCATTCATCCAGGAACAGGATCTAGAAGATCTGTCATTTGAACCAGATTCCGTCGATCTCATCATTGTTCATCAAGCCCTCTACAACACAAAGTCCTTAACCGACACCCTCACAATGTTTCGCCGCCTCCTCAAAATAGGGGGTTACCTCCTCGTTCTGGAAGATACAAATCCCCACTTGATTCACCGAAACCTCCTACTCCCGTTAAGCGCTTGGCAAGGTAACGATGCAGAACACCCATCTCATGGGCCTGTCCGCACCCGTGAGGCATGGAAGGATCTTCTCATCGATCACGGTTTCAGTGGAATTGATAGCATAACCCCAATTCATGACGAGGTAATATCCGGCCTCTCGATCATAGTATGCCAGACTGGTAATCCCACGGTTCATCCCACGCGAAACCTTTCTATCCCATCGAATGAGCATCCCGATTTGGTGATTGCAGCGGCGCGGAGTACGTGGATGGATCGGACTTGGCTCGCTGTTCATGAAAACTTTCGACGTATGGTGCTAGTCGAGGATATCAGCAAGATTGAATTTACGAAGGGGAGACCTGCGCCGGTGGTGCTTGTCGTAACGGACTCTTTAAATCCCAGAGATTGTTTGAGCCCCGGAGAGGAGACGAGACTACTACGACGATTGTTCGCTGGCGCGAGCAAACTACTTTGGGTTACCTCCCGCTCTGGCGCTAGAATGCCCGTCTCCCTCTCCATGGCCGTTACAGCAGGCCTCCTCTGTGGTTTCTCAATGGAGCATCCAGACACCATCTTCCAGTACCTGGAGCTCCCCTCTAGTTCGGCCTCCAAGGAAAATGTCCGTACGGTGGCGACACTCCTGATGCACCTCGTCCGTACTGATGCTCGAGACAGTTCAAGGATGACTACTGGTCCGCCTCTAGAGTCCCAGCTGCGACTGTCTGAGAAAGGTGTCCTGTATGTACCGCGCCATACATATTCCGACCGTATGAATCAGCGGCGCCTGGCTGCCCATCTTCAAGTTGAAGACGTTGTTTTACTCAACCAGGACAGGCAATATTCTGTCCTGCAACTCGAACACGTAGGAACTGTTGAGAAGCGAAGCGCTCGCCTCCATGCATACCGGTCCACCAGACCCCTACCTGGTGTCTCCATGACCACAGTCGAAGTCAAGGTTCATTTCTCCACCGCGCATAGTATCAAAATTGAAGGGGTTGGGGTTTTCTATCTCTTGATAGGAGTAGCTTCCAGGCCTAACAACGCTGAGTATCCTCTGGCAGGAAAGGGTGGCTCTCGCCGCGTCCTCGCACTCTCTGAGCGCAATGCGACGCGGGTACGTACTCCCTCTTCATGGTGTTGGGCCGTACCCCCAGCCGTTTCTGCCGCAGAAGAACCTGGTTTCCTTGCGAATACAGTGGGTATGTTGGTCGCAAAAGGGATCTTATCGCAGACAGAACCCGGTTCTGTAATATTGGTTTTGGAACCTGATATCACCAGCCTCCATGTCCTAAATTCCCTCGCACCCTTGCATAAGATCGAGATACTAGCTATCACGCACAAGGCGACCGTCAAAGCCAAGAAACAGGGTGTGATTTATATCCCTGAGCGTACGCCTACTCATCGACTAAGGCAAATGCTCCCAGTATCTAAAGTGGGGGCGCTTGTTTTTCATCACGCCAACAACGACGACAACGTGCAGAAACGTATCCGCAGCTTGTTTCCAAGTACTCGGCATTTTGATATCTGTTCATTCTATCAGGTCGTCACAGCGACGGCACATTCACCAACACATGTTCCTGCGTTCAGTATTCGTACTGCCCTAGAGAGTGCATCTGGGTGGCTCTACCCGAAGGACGCCACTTTCACGGTATGCTCGGTGGCCAAATCACTTTTCGGAGAAGTTGATCTAGGGCCGACAACTGTGATTGATTGGTTATCTGACGAGGGAACGCCGATCAGAGCACAGATCCACCCAGCGAGCGATGGGGTGTCTCTGTCCCCACAGAGCACGTATGTTCTCTGGGGGCTTCCCGAAGCCCTGGGGAGGGTTGTCGCCGAATGGCTTGTCACCCATGGCGCGCAGCATCTAGTTCTTGTCGCACCATTCTCCAAAAACCCCCAGTGGGTATCTGCTATTGCATCTGGTGGCGCAAAAGTCATCACAGTCCCCCCTAAAGAAGATCTTGTACACACTGTTCTTGCGATCCGCGGCCATCCATCCTTGCCTTCGGTCCAGGGGATTGTGTTCAGCGGCGAACTTGATACTGGCGTCACGCCTGATATAGCGCTAGCGAACACGATTGAGAGGGCCAAAGCCCTATCGCAGCTTTATGACTCCCCCAATCTAGACCTCTTTTTGGGGGTTGGTCGCTGCCCGGTCAAACAAGATCCGCAACAGTACGCCGTAACTGAATATCTCTCAGCACTTGCTCATCAGAGAGCGATGTCTGGTCTTCCCGCAAGTGTACTTTGCCTTGGGCCCGGATTGAATATTGATGCCTTAGACGGGGACGACATATCGGAGATTCTTGCGGAGGCTGTCCTGGCTGGAGATCCTGTTGGTAGCAGATTTCGTATGGTTACAGCTGGACTCTGTCCTGATACCGGCAGTCCAGAGTATAAAGTATGGGAAGCCAGCCACTGGTTCAACCCGGCAATGTCTAATATGCTTGCCTTGTCAAGGAAAGCAAGGCAAGAGAACCTTGTTGTTAAAACAGACGCAGAGAACACGCCGTTAAGCGTTCAACTTGAGCGTGTCAAACAAACTGCGTCTGCCGTCACGGCTGTACGAGGTATCCTGAGCCAGCACTTTACCAGATATCTCCAGGCGCTTCTGCAGTCTGCGACGGAGATCACCGATAATACCCTGTTCAACGAACTTGGCGTTGACTCTATAGTAGCGTCACAGTTGGGAGGATGGTTTTCCAGGGAGGTTGGAGTGAAGGTTTCGGTTGTTTTCATTCTTGCAGGGTCATCCGTGGGTGATGTTCTTCAAGAGGTCGCAGAGAAGTTTATTTACTGATTTATCTTTCCTGTATGAATACAAATTATATGCCTTACATTTAAGATGGTCCGCACACTTCGAGCGCGAGACAGCTGTCCCAGATTTTCCTGATTCGATTCATCGAGCTCAACGGTGAACGTGTGTCGATAGGGATTGTGTAGCTGTTAATTCGCATAGGTCCAGTCTCTGTCTCCACTCAGGATCCCGCTATTGGCTAATATTCCGTTCCTAGACCTGGTACGTCCCCGCCAGACAAATCCTATTCTGCCAGTTTCACCACTCGCAAATACCACTAGCTTATGTGGCTGTTCAACTCTGTGCTTTGCACTTACACATCTTCAGGATTATTATGGCCGACTAGGACTTACAGCTTGGACCGAAAGCAACTGCCAAGGGGAGATAGCTTTCACCACCTTCAACAACATCAGTTTTGCGCGAAATATCTCCAATGCATATGTATCCCGCAGTTTTATGATCTCCCAACCACTGAGAGGTCAGGAGCAGCTGGATATTTCTGTGGCACACAAATTCAAAACCTACTTTTCAAATAAGGATCAGCTATCTTTTAACAGTTCATATATGATCATTTCTGACAAAGCTATGTTGCTCTTAACGTAATCCACAACCGAGCGAGCCACCCAACCGAGCGAGTCACCCAAACATGATTCTGGCCGCAGTCGAAAACCATGAGATATCTTACTATTATAGAACCAAACCAAAGCAGAATGTCTGAATATTTGAATTATCTAGGTCTACTAGGACAGCTTGTTCTAATATGACTAATTTGATGGCAATTACTACATCGTGGTGGCGCATGCTTCTTAGGAACTGGTTCCATTATCTGTGTAGCTTCTTGGGCAAGTTACTGGCCTTTAGCACCTGTCAGAACACCTCTAGTAGTAATAAAAGATCTAGGTTGCGTGCTTTTGCTTCTGCTTCTCATTTGCTGTATGTAGCCCCTTTATCTCCTGATCTAGGAGAAGGACTTTATGCATAGTGGATTTAGCTGCCTTTGTGAGCTAATGGATAGCCTTATTTAGGGGACTTTGTGAGTTATGCTTAATAAGCTGTTTGATAAGCTCCATCTGCCTTTGCACCTTAGTAGTAGTATAAGGGGTCTTTGCAATCTATTCTGCATCTGCAGGTCCATGAGCAGTAGTAGGGGGTGTAATAGTCTTGATAGTAAGCTTATCTAGTACCCTTTGGGGGTCCAAAGGAACTAGACTAGAAGCTGCAAAACCACTGTGGATATTCTTAGATGATAAGATCTTTCTTGATTCTCTATAGAGATTAAGAAAGTTTTCCTTATTAATATGATGAATGCTATTTTAAATGCTTCTCATTATCTCCATCCCATATACCTCCTTTAGGGGTGCAAAGCAGCCAACATTAAGAGGTTGCAGTTTATCAGATGAATGAGAAGGCATATAAAGAGGGATGATCTGATAATTCTTATAGAAAAGATCAAACTCTGCTAATTCATGGCTAGCATGGCTATCAAGAATCAAAAGTTAATATTTCCTAATTATATAAGCTATAGTATGCTTTTCAAAGACCTTTTCTAACTATAAAACTCTAAGGTCATTAGTCGTCCACCCATTATCACTTAGGCTGATTAGCTAGTTAGGGTTGATATCTTGACACCACTGAGACTAGTGGACCTTGCTAGAGAAGATGATTATAGGGGGAGAGGCCATCCAGAGGCATTAATGTATTTAATAACAGTAACCTATTCGCAATTCCCTGGCTGTATAGCTTGTACGCAGCTTGTTCAATGATAGGATGCAGTGATAACCTTTGCTATATAGGCTACACCTATTTAAAAGCCAGTCTCATCAAAGTTATAGATATCCTGTTTAAGAATACTATATTTTACTATGGTATTCCTAATAAGATTAAACTATTAGTTAATGACTTCTGGGTCCTCATATCTTGCACGCTGGTAATCATATTTGTGAGTATATTTTGATATCAGGTTATTATGCTGTTTAATAAAGTTACTGACCCAGTTTTTTCTAGTAGATAGGCCTGGGTTTTGATGAGATAGTAAGATATCTGCCATTTTGTGTACAGTATCCTGAGTTGGTGGTAGGCTGCGCTCATCCATATCCAGAATCCATTTCTTTAGAGAACCCTCTTCTAGACTGCTAAGCTTCTAGCAGTTAGCTGGTATATTAACCCATGCTTTGCGGCCGCTGATTTGATGCGTAAGAGTAGACTGAGGAACATCATATGCTGCTGCTGCTGCTTGTATACTTTTGATCTGGCTATTTTGGTATGCTTTGACTGTAAGAGATATGCGATCTTCTAATTTGATAGTTGAATCTGATTTTTTGATGCCATATTGGATGGAAATTTGGGTTTGATGATCTCAAGGATGCAAGGTTTCAGGGGTTCTGAGGTGGCTCGCTCGGTTGTGGATTACGTTAATGGAAGTATAGATTATTATAATATACCTAACTTTACTTGCTATCAGTTATGGATCAACCCTGGCCTCTAAACATAGTTATTCTATATTAAATGTCCTAGCCACCTGATATGTGATACACTTTAGTAAACTATATATCTAAATCACTGCAGTACTCATGTATGAGTTATAGCTACTTAGATAAGTTTGCTCTTAGAATAATGTAGTTAGAGTTCTATTAGCTATAAAGAAATAATATGTGTTTAAGTGTGACTGTGTGCTCTCATGCCCACCCTAATAGGGTAAGATAAATAGGGGCTCTTTAACTTAACAGGCTCCTTGTGTCACGGTGCTGCCGTGGATAGGAGTTGGCATCACTAAGGAGGAATCACGTGAGCTTAGGAATATCTTCACCGCACAATTCTGCAACCTGTTTGAAGCTCTTTGTAACAGAGCGGATGTGGATTAGGTTATATCATTACCTCACATCGCATCTGTGTATGATATCATCTATTAATGTCTGCGCATCCGGCTCGAAGCATCATTAATCTGTTGGTGAAGGTATATGGGAACGCTTCCTCCTTGTCTGTCTTGCGGAAGACAAGGATTAGTCTTGTATAAAGGGGATCAACTGGAAATACTACCTCTTCCTTATCCTAATCGTTGCCGATTCTTACCTAGTCAACAGGTTATCTACCCTGCAAAGTAGATCCTTACACTCTTTGGACTATGTCCTGTCTATAGAGCCTACCCGTACCAGTCTACCTGCAGCCTGGGACTGTTAGATAAGGATTAGTGAAGCTAGCCTGAGTGTCAACTACCTCTTTAACCCATCCTTGCCTGCCTGCGAGCCTGCACCTTGACACCTTGCTGATTTTATTTAATGCTAGTCTCTTAGTTAGCATCTTCGCAAGAAGAGACCCTAGTGGGCACTGTTGACAACCTGAGCTTTGAAAGGGAGGCAGGAAATCTAAATAGTCCTTCAACAATATTTTGATGATATGTTGTGGTTACTTCTTTATCTGCGACGTTGAATAGTCAATGCTTGATTGGTTTTAAGGATGCTGAGTATATCAAGGAGGCGTAAAGCATCCAGAGCACTCCTTTTGCCATTCATATAGCACTGCTAGTAGGGAGCTGCATTTGATAATCTTTTCTGACATTACAAAATACCTTTTAGCATAACTTTGCAGGGCAAGACTATATCTATTGTTAGCATTAATGAGTTTGATAAAAAGTGAAATAACTGACTTGGGTTAACAAGTGAGCATTCCTTCATGGCCTAAGATGGGACAAGAGGGAAGAGGTGCACGACAAGAAAGAAAGGATGATAGTAGATGGAAGCAGGTGAGAGATAGTGGTGAGAGGAAGATGAGAGGAAAAGACACTGGTTATAGCACTCCCTAGGTACGCACCTCCCATGAAGTCAGTATATTATAAGGAGGTGTTCCTAGCTTTTGAAATTCAGACACTACCTAACCTCCCTAAGACTAATGATGGGTACTGATGTCTGAATACTTTGACTCCTTCGATGTATTCAATGTGGATCTGTATGACCGTCAACAAAAACATGATTAAATAAACTTCAAGGAGAACAAAACAAAATAGATCTGATGGAAACCTGAGGAAAGCTAGTAAACGGTCACCCGAAACAGTCCAGATCTCTTTGGTCACTTCGTCCAAGACTCCCTGTATCTCGTTCCGCATAGAACTCGCCTCCTTCTGTATCCTCGACCTGCCACTTCGTACCTCCATCGAGGATGAATAATAGCTCTGAAGGCTCAGTTTCTCAATTGCAGCTACTTATGCTATTGTCTGAGTAAGATATATAGAATGTATATATATATAAGGAGGCTATAGATTATAAGTATATGACTATACCATACCATATGCCTAAATTTGGTCCCTGTAGATACTTAGGTGTTGAGATATCTAAGCCTTGAAAAGTGCCATTTTATATGGGATACAGAAGGTGGCGGCTCGCCCGGGATGGCGGTTCACCTGGGAGATATGTTAATTAGAACTCCTATTTAGTAGGCTTATTAGCTAAGGAACTAAATAATAAGAATAATATCCACTATATAAGGCTATGGTTGCATGTGCTAGGATGGAAAGAATTAGGCATGATACTAATCCTAGTCAATAACAACCTATAATAGTTGTTATTATATGGAGTGGAGATGCAAGAACCTCTCTAAAGCTGCATGCGCCCTTGCACGCAGCAGTGGCCCTTGTAGTTGTACAGGTAACTTTTTCTGCATCCATAGTGCCAGTATAGCCATAGTCGGTTTCCCTTGCTCCCAGAGGTCTTTCTGATAGCCATCCAACAGCGTTCCCAGAGTTCTATGTTATCGCGCAATAGAATTGAAATCACTCCAAGAACTAGGTTCCTCAACCAGCATGGCATAAGCTCCTATCTAATTAGTTTGGTATTATTGTATTTGTGCCAGGTCTTGTCTCCGACGATCTCAGCTTAAACCAAAAGAGGACTAGCGCATCATATGTGCCCGTGCCCAATTGGGCGATGACATCACCAGCTGCTTCCTGCCCCTTGCCCTCTCTCTCTCTCTCCCTCTCTTCCTCTTTCTCTCTCGCACTCTCACACTCTTGTGCTCAGGGTCTTATCTCTTGTGGATATCCCTCCCTATAATTATCCCCGCTATAAGAAGTACGGTCTGATCATTCTTACTATCTAACATGGGATGCTGTTGATATTATCAGACATTCTTCTCCCCTGCATTTGTTATCTTCGCCCCTTAGGCTCAACCGCGGACCGCCCGACCTCGGTTCCGGTTCCTGATATACACCCAAACACGACGACTCTGAATATCGCAACATCTCATCCAACGACAGTCACATCATGACATTAAATACAGTCGCATTGGGTGTCTCCCTTACGCCTACCGTTGTCGCGACCTTGGTCTCTCACGTGGGTATCGCCCCAGCATCTTCTCCACTGTCCACTGACAGTCTGATTTGATAGTATCTGCATCGGAAATCCCATCGCACGAAACCCACCGTCCACATCTCCTACGACGAGGCAATCCAGGTCATTCGTCAATTCCTCAACTATGCTGCCAAGCACACCGTCGAGGATATCCAGGCGTTCACAGCCCAACGGGTTCCCGCCCCTCATTGGGTGAAGACAACCAAGGTCGTCATTCCAGAAAAGTACCTTTCTTCTGCTGCGACCGCTCTTATCAAGCAACTTGGTCCCAAAAGTATAGCGCGTGTGGGGGTGAGAAATGGTGGCAATGGCGTGGACCGTCGGAGGATCTCAGAGGAGAGTGGATCGAGATGAAGTCGGACTACCAGGAGAGGAAACGCACCAACGATCATCCGAACGGGAAGCGCATCATGTTGTATCTTCACGGCGGAGCCTACTTTTTTGGCAGTGTGGAGACCCATCGGTATCAATTGCAGCGTCATGCGAGAAAGCTCAAGGGACGAGTATTTGCACGGTAAGACAGCCCTTCCTCTGATTAACCATATGCTAATTGCGCAGTGAGTTACGCCCGGTCGCAGAACACAGAATATAGAATGACAGCTAAACCTACGAATAGCGGAATATCGTCTAGCACCGCAGTTTCCCTTTCCCTGTGCCCTACAGGACTGTTTGGCGGCTTATCTGTTTCTTCTCAACGAACACGATCCGACAGAGATCATCTTTGCAGGAGACTCCGCAGGCGGTGGAATCATCCTTTCGTAAGTGCCATACCTACTGCTCTGGGGATGCACTAATCTTGGCAGGATGTTGGTCACCATTCGCGACCAAGGACTACCGTTGCCCGCGGGAGCGATCCTAATCTCGCCCTGGGTGGATCTTACCCATTCTCTTCCCAGTGTGCTATCGGAAAGTCCAGGTGACTACATCCCACCGAATGGGTTCCGATACAAGCCCTCCGCAGCCTGGCCGCCTCCAAACGCCGACGAAATTCGCGCGATCAAGAACGCAAAGCAGAAGTCACCAGAAAGCGCCGTGGAAGAAGCCGTGCCAAAAGAGGACACCCGGGCTCAAGAGACAGCGGTGAAGGGATACACAGTCGAGAAGGACGGGTCAGGTGGGACAGAACCGACTCTGGCGGCTCTCCGACATTCAGAGGAAGACGAGACGAAGGTCATCGAAATCCCTATTGACGGTCATACAGTCGTACTGAAAGACCAGATTCAAATGTACGCCCCGAATCACCTCATCTCTCACCCACTCGTCTCCCCGGTACTTCAGCCGTCGCTCGGCGGTCTGCCCCCGCTGCAGATCCTCGTCGGGGGAGGGGAGCGGTTAAGGGACGAGCAGTTTTACACTGCTCACAAGGCCGCAAATCCGACAGCATATCCACCCAACGACAAGACTCTTGACGAGTATGATCCGAAACGTGAAATCTTACATAAATATCCTGGCACGCATGTTCAGCTGCAGGTATGGGACGATCTCTGCCACGTTGCCCCGACCCTTAGCTTTACGCGTCCGGCCAAGTACATGTATCGATCGATTGCTCAATTCGGTGCCTGGGCTCTTGCATGTTCCCAGACTTCGGAGATTGCTATCCTCGACGACAATGATATCTCCCCCATCACCTCCTCCAGTGAAACAGACGCTCGCGAAGCAGAGACCAACGGTGAGAACAAGGGTAGCTCAAGACCGCCCGTTGCGTCCGTCGGCAGGGCTGGTGATCCACTGCCTGCATTTAAAGATCGTATGATCCGCCAAAGAGTGGACAAAAGAGGACGCATATATGCGCTCGATCCCCCATCCTCCTATTCCGTCCTGCAATTCCCGCGGGATAAAATCGGCCTAGCGAACCCGGAGCTGGTCCGGAAATGGATGGCCGCAAAGGAGGAGTGGGATAAAAAGTTTGCCAAGGACAAGCTGCGAGTGCAGAAGCAGCGGATGGAAGAGTTGGCCCATGGATTCCAGGACTTTGATGGGGATACTGCTCCCCCAAGCTCCTTGGCGGCAAGAAGACTGGCTCCGGGTGTTTTGCCTCAAAAGGGCGGAAAGGAGCGGAAGAGCTACCAGATGACCATGTGGAGTCGGATGGCTAGCAAGCATGATAAGAAGACGCTCGCCAGAGAACAGGAGAGGCAGAAGGAAGAGGGTCGTTCGAGGCTGACGAGCGTCGACGCTGGACGAGCATGGGCGTCCATGGATAGACCGAGATCTCGCGATCATGTCGAGTCGTTTCCGACCGAGGGGCCCAAAAAGGATGCACAGGTCAACGGAGGGGAAGCACCTGAAGGTCGGCGAGAAGACCAGGCACTATCTAACGGCACTCAGCACGATACCAACCAATCTGAAGTCTCGCGTCCGGCATCGTCGAATTGGGCAAAGTCCGCCAGTCCTATGATCGTCTTGCCCGATTACGAGAGCAGGCAGTTCAACGCAGATAATGCCAGCACGACGACTTTGCTGCATGCTGCTGGAACCATTCCTGCTCGATCCGAACAGCCTCGGCCTGTCTCTCAGGCCGGTTCCGGGACGATTCGCAGCGCCATGACCGCCGACCGAGAAGATGCCAGTATCCTCGACGATGCAAGGTCACTAGCTGTGACGACGATAACTGCGCTGGACAATGCCAGTACCCGGGCCGTCCGTAATTCCACTGGAGTCGTCGGCGTGGTCAACGATAAGAACTCGACCAATGGTTCTGTCGAGACGTTGTCTGCCCCTCAGCAGTCTGGGGATCTGGAATCTTTCTATTCGGTCAATGCGAATTCGGGGGATGACGCTCATTCTGTCCGCGCTCGCCCGGAGATGCCTGATCGGGAGGTGTTCAAAACTGCGGATGAGCATCTTTGATTTAAATATATATGGCCTTTATAACATCATGTTCTGTATACCTGTCCTATTGTTCCATGTTTTGATAGATTTTTGGTATCTCCGAGATTCCCAATACAGTTACTCGACGTGAGCATTTTGTAAAGCCATATTCATGTGCGGTAGTCCTTCCGTTGACCCTGTGATGAATATCTGCATATTCCTGCTGCTATGGCATTAGATTAGACATCACCAGCTCATAGACACAGCCGTCTGCGACTCAGCAGAGTCATTGTCTGGAACCATCATGATCAACTATGTTTGCATCAAGGCTGATTATACCTTTGACTGGACCTGAGCAACCTACCCCGGAATACTTGGAAATGTCCTGAACGAAATGTACCATTAGCGGGTATGACAGACCACCTGACATCAATGAGCATACGACGTGGGTTTGCCCAGGGTCTTTCACGAGACTCAACCCTACCAACTTACCAACACCCTCGTAAACAGAGCTTGGAGAACTTGATACGCGGAAAAGCTGTCCGCTCGGGACAACTCTCGCTGTATAGTAGGCGATGGCATTGAGGGCCATACTTGATTGGACTTATGTACAGTTTCCAAACGCTGGGATAGAGATGAACATGCCATGATATGCCTAAGTGCCATATTCCACGAATGAATCTAGATACCTTGGCGTAGTGCTCTGTTTGGCAACTGTATACAACCTCAGCCATGTTGACTGCGACAGTTAGGGTAAGACTAGATCACATGACATGAAGGTAGTATTTCTTCATGACTGATATCTCCAGCGAAATATAGCTATAGAAAAATTCCTTATTTTCTGCTGAAAAATACTCAATGGTGAAGGACTTGACAAGACAGACTTGATGGTTGTTGAAAAATATAGACACCCTAGAATGATAGGAATCATGTCCAGACACCTTGTTAGCCTAGTGGTATTATATTTCAATAATGGTGCTATTTAGGTACTCCTCCACCGACGTCTACCAATCCGCACACATTCCCGTATGCTTATCAAACACCGAGCCAGGCTTGCACTCGGGGATCCCCGTAGGAGGACAATACTCAAAGTTCATGCAGTCACCCGACGCCAGAGCACACTGCTTGCCATTGAAGACCTGGCCAGGTGGACAAGCAGGCCGCTCAATCGAAAGACACTCCTTGGCCTGTTTGCTATAGACGGTGCCAGGCTGGCAAACGGGATCCTTCTCACCGACACACTTCTTCCCGTTGAAGCGCATGCCCGCCGGACAGGTCGGCTCCTCGGGGTAAGCGCACTCCTCGCCGTCGAATTCCAGACCGGGCTCACACTCAGGCACTGAACCAACGCAGTTCTGGCCGTCGAAGTGAGTATTGGCCGGACACTCGGGCTTGCGGTCGGAGACACACTCCCCGTTGAGGAGGGTGTAGCCGGGTTCGCACTCGGTGGTGACGAGGCTGATGCACCGCCCGTTGGTCCACTTGTGGTCGGGCGGGCACTCTGGGTCCTTGGGGCTGACGCACTGCTTGCCGTCGAAGACGGTGCCCTTGATACAGGTGGGGACACCGACGACGCAGCCGCCGGCGACGAGGGTGGAGCCGGGGCGCAGGAGGGGATGGAGCTGGTGACGCAGTCGCCGTCGCCGTTGGGGACTGAGTTGGCGGGGCAGGAGGGGGTGATGCGGGAGACGCAGCGGGTGCCGTCGAAGATGGTGTCCTCTGGGCAGGTGGGGAAGTGGCCGGAGGTGCAGTCCTCGCCGTTGAAGGTGGCCCCGTCGTCGTCGCACTTGGGGTTGTGGGTGGTGGAGATGCACTTGGTGCCGTCGAAGGTGAAGCCTTCTTCGCACTGGGGGCGGGAGAGGCTGACGCAGAGGCCGGACTCGTATTTGGTGTCGGGTGGGCAGCTGACGTGGACGGAGGAGATGCAGTTTGCGCCGGAGAGGATCAGGCCGGGTGGGCATTGGGGCTTTTCGATCATGGTGCAGGTGGCGCCGTCGAGGATGTAGCTGGGCGGGCATTCGGGGGCTCGGTCGAGACGCAGCGGCTGCCCTCGAGTTTGGATTTGGGCGGGCAGGTTGCAACCTTGATGGACTGCTTCTGGCAGAACTTGCCGACGAGCGTCATTCCCGGCGGGCATTTGCCGTTCTCGTCGACTCCCATCAGGCAGACTTCACCATTCCACGTCATCTGCGGGGGACAGCAGCGGGCGGTGTTGGAGGCCATGTCGAGCGAGAGGTCACTTCCGGGGGGACAGCTGGCTGACTCGGACAGCACGCATTTCTTGGTGACGGGGTCCATCTCGGAGGTTGGCGGACACGCGGGTTTGGCGGTCGTCGTGCATTTGCCCGTGGTCGGCTGGAACGAGCTGCCTTCGGGACAGGAGGGCTTGATGTCGGAGACACACACCCCGTCCTTGACACGGCTGCCTTCCTCGCACTCGGGCCCGGAGACAGAGATACACACCTTCAACGTCTTGTGATACTCCGTGCCCGCTGGACAGACTGGGGGACGATCGCTGACGCAGTGTCCGTCTTGGAAAGCCAGCCCTTCGGGACACTGGGGCTTTTTGGCACTGACACACGTCTTGCCATTGAATGTGTACTTCTCGGGACATCTGGGGCCCTCCTTCGACTGGCACACATTGCCGTTATACACGAAACCAGACGGGCAGGTGGGAGGTCCGGTCACGCAGGACTTGCCCTTCCATACGGTCGGGGGTGGACAGGTTGGCTCCGAGGTGGAGATACAGACTTTGCCGTCGTAATCGCTGCCTTCGGGACAGATGGGCTTGACCGTGGACACGCACTTGTCCTCTTTGCGGATGAAGCCATCGGGACAAGTGGGTACACCGAGGACGCAGGCCTTGCCATCGAACTCTGTGCCTTCGGGCAACACTTGACCAGACCGGATGAGGGATCGGTCAATGGGCGAATATCGTCGAGGGTGTATTTGGACTTTCCGAGGGGAAACTGCCTGGCTTGTGTCTGGACAGACAGTGCCACCACAAGTGCCCACAGGGACTCTGTTCTGACCATGACAGATGTTTTGCTGAGAAGAAGATAGAGATAGAAAGATGAGGGGGAAGCTGATCGAGAAACGGGATTCATGGAGCTGTGAATTGACGCTCTTTATAGCAGCTCACGGGGACTGAGATGTCGGCCGCATGCCTGACTATGCGACCTGGTATTACAACTCAGCCTTCAGCTCTTCGAGTGGATTATCCACCGACTGTGCTCCCCTCAGTGCGGAGTACTACGCGCATCGCGGGGATTCCGGTGTCTTGGATAGCTACAGAGTCCAGCTTTGCTAGCGCCACTGATGTAGGTCTCCCAATGAGGCAGATGGCTACGGCTGGATGGAGTTAGAGCACGAGCAGACCATTGGATTTCTGCACGATTAAGCCATTGTCACACTTACCAGAGGAGGGGATTGCGGGTCGAGAGGATTTGAAGAGCTGCATTGCGGCAGTGATGAGGACCACTGGTTTAGTGCAGCTCAGCTGAATCCTGGGACGCCCATCTGCACGTCTGCATCTTGTGGCAAGATATATCTTAGCTTAATCAATTCTAGCAATGCCCATTGGCCGTGGATTAGCAGGGTTGTTTCATAGCGCGGATAGATCGAGTTTGTGTTTGCTTTTTCTCTGCATTTACGGAAAAGATATTTGTACCTATCATTGCCAGCTGACAACAGCATCAGTTAGTTCAATTGACAAATACGTATCTTAAATTAGAGTGATACTGAGATACCAACATCTTCAGCCGCGCAAATGCTACTCCGGGGCCTGGGGCAGGCCGGCGATTCCCGCGATCTGCCATGGTTAGCTGCAATCCGTATAGTCGCAGATCTTCTGCAGCATGGACCAATGGTTCACCACGTCTCAGATGACTGTCCAATAGTAGAAACGAAATAGAGTAGCTGCCACCTCCATGGTCGCTCTTGTTCCCAATGTCTCATAAACAGTGGGTCGTGGATCCCAGCTATGTTCCTCTGCTGGCTCGAGGGTGCAGATATCCCTCAGCAATACTTAATATGGCTGGATAACCGTGCCCATAGCCGACGGGTGAAACAGTGGAATGGGAGAGGCCACTATTTGCTTATAATTCTGGTAATGATCAGCGATAGGTCCTAAATGGGTCAATGCATGGTGAGGTTGTTAGCAGCAGTGTAACCTGACCATGCAGCGTAAACTCAATTCGAATTAACTGCCAAGTACGACATGGGCTCACCGGGTACCACCTGAGAGTCAACTTGGGATTGCCTTGCACTGTGGCAAATGTCTATAGACGAGATCCTGTGGACGTGGCTGGCTGAGATGGCTTGTCTCATGTAGATCTCTTTGGACATTAACTTCTCATTACGGATATAGAGTCCGTAGATGAGACAGTCCACGTATATCCACGCAAGCCTGGATGTGGTACAACACCACTCGGACACAAATGAGCCGATTGATTCCCCATGGGGAGTAAGGGCACGGATTACTGAATCGAGAGGTACCGCGAATGGACAAAAGTAGATAATGTAGTCGGCAATCCTTGCCCCATTCAGTCAGATCTTGAGCTGGAGACCTTGGCGATACGCATGTTTCTCAGCCGGAACATTGTGCAGCCCGCCTTGGGCTGCAGCTACGTGTCTACTAAGTGTGATCATTCGATATCTCCTGGGTTCAGCTCACTGGTGCAGCGCTACTGCAGGAATGAGACACGTCACAAACAGACGGATCTTCTAGCTGAACCTCTCATGGATACCTTGGCGCCTCGCAGTGCAGATCGTCCATGCTAACGACCAGATCATTGACCTTCTGTGTTACATTTTGCCTACGTCGACTGGCTTCCACTCGCGTTCTCGTTCGGACAGACTTGACCCCAAGGTCCTACAATACTATCAGTTGCTTATAATCTCCTGAAGCCCTACCAAACCATGGCTCTCTCTATGGAAGCTTTACTTTTCTTTCAGGTATAAACAAACATGCTATTAAAACACTCCATCCTTTCCCTTCTCTGTGCTCTGGAGGTTGCCTGGGCCTCGGATCCCTCCGCATGTTTCTCCCCCGACGCCAAAGGCAAAGCCGGCTATAAAGCATGCTGTGACAACCAGAGCAATGGCAAAGGCACTGTAGGCGGGGTCGTGTTCGAGTATACCTGCCAAACATTCCTCAAGAAAGGCGGTGACTATGGCACAACCCACAAGGGAGTCTCCAGCGCGAGGGAATGTGCCCAGCTATGTGCCGGCGACGCAAGCTGCGAGGCCAGCTCGTGGGGGAGCGGCATATCCCAGTGTTTCCTGCTCTCGAGCAAAGGGTACACCCGATTTACCCCCAACCCCGGGTTCCTCATTCTCGAGAAGACCCCCGAGGAGCCGGAGAAACCGGATCGTGTAAAGGACTGCAAGGATCTAGTTGATGCGGGGAAGAAAGAGGGCGAGGCCCAGTGCGCTACCGAGAAGGATAAGCTCCGCAAGGAGGGAGAAGAGGCTCTGCACGAGTGCCAGAAGCAAAAGGAGGCAGCTGTTGCAGAGTCCAAGACACAATGTGAGAAGCAGAAGGAAGCCGCCATTGCAGAGTCCAAGACGCAGTGTGAGAAGGAGAAGGATGAGCTGCGCAAACAGGCCGAGGGAGCCGCGCAGAAAGAGCGCGAGCAATGCGAGAAGGACAAATCTCAACTGCGCCAGGAACGCGACGACGCGTTGCAAAAGTGCAAGTCGGATTGTGAGACGGAGAAGGAACAGCTCCGCCAGCAAGGCACCGATGGAGCAAAACAGTGCGAGAGCGACAAGGCGGCACTGCAGCAGCAGCTCAAGACCTGTCAGGACAACCAGCAGCCGACGAAGCCTACCGACACAGCCGCAGCCCAGGACCCCAAGTGCCGGGATAACAGCTGGCAGAACATGTGCGGTGGCGTGTGCCAGGAGGATACCTTCACCCTCGCTGGAGTCGTGTTCAAAAAGAGATGCTTCGTGCGTACTGTCATGGGACGAGAAGTACAGGTCTACCAGCGCTCGTCGCTTCTCGAGTGCCTGGAGAAGGACTGTGCTCCCAACCCCAATTGTCTGGGTGTGGGATGGAGGCCGTGGGAGGTCGGAGTAAGTTGATCCCTTTTTTGCATCTGTACTGTTTGCCTTGAGGCTAATATCAACAGCATTGCCACGTTCATATGAGCATCGGCCATGGTCTTCGCACCGCTTACAATCCACACGAGCATTTGATCTACGCCAAGGATCGAGTTACGCCGCTGTGAGCCTAGGAAGAGCTCGAGGAATGTTTGGGACTTGGGTTGTAATGGAAGGCACGGAGGATCTGCCTCCAACCTTCTTAGGAGCTTCATAATGTCATTATAAGACTACAATGCAGCGTTGACTCTTCATATGCCAAAATGGAGTTTACAAGGACCATTCTGTGCCTAGACTGGTCACTTGGCAGTTGCACAGTGCATCCTGTAAAGAGGATTAAGATCGTTCGGCTCTCGGTCGCATTGGTACTTTTGTATCTAACCAGCCAGGACCAGACTTGGAATCGTATATTCGTATGGTCATATTTCCCTCCTAAGCTCTATAGAGAACCCTGTCTCTATAGCCAGAAGAGATTGCAAACTACTTCTTCGGGAAAAATAGGTGTCTGGCAATACGTGCCCTTGGCCTCTTGCACGCCAGCCTGGGACTGGCAGGCACTGATCCTTCATATGTCCCTCTATCCTACAGTGACCACCGCGGCAGCGTGTCGCAGGTTGCAGTCGAGATTGAAGGAGACTCCGTGCTTGACGTCTCGCGAACCTCAGCATACAGTGGCTCATTTGGAGTCGGTGTACACTTCGGCCTCACCGCAGACGGAGCCATCCCAGCTAACATCACAAGCCTGACTGGTACTCCTTGCAGGCAGCACAAATTACCATGGGCCAATTTCGGCTCTGGTCGACTGATTCATTGCCGAAGTAATGAAAATTGCACTTTGCAAACGGCCGAGATTCTGGTTGTGGCCGAATGTGATAAAGTGCCATGTATCTGAAATATAGTCCGCCCCTTTCAGGGACCGTCAGCCCCGGAATTGTTATCTACTTTGCCCTTGATTCTCCGCTTTTCAACCGTCGTTAGCGCTTAGGGTGGGATGGTCTATTCGAACTTGATCTGAGGGTTGATATTTGCGGAGGATGTACTATGTAGACAGGTGCATGCCTTGTTTGTCACGGACTCACTTCGGAGTATATCCATTCCCCCATCCGGTCAAATCTAGTCTAGGACCCTGAGTGGGTGGAGCTTCTTAGAGCACTAGGCTGAACCAGACCCTTAGAAGTGTACCCTGAACATCATTTGGATGGCTCCAGCGAATTCTGCACTAAGATAGCGTAGGGAAGTGTGAGACATTTGGTATCAGAATGTACAGGGTCTCAACCGAGCTGATAGCTTTGAGGACGGAGTATATAAGGTATTTCCAGTGCCCTCACTGTTCCTATGGCTGGTCAAACTCGTTCGTTCTTTCTAGCAATCCATGTCTTTCACTTCTATTTCCTTCCTTCCATTCTCTCAGCGAACTAGATCGTTTGCACTTTCTAAAAAAAATGAAGCTTACTTCGTCCATTCTCTTCTCGCTTGCGAGCGTCACCCCGCTGGTCTCGGGGCAGTACGTTTTCTCCAAGCTCATTGTCGACGGCAAACCCACCCAGGACTTCGAGTACATTCGCAAGAACACCAACGGCTACATGCCCACCCTCGCCGCCGATATCCTCAGCAATGACTTCCGCTGCAACCAGGGCTCGATGCAGTCCGCCGCCAGTACCAAGGTATACACGGTTGCCCCCAGCACGGAGCTCGGCTTCCAGTTAGCCTACGGCGCCCAGATGAAGCACCCGGGACCTCTGCAAATCTACATGTCCAAGGCTCCCGGCGATGTCAAGTCGTACGACGGCTCCGGCGACTGGTTCAAGGTCCACCAGGAAGGTCTCTGCGCCGACACCTCCAAGGGGATCGTGGACGAGGATTGGTGTACATGGGGCAAGGATACCGCGTCCTTTAAGATCCCTGAGGATACGCCGGCCGGGCAGTATCTTGTCCGCGTGGAGCATATTGGCCTGCATCGCGGGTTCAGCGGCAATTCCGAGTTCTACTTCACCTGCGCTCAGATCGAGGTGACGGGCTCTGGGTCGGGATCGCCTAGTCCTGTTGTCAAGATTCCCGGCGTGTACAAGCCTGATGACCCGAACGCTCACTTTAACATCTACTACCCTACTCCTACGGCTTACGACCTCCCTGGCCCGTCTGTCTGGACTGGCGGCTCAGTGGGAGCCGGCAGTGCCTCGCCTGCTGTCAGTGCAATTGCAGCGGCACCTGCTGTCAATAACAATGCTGCCTCGGCCGCTCCCACGACCATGACGACTCTCTCCAAATCCTCCGCCAAACCGACTGCAGCAGCTGGTGCAGGAGCAGGTTGCGGTAGCTCAGCTTCCTCGTCCGCTGGATCCCCTGGTGGCGCCCTCAAGAAATATGCTCAGTGCGGTGGTCTGAACTGGACTGGTTCTGGCTCTTGTGAGACGGGTACTACCTGCCACCAGTACAACCCTTACTATTACCAGTGTGTCTAGTCGTGGCCAGTTGGGGCTTCTCGTCAGCGTTGTAGCAGCATGTGGATTCCTCTGCGCGCTCTTACTACGTTTTAGACATCTGATTCCATTCTTTCCTCTCATTTTGACCTGCTATCCACATGGTTGCTCCGATGGAAGCAAGCTCCGAACTAGATTGTATGTACTCCAGATGCCAAGTATGTAATTCAAAATCTACACTTCTGCCTGGTTAGCATCGCAGAGGTCTGTATTAATTGAAGCTCGAAGGGTGCTCGATTAGGTTTGATCAACATGTCCAGACTCCAGAGACTAGAAAACTCTACAACTCTGATGGAAGCTCGACATCTATTATTGAGAATTAGTTAAAATGCAAGCCGGCCAAGTTTCAACCGGCCCAATTAATCTACAGGATGGTATCATGGTCCATGGACATGGTTCCGTTGGCGCCAGACTTGGCTCTTGTAATATTCGTATATTCGTATATCTCTATATCTGTATATCTGTATACCCTACGCACTCCAGTACGTTCGTATCCAGACTACCTTTGGACTCGGCGATACTGGAATCGAACTAGAATTGCGATGTTCTCAAATACTACGGTGGGCGGCCTCAGGAATTCATCTCTTGCGTTTTCTTAAGGCAGTCTGTATCAGCTCACGACGGTATCCCGAGCCCAGCGACGTAGGGCTCAATGGCAGACAACGGCTTTGTCTACAAACTATACCGCTATGTTCCTTCAATTCCAGCTGCTGCGATCATGGCAGCAGACTTTGGTCTCCTGGCCACGGGGTATCTCTATCGCATCGTCAAACACAGGGCATACTTCTTCGTCCCTTTCATCATTGGTCTTCTTTGTATGTCTTCACAGATGGCCACCATCATCATCAAATGCTGACAATTCAAAAGTTGAAACAGCAGGTTATATCGCTCGCATCTTCTCCCGCTTTGATCCAACCGCCCTGGGTCCATATATCATACAGACAATGTTGATCCTCGTCGCTCCCCCCTTGTTCGCTGCCTCCATCTACATGACTCTCGGACGCGTGATCCCAGAGCTGGACGCAGAACCAGCCTCGCTAATTCAAGTCCGCTGGCTAGCCAAGATCTTCGTCGTGGGGGATGTCATTTCCTTTCTGTGCAGTGCGGAGGTAACAGCCCCCCTCATTATCCGTCCATGGCACCCACTAACTCATCCTGATATTTCACAGGGGGCGGGGTACATGGCGGCAGGCACACTCGACGCCATGAAGAACGGCGAGCACATCGTCATCGCTGGTCTCGCAATCCAGCTACTCTGGTTCGGCTTCTTCATCGTCGTCGCATCGCTGTTCCACTGGCGCGTCGTCCGCCATCCAAAGTATACTGTCTCGAAAGACCGGAAATCCCAGGGCTCAGGGACCTCCTGGGCGACTCTCCAGCCTGCGTGCTGATCCTGGTTCGCACCATCTTCCGAGTGGTCGAGTTCGTCTAGGGCAATGCCGGTTTCATCATGCACCATGAGTAGCTCCTCTATGTCTTCGACGCGGTGTTGATGGGGCTGACTGGTATCGTGCTTGGTCTTGTCTTCCCAGGCTCGTTTGTCTCACAACAGTCGCGACGGGCTGAGGATGCTGTTCCTCTTGGTAGTCAGCTGTCTAGGTGATATGGGTCATTTGAGTCTGGCATATCGGTCCATGTGCTGGTCTATGGCTTGGAGTGGCGGTATTGTTTCGTCTATAGACTTCTCGTTCAGACTCTATCACAACTGTTAACTCAGAATCCCATGCTTGAGGGGTAAACCAAGCAACCATAGAAGATATTTAGTGGATCCGTGTATTTCGGAACATTTCCGTGTCTCTTCTTGAGGCTTCGGTAGGGTCGCACCAAGGGTCCACTGAGACCCTGTCCCGCTTAGCTTTATCGTGCCGATGTAGCACAGTGAAACCGCTAGTCTTAGCCTTGGTCCTAACGGCCCTGGAAGCGAGCCTGGTGAGCTGTGGTCTGATTAATGTCGGCTCCCTGACTCTTGCAAGATGCCGTAATTAGAGACAAAAGCAGGCATCTCTTTGGGAAGCTCGTATAGATTGACCCACACTGCGGACTATCCACAATTAAGGGTCTCTGACTTCAGGGACAGATGTCATATCTAGTGACAGCAGCCCGAGGCGACGGCTATTTAACAATGAGTACCCGTCGACGAGAGTGCTCAAAAGACAGACACTCATCATCGTTCGCAAAATGGTCACTTTCAACCGACTTCTGCTCTTCTTCCCCGTTCTCGGGGCGCTTGCCTCCTCCGATCCCACCACGGAGCCCACCATCGAGGCCACCAAGTCCTTCGACTTCCTCCAGCACATGGGAGAAGTCATCTTCAACACCACTGACGCAAATCTCGATCGTCGCGACACCACATTCAGCAGCAGCAAAGACGGCGTGAATGCCGCCGGCTACTACTACTCCCTGTACAACGACAACCACGCCGGCGCCGGCTACACCGAGGACCCCAACAGCGGCCACTTCAAACTCGGCTGGAGCCTGCCTTCTCGCAGCGAGTTCCTTGGCGGAAAGGGCTTTCGCGGTGGAAGTACTCGGTACGGAACTAATCCCTCTATCAGTCCCTCAACTCATAACTAATATCCAACAGCACCCTCACCTGGGACGGCCACTTCTCCGCTAAAGGCGATTACACTCTCGCCGTCTACGGCTGGACCACCAACCCCGTCACCGAGTGGTACATCGTCGAGGCGCACGGCACCGGCACACCGGGCAACGGCCACATTCTGGGCCAGGTGTACGCTAACAATGGCGTGTATGATGTCTACATGCTCCCCTACCGCAATGTGCCAAAGATATATGGCACTACGAACTTCAACCAGCTGTGGTCGGTTCGTCGGGCCCATCGCACGACTGGCACGGTCGATGTCACGGCGCATTTTAACCGCTGGAAGCAGCTGGGTTTGAAGCCAGGGAATCCCGTCTTTCAGATGGTGACTGCGGAGGGGTTCCAGGGGAGTGGGTTTCTTGATTTTACTCTGCATTAGAGCCGTGATTCGGATATGTACGTGCTGTATAGTTGTGTAGAAATATATATCATATGGTGGTTGGGTAAGAAAGTGCACCACTAACATCACCGACTATTAAAAGGGTAGTAGAGGCCAAGGATTGCCTTGCAATTATGGTAAAAAGTAGTTATTATAATTTCTGTCCTTGTTATGCTGTGCCTGAATGTCTATTGTTTGCCTGTAGGCTGTAGGATAATGTCTTGGCGCTAGGGATGAAGCAAACGGAGCAAACAAGAGATATCCCGACTCCAGCATCCATTGCAAAGGCATCAATCAATCAGCAGAGGCGATATAATCAAATGGCGACAGACGATCACTCCGATCGAAGCACGCGCAGAAGAATACGAGCTAGGCACACCAAGTCGCGCAGAGGGTGCTTTACCTGCAAGGGTCGCCGAGTCAAGGTGCGTACCGTATTCCGTAATCCGTATGCTACTGCCTAGGACGGACGACGCTGACACCCTCAGTGCGACGAAATTAAACCAACATGCGGTGCTTGTGCGTTGAGAGGCGAACCCTGTGACTGGCCTGCCGAAACAGGTTCTCAAGGGCATGATACGCCCCGGTCACAGGCTGACTCCCACGGCGCTAAAGCACCCCAAGATCAATCCAAGCGCAGGGCAGCACATCCAGACTCAGGGTCACCGCGCCCGTTGCAGTTTGATATCGCGTCGGATGCAGTCGGTGGCCGTTCGACTCCCCACCCCGGGGAGCTGAACATGGTTGATCTGCAGCTCCACTCTCATTTCATGCTGCACACCTCCAAGCACATGTCGCTGAACCGGCGCCGGCAACACATCTGGGAAACCGTCATTCCCCGCTTCGCCGTGCGCAGCAAGGCCCTCATGCACCTCCTCCTTGCCCTGGCGGGGCTGGACTACGCCTCGGACAGGACAGCCGACACGCAACCAGCACACAGGTCTCCAGACATGGAGAGCCAGCCCTCGTCGACCATCGCAGACCACGACCACACCCTGGACTCCGCATACCTCCAGATCATCATCGAGCACCACCAACGCGGCCTGGAAGCGTTCAGGACAGAGCTCGCGAACCTGTCCAGCGCGAATCTCAACCTCGTGTTCGCGGGCTCAATGCTACTGGTGGGGTTCGCGCTCGCCTCCCTCCGCATCCGGAATCTGAACGACGCGCACTCGCAGCCAGGCCAGCCGCGCCTCGACTGGATCTTCCTCATCCACGGCCTCTGCACTGTCATCAAGCACAACTGGCCGGAGCTGCGCATGGGCCCGCTGCGAGGCATGACGGAGTACAGCTACGCCAATGACGACTGGCGACTGTGTCCGCGGGACGCGCTTCGCTCAGTGTCTTCCATACGTCGAGGGTGCTCTCCGCGTCTGGTTGCGTTCTGCCGCGGTGCGGATGAGGCCCTGACACAGCTGGTTGGATACCATGCGTCCTTGGCCGACCGGGAGGGACAGATCCTGGCGGAGCAGAAGGCTGCCCTCGAGCTCCTGGAGGGGATGTACATGCGGACGCTGTACGTTGTGCGCTTTTCGGACGAGGCGCGAGAGTCGCCGCTTGATGTACAGGCTGATCTGGAAGACGCGGCGCTCATGGCCTGGGCGGAGTTCCTGCCTGAGGGGTTCCTGGATACTCTTGCTGGCGACGGGGTATGTTCGACGCTGTCGTATGTGATTCTGGCGTACTTTCATCTTCTCTTCTCGCTGTTTGAATCTCTTTGGTATGTTCAAGGGGGTTTGATGGGGAGATTGTGAAGATTAAGGCGCTGGTCGATATGTCCGCGGAAGGGGAGTTGGTCTCATTGATGCAGTGGCCGGTGTCTGTTATTGCTGTCAGTCATGATCATAGGAGTCTATATAATTAATCTTCAGTAAAAGTACAATTGTGGCTGGTCAAGTAGATGCAGTTTCTTGCTTTGTTGGTTATTACCCCCTATTTGCCATATTAGGAAATTGATAAGATGGTCCATCCGAGCAAATACTAATGGCCACATTGCGTAGTGCAACAAGTCAACAACGTCATATTTAGCACTCCACACACATCATCTTGTTATCCTCTACTACATCATCACAAGAACAGTCTCATCAGTAGATGAAAATGGATAAAATGGATAAAATGGACCACCCCTCGACAATGAAAGCTTGGCTCTACACCAGCACCACCGGAGGCCTCGAGAAAAACCTCGAGCTCAGCACCTCCGCCCGCACCCCCGGCGCCCCGGCCACGACCAACTGCTCATCAAAGTCATCTCAGCATCCATCAACCCAGCCGACTACAAAGTCCCCGAAATGCCCATCGCATCCCGATTTCTCGTGGCCTACCCCGCCACCCCGGGAATGGACTTTTGCGGGAAGATAGTAACCGCCGGCCCCGGCGTGACAGCCTTCCAACCCGGCCAGCTCGTCTACGGCACCACCGCTGCGCCGACGCAGTTCGGCTCGCTGGGCGAGTACCTCCTCTGCAAGACGGGGAATGTAGCTCTCCTACCGGAGGGTGTAGCGCCCGACCACGCCGCCACCGTGGGCGTCGCCGCGCAGACGGCGTACCAGTCTATCGCGCCGTATGTCTCGCAAGGCGACAGGGTGTTTATCAACGGGGGTTCAGGCGGGTGCGGGATCTTCGCGATTCAGGTCGCCAAGGCGCTGGGGTGTACCGTCACCACAACGTGTTCGACGCGCAATGTGCAGTTCTGCAAGGATCTGGGGGCCGATGAGGTGATTGACTATGCCCAGGAGGATGTGCTGGGTGTCCTCCGTGCCCGGGGGCAGGTGTATGCGCATGTGGTCGACCATATTGGGCTGCCGGAGGGGCTGTACGCGCAGTCGCATGCGTTCTTGCTTCCGGGAAAGGCGTTTGTGCAGGTGGGTGCGGCGTCGATGCTTACGTTTGTGCGGCGGGTGGTGTGGCCTGGGTTCCTGGGGGCGGGAGGAGGAAGTATGTGATTTTTATGCTGAAGAGTAATAAAGAGGATATTGCGACGCTGGGGGAGTGGATGCAGCAGGGGAAGTTGCGCGTGGAGGTTGACAGCACGTATGAGCTGGAGGATGCGGTCAAGGCGTTTGAGAAGCTGAGGTCGGGGAGAGCCAGAGGGAAGATTATCATTCATGTTTCTACTGAGTCCAAGTAAGCTACGCTAGTCGGGCGTCCGAAATTAATGCACTCATCTACTGGAGTATGCCCTATAGCCGGAGAAAAGTAAGCGCCCCCAGGCTCATCGCATCAACGGCCGTCCGCAGAGTCGGCTGGATACACGGCGCAAAGAACGGCGAATGGTTACTCGGCAGCTCGTTCACCGTCCCCTTGGCCACGGCATCATCCCATGTCTTCTCGTCGACGCCGCCATACGTCCACATCACGTACGGGGCCCCAACCGCAGTTGCTAAAAGGGAGAAATCCTCACTTGCCGCTATAGACTCCGACTCGACCAGATTCTCCCGGAAGTAGGCGCCAAAAGTCTCCTTGAGCGCACGCACAGTAGCCTCGTCGTTGATGGTAGCCGGTGTGGACGAGACTATCTTGACAGATGGCTTCTCCACGGCACCAGCTGCCTCGCATTCAGCTTCAACAATCCGCTTAATCCCCGCGATGACTCGCTCACGAGTCTCTTTATCATACGTCCGCACACTGAGCTTCAGATCCAACTGATCCGGAATGATATTCGACTTGGTGCCCCCATGGATACTCCCACAAGTCACAACCGCCAACTCCCCCGGCGTCACCTCCCGACTCACAATACTCTGCAGCCTCGTCACAATCGCTGCCCCAATAACAATCGGATCGATGCACGACTGCGGCGCCGAGCCATGCCCACCACGCCCATACACCCGCACATGCATCCCATCCGCAGCCGTCAGCAGCCTCCCAGCCTTCACACTTACCGTCCCCGTCTTCATCCGGACCAGATGCTGCGCAAGCACCACATCCGGCTTCGGGACTTTATCGTACAGCCCGTCCTCGATCATCGCCCGCGCACCGCTCACATGCTCCTCCGCCGGCTGAAACAGACAGATCAGTGTTCCGGACCAGTGCTCCCGCGCTGCGTGCAGCAGGCTGGCGCCAGCCATGAGGCAGACAACGTGGGTATCGTGGCCGCAGGCGTGCATCACGGGGACGGTCTCCCCGTCGGAATCTGTGGCGGTTTTGGTGCTTGCGTAGGGCAGGCCGGTTTTCTCTTCGACGGGGAGGGCGTCCATGTCGGCGCGGAGGAGGACGGTCGGCCCTCGTCCGTTGCGTAGAACCCCTGCGAGGCCATAGCCGCCGATGTGTGTGTGGACGTCGAAACCGAGGTTTTTAAGGTGTGAGGCGGCGATTTTGGAGGTTTGTTCCTCTTGGCCGGAGAGTTCGGGGGAGCGGTGGATTTGTTTGTAGGTTTCCTCGAAGGGGTTAGGTCCGGGCGGTATTTCTCAATGAGGCCATTGAGGATGGTGGGAGCTTATATTATTGTTAGATTGATCTATATTAATAGTGCAAACTTACCTCTCATCTGCATGGTGGTATCTCTTCAATTGGGCTGTGGGGGAGAAGGTTGGACTCTCTTATGTCCTTGCGGCGTGGGCGAGTACTTATACCCCGCGTTATCCTGCATCCCTTGCTTCATTAAGATAGATATTCATATATGATTGGCGCATAAGGAGATACGATGATCTCTTCGTTTGCACTGCTGATTGGATCGATCATGCCGAGCTATGCCTGTTGTCGGCTGCCTCCTCCAGTATCATGTCCCATCTTGAAGCTAGACAGTTGGAATGGAGACACGCGGTTAAAGACTTTGGCGGGGCTTTCAGTAGCTCCAGAGACGTTTATTGTTAGTATTATACCCGAAATATCCTAGCTTAGTCCAATCATCGGCGATGCCAAGTGAAAGCTTCTGCGTCCAAGGGCTATTCTCGTATTCGTTGAGGCGGAGCATGATGCATGAGGCCACCTAAAGGCTAAGGGATAACCTGCGAGCTCGAATGTAGGAAGAAAAAGTCCTCGAACAAATTAATCTACATCATGATCACACTCTGCGATCTGCCAGACGAAATCCTGCTAGAGATCCTCACCCAACATGTCGGCTCCGAACACGACATCAACGCCTTCTCCCAGACAAATCACAGGCTCCACACTCTTGCGAACCGGTGCCTCTACCGCCAGAACGCACTGCACAACCGAAGCAGCGCGCTGATATGGGCATCCGAAACCGGGAATCTAGGCACAGCCCTATACGCCCTCGACCACGGCGGGGCAGACATCAACATCAAATCCCTCAAGCACTACGGCGGGACACCGCTCATGCTAGCCTCCGAAAAGGGACACGGCACGATCGTCGAGTTCCTGCTATCCAAAGGCGCAAACCTGAACGCGACTAACATCTTCCATGAAACTGCCCTCAGTGTAGCAGCACAGACTGGCGCGCTCGACACCGTGGAACTCCTACTGGATCAACCCGGGACTCTTACCGACCTGCCCGACACATCCGGACAGACCGCGTTCTGGTGGGCATGCTCTAATGGCCACCTAGCAGTCGTGGAGAGACTGCTCGCCAGACCGGATGTCGACATCAACCGCCCACGTCAAGACGGCGTGACGCCGCTGATCTCGGCAACCGGCGCAGGTCACACTGCCGTGGTGCAAGTGCTGTCTGCGGACGAGAGAATCGATCTGGATCGCCACACGGAGGATTCCAAAACAGCGCTGATGGTAGCGGCGCTGCACGGCCGCGAGTCAATTGCAAAGCTGCTAGTCGACATGCCATCATGCAACGTTGATGCGGAAGACTCCGAGGGCAAACGGGCGCTTTCGTACGCTGTCAGAGGCCACTGCAGGGCGATCGTGCAGCTACTGCTCGATAACGGTACAGATGTAAACCACCAAGATCAATTTGGTCAGACGGCACTTTCCACCGCCGCGGATCTTGGCAGTGAAAGCATGACAGCCTTGCTACTTCAGCATGGTGCTGATCCTACCCTAGCGAATAGTAAAGGCTGGGTCCCTCTTCACTGGGCTGCGCAGGCCGGTCATGAGGCCGTTGTCCGGGTACTTCTCGAAGACGATCGTACAGACCCAGGGCATGCGAGCTTGATCGGCACAGCGCCGCTCCATTGTGCGTCGTGGGACGGTCACTATGATGTGCTAAAGCTCCTGTTAGCCAGAGACGATATTGACGTGAATTGCGAGGACAACGCTGGCTGGACACCTCTGACCTGGGCAGCATTTAACAAATCCACGAGTCTGATGCAACTATTCTTGGATGATCCCCGTACGGACGTCAATGCACAAGAGCACCAGGGCAGGACGGCGCTTTTCTTTGCAGCGAAAACGCGTCAGCGAGCTGTTGTGGAAGCTCTTTTGAGTCATCCAATGATCGATGCTGCGATCACAGATCACACCGGCAGAAATGCTGTGATGTATGCGAATGAGCTTGGGCATCTGGATATTGCTGCCTTGATTGAGGCATCTGTAAAGAGAAGGGCAATACCAATAGTATAGCTCAAAGGCCCCAGCAGAAGAGAAGATTACCCTTTTACATACCGAAAGACTACCATCCGTTGCTCTACACCCGACTTCTACATCCAGGTAGCACGTACACTCATCAGTAAATGGTTATTTTCTTCGCCTGACTCTTTCTGTTTTGGAGGCCATTGTGGGCTGAACTATGGGCAGTAATACCGCCAATAAGTGAGTTCCCTTTAGCTATCAAATATACGGATTCGCTCCCTGATCTACCGCTTATCTTCTCCGCCGTGGACGGGGACCATCCGGATATTGTCAGATTTGCTGCTGGAACGAGGGGAGGATATTGAATGTCGAGACGACACTGCAGCAACGCCTCTCGTTCACGCTGCGAAGATGGGGAGCCCAAAGTTTTTGAAGATGCTTCTTCGGCGCGTTGCCCCATATTAATGCAAGAGATGAGAATGGTTATTCACCACTCTATTGGGGGAGGGGACGGAGATGGTGGACATGCTGTTGGAATATGATGCGGAATTGGAACCTCATTGTGACGCGTAACTCAGACTAATACTGGCAAGTGGATGAGATTAAGCTGGGATTACAAACAATACTCAGTTCTTTTCACATCACGCTGAGTATGTCGTAGGACCAGGGTGTGCATCCCGAGGAGGTCATCAAGGTCGTCGCATTCAGAACAGGATGTTGTCTGTTAATGAACCTGACTATTGTCAATCTTTATGTGATCAGAACAATTACTCTACATGGTCACCTCAGTAAATACCCTTCCTGTTCACCATCATCCAGACCAACTCATTCTGTGATATCACTCTCCAGATCAACCATCTAAGCAAACCCGCTCGCAAGACCTTCAAGACACTTGACCAGATTATCCATCCACGGAGACAAGACACGAGCCTCATCAGTCCCCCGATTATAGGTGACATGAAACTCCAACATGCCGTTAAGAATAACCGAATTGATCTCGAGCATGGCCCACCGGCCCAGCTCGCCCGCGCCATCAAACAGATTCTGCTTCGCCATGGGTTCCATGCGGAAGAGGGCACCGTCCTGCTCAACCTGCTGGAACTTCCCCGCGTAGTTGAAGGTTATCTCCATCAGCTGCATCCCGGCGCTGCATTTCTCCTGCTGAGTGTTGTGGTATATCGATGTGAAATGCTTCCATCCGTGCATGTCCATCGCTCGTCGAGCTTGCCGAACGGTACGCACTACCGTCTCGAGACTATCCAATAGACTCACCTGTGCTGCCACTGGCCAGAGAGTGGTGAACCACCCAATCGTGCGGGTGACGTCGATGGAGGAATCCCACGTCTCGCGGCCGTGGGCTTTACCGAAGATGCAGGGAGCAGGTCGGTGAGGAAAGGTCTGTACGAAAGAGAAGAGGATGGCTGCGTGGAGGAGCTCGACCGGTTGGACGTCAAGGGCTTGGCTGGTAGGGCCAAAGACATTGTTGGTAAGCTCCTCGCTCAGCCGGACCAGCCTCGTCTTGGAGTCTCCCCTTGTATTGGCATTGTTCACCGCCCCCCAGAACTTGCGCATCGAGGGCTCATCTATACTGCAGAGCTGCTGGACGGGTGGTGGTTCCAGATGACGCGCGCCGTACTCGGCCTGCAGACGAGCCCATGTTTGGAAGGACGTTGTGAGCTGGGGCTCGTGTTGAGGCTCAAGAATCATCGCTTCCATATCAGCTAAGATAATGCGCCAGGACACAAGGTCAAGCACCAATTGATGCCCGATCATGAAAAGGGACTGCTGGCCATCGTGTTCGAACAGGTCCACAGTAAACACTGGGCCGTGCTCCGGGTCCAGCGATGTCTGACTCTGGCCGATTATATGCCGCATCTCTTGTACTGAATTGATCTTGTGCGCGCTGAAACGAAAACACTGCTCGGTGTAACCTGTGAGAAACTGCTTCCATGAACCGTCACTCTGCCGGGCATAGCGAGCTCGTAATATCGCATGATTCCTGACCAACTTGATTGCCGCCCTCTCCACATTGCTGTCTGCAACCGGCTTTTGGAAATGGACCAGGATGTTCTGGTTGAATCGGCACGTTCCCTCAGGGTACATTTCGAAGAAGAATTCCTGGATTGGTGTCAAGCCAAACAGTTCATCCGTTACCTCATCCTGGACAACATGTGCGATGGTCGAAACCACACCGATCTTCTTTGCAATCGCTTCGATAGATTTGAGTTGATTGATGTCCTGGATGGAGTGTTCTAGGCCTCGAGAGCGCGCCTCTGCAACAACTTGCATGGCAGTGATAGAGTCACCACCAAGGTGGAAAAAGCTGTCCTCCACGCCAATGCTGTCCCGAGGGACCCCGAGTATCTGCGCCCACACTCGCTGTAAGTCCTGCTCGACACCGGTGGAGGGAGCCCTGCGTGGCGTGTTTGAGACACTGTACGCCTGGAGATCTGACCAAGACCGTTTCCCGACTTCCTCCTTCAGTCTGCAGCGGTCGACTTTGTCGCTGCTTGTCTTTGGCATTAGGGTGACTGGAAGATAAATTGACGGCACCATGTGGCCTGGGAGGATCGAGTGCAGTTTGGATTGAATGGCTGCCGCGAGGTGGCGGAATTCTTCTGTAGGAGGCGTAATCAGGGCCTTTGCAGAGTGAACACAGAAGGATTTGCTGGCTCTCGGGACAATGAATGCCACCAGATACGGTTGCGTCGGCCTATCCGAAGGCGCTGCAACGACTGCCGTTACTTCCTGGATCTCGTCGATCCGGCGAAGGTGCTGCTCGACCTCCTCCAACTCGAACCTCTGCCCACGGATCTTAATCTGCGAGTCCTTCCGACCTATGAAATTCAATGAGCCATCCTCGTTGTACTGGACTAGATCACCGGTCTTGTACACCCGACTTGGCTTCCCATCGCGCACAGCCCGCAGCCAGCGTGGTTGTTCGATGAAGGCCTGCCGAGTGGCTTCCGGATTATCCAGGTATCCTCGACCGACCGAATGCCCTTCAAGCAGGAGCTCCCCAATGGCTCCAATTGCCACTAGCCTTTCGTGATCACGCTGATCTGCAATCCAGGCGACAACGCCCATCGGGAAACCAATGTCCCTCTGCTCGACATCTGAGATCTTCCTGATGGTAGACGCCACAGAGCATTCGGCAATACCGTATTCGTTCATCAACCGAACTCGTTTCATCCAGTAGTTGCGATCAGCTGGTGACATGGCCTCGCCACCCATGACTAGCACGCGTAGCGATGGGAGCTTTCGCTGCATTAGTAGTCGGGCTGTAGAAGGAGTCAAAAACGCATGTGTGACTGCCAGCCTCTGAACAGAGTCGGCAAAGTGATCATGGCGCTCCAGGTCGGATAGTATGCAGACACACCCGCCAGCCATGAGTGTGCTGAGCGTCTCCATAATGCTGACGTCGAAGGCGTAGGAGGCATACTGCAGCACTCTCGAGTCGCTATCAAGGAAGTGCGCGCGGTTGTGCGCTACGGCGCTGGAACAATACGCTTGGTGGTCTATAACTGCGCCTTTTGGAGTACCTGTTGACCCGGATGTAAAGACGACGTATGCTGGGTCTTCTGGGCTGACAACGGGGAGGGTGGCGCTGGGATCATCTGCCCGGAATGCGGCATTTTCGTGGATAGCTATAGCCGTGGGAGCGAGCGAGACCGCTTTTTCAGACATGCTCTTTGAACACAGAACAACTTTGCTCTTCAAGCCTTCGCAAATGGCCTGGAGACGCTGGGGAGGATAGGAGGGATCAAGGAGAACAAATGCGGCGCCTGCTTTCAAAATACCCAACATAGCCACTGGCGACCACTTGCACTTCTCGAACAGCACTGGGATATATTTGCCCGGTTCGACACCGTGGGCAAGTAATTCGGCCGCCACGGCGTTAGCTGAATGTATGAGCTCGGCGTAGGAGAGATCTCCGTCGGGAGCAGATACCGCACATGCATTGGGATACTCCAGATAACGTTCCTCGACAATATCATGCACGCACTGCCTCAAGACAGGGCGCAGAGTGCCACTCCATCGCTGTATCTGATCCCAGTCTTGCCGACTCATCCGGGGCAAATCGCCGATTTTGCGTGAGGGATCTGCCATGACCTCTTGCAAGACCAGTTCAAGGTGTTGCAGCAGCCTTTGCACACGCTGCCGACTGATCATGTCAGGATCAAAGGTCGCGGTGACTTCGCAATGGCGATCATGGTGCGTCATCTGACATTCTATTGAGAGGCCGTAAGCAGAGAATCCTCCCGTCTGAGTTGCAGAAAAGTCGCAAGCCTCGAAGAGATCTGGCGGACTCGGAGGACAAGGTTGGATAATCAGTTGGCTTTGGAACATACAGGCCGACCTTGCCTCGGGCGAGTACCTTTGAATATTCTGTAGACCGGCTTGCTCAAATGGAATGACCTCCAAAGAGTGAGCCTGGATCTCGGCCAATACACTCGTGACTGTCTGATCCGGCAACAGCTTGATACGCTGTGGAATGGTGGCGATGGTTGGGCCGGTCATTTCACCGACGCCGTCGACGGTAGCACCTCGACCGTTGACTGTAATGCCAAAGACAGTGTCAATGCTGCCAGTATTGCAGGAAGTGACGACAGCCCATGCTAGCTTAATGTAGCTTGCCGTAGTGATCTGCTTGTTTGAGTTTCCGAGAAGGTTCATTCCAAAGTCGAACTTTTCGCTAGCCACAGGAGTGTAGGAGGGAGAGGGCAGAGGAGGGAATGCAACTGCCTCGAGGCCCTGGAACTGGCTGATCCAGTAGTCCTTGAAGTGAGATTTCTTGTTCATAAGATACCTGATGAACGCGCTGAATCGGTTGCTCGGTAGATTGGAGTGTCCATATGCAGCTGTCAGCTGGTCCAGTAGCAACCGTATAGACCATTGATCGCAGAGAGCGTGATGCGCAACAAATACAAATGCGGATGCTGAGTCTGCGTCCTTCCCGTCAGGAATGATGTACGCATGGACGAGATTATCTCCAACCCGGTGCACGAGTGCATCTGATTGCTGTATGCAGTCCTCGAGATTCTGTGCCCGAGCCCACGAAAAGGGTTCCTTGCAAACCACCTGGAGCGTCCCATGCGAGGCAGATAAGATAAACCGAGTTCGTAGGACGTCGTTCAGCTGTACAACACGCTCCCACGCTGCTGTAAGAGCATCGATACGAACATTCGAGCGCAGTTTGCAAATCACCCTCGCCTTACAAAGCGAAGGGTCCCGTGCAGTCATGGCGACAAGTCCCTCCTGAAGGGCCGTGGACGGATAAATGTCTTCGATAATGTCTTCGCCAATACGGCACTGGGATACTGCCAGTTGCTTTAGCTCAGAGACTGATTCTGGCTCCAGCAATTCCATAGTTCGGACTGCTGGGCGTTCACATCCGTTGCTCAAGTTCGCAGCAGAAGCGAGTTCAGCCAACACTGGATGATTGAAGACGTCGCGTATCGTCAAGCGCAGCCCTTGCCGTCGAGCAGACATGGTAAGCTTCATGGCAGAAGCCGAATTACCACCGAGATGAAAGAAATTGTCATGCATTCCAAAGTGCTCCGGCACCAGACCCAAGACATCACACACGGCTGCATGGATTGCTTCTTCGGCCTTGCCCTGTGCTGTTCTAGTACTTACCACCTGAGTAGTAAGTCCATGAAGCTGAGCGTAGGACAGCTTGTTGACGTCGCGGCACAGGGATCGGCGGTCAGCTTTGCCGGTAATAGTGGTAGGGATCTGGCTGAGAGGAAGAAAGAGCTGTGGAATCATGAAGGCTGGTAAGCGAGATCGTAGGCCGTTCCTGACATGTTCCACCTTCGACTGGTACTCCTGATCCACCTCCGCGAACCCTAGTTTCCCATGCGAAAAGCCAGTATGGCCATTGTTCGGCGGATGAAGAGTGAGAGCAACGAGATTCCGCTGGTGGCTCCCCGCATCCGAGGGCTCATGAACCATGACTATCACCATCTTGGCCTGGGGGAAGAGTTGCCTGACATGATACTCGACCTCGCCAATTTCCAGACGTTGACCGTGAATCTTTACTTGATTGTCCTTCCGCCGCACGTAGACCAGCGAACCGTCCTCTGCATATCGCACCAGATCTCCAGTTTTGTAAACTCGCAATGAGCTCCCGTCCTTTGACAAAGCTGGCAAAGTCAGCCAGGGGGGCCGCTGAAGGAACACTGCCGCTGTTCGTTCTGGATCACCCCGGTAGCCCTGCGCGAGACTGGGGCCTTCAATCACAAGTTCACCCACCGCTCCTATAGGTGCCAGTTTTTGGTGATCTAACGGGTCCACTATCCATGCCCTGGCGTTTACTGGATGGCCGATTGACTTCCTATCCTCAGGTGTGCGTATTTGCCTCGAGACGGCAAAGATCCCAGCCCATTCTGTTAGGCCGTATGCCTGGAAAAGTCGTGCTCTCGGTGCCCAGGCTCTGATGTCACGTTCTCCAATGGGTTCACCGGCGACGAAGAGGTGCAAATTGTTGAAATTGTCAGGGGATATAGACGCCAGCACCGTAGGAGTGATAAAGGCCCAATTGATCCGCATCTTTGTCATGAACTCCCCGAGACTGTTAAGGCGGTCATGGTCCGAGGGTATACATAATGTCCCTCCAACAATCAGAGTGCACCAGATCTCCAGCAAGGAGGCACCAAAGCAAAATGAAGCAAACTGTAGACTCCGGCTTTTCTGACTCAGGCGTAGTGACCGTGCGTGTGTCGCAATACTGGCAAAGGCAACATGGCTCATTTCGCAGCCTTTCGGGTCACCAGTGCTTCCCGAGGTGAAGAAACAGTAGGCTGGAGCAACTGCGCTGTTTGGAGCAGTATACCGCTTGCTGTGTAGGAGACAGCAGCTGAGTATGGAGTCGGAAATAACGAGGAGGGGCAAACCCAATGGACGAAGGATTGATTCAGTCGTTGGAGAAGCGAGAGCAACGCGGGCTTGTGTCTTCTGAATGATCGTCTCCAGTCTACTTTGAGGATACGCCGGATCGAGTGGGACAAAAGCAGCCCCGGTCTTGTTAATAGCAAGCATAGCTGCAATGGCCCATTTTGTCTTTTCGAAACACACCGGTACCAGGTCCCCAGATCCAATGCCTCGCTCTTGGAACCTGGTCGCCATAACAGTAGAGAGCTCCTCTAGCTCTGCATACGTGAATTGTCCGTCCCACGAGTCGACGGCCAGAGTGTCTCCATGTACCGTTGCGTTTCTGCTGATGAATTCGAATAGGAACGACCGATCTGGTTGAATGATTCTTGCGTTCTGCCAGGTAATGACCTGTGCCTTTTGGAGCGAGCAACAAAAATCTACTTCTCCGATGGATTGGTTGGGATTCTCCGATATAGATGCAATCGCCTGTGCAATGCCGTCGGCCAGATGCCTTGCGTATGTACCGGCGATTGCACTCGAACGGTAAACAAGGGACAGTTCCGCGCTTGTCCGGTTGGACTGCAGGAGGAGGTTGATATCGTGGTACTAGGAAGATATCAATCCGTGTACTCGACACGACTTCAGAGCGTATACGTACCTCGACGTCGAGAAGACATCTCCCGTTCTGGTTCTCGATCACGAAGACGCCCGTGTTGAAGGAATCTGAGTGCTTCTGATCGACGAACCGGATATCCCAGTTCCTGATGTCGAACAATGACGAGACAGGGTCTGATGGGCTCAGGGAGCTGCTGAAAATACGCTTCGTTCCTCCAGAACCCTTTCCACTGGCCGATATACTTGTCGATACATCGAACCGAGCCGTGTCGACTTCGGCATACTGACGCAGTGCTAATGCCCACAAACCCGCCAGCAGGAGATGCACACCTGCATCGCGAGCATTGGGAATGGCCATCAACTTCTGGACAAGGTGGTTATCGAAAGTGATACTCTGCATGTCAGGCCGAGTCATAGTAGGAAAGAAGCAGATGGCACCCCCGTCCACCTGCGTTCTTGCCCCATTCTGCGTAGTCATTTGTAGTGCGTGTTATTTTGAAAATGAAGGAACTGCCCTAAGGAAGGTGTCACCTATGCCAGCTCATGCAGCTTAAGAAGAATATGATACTGTCCTTCAACAACTGCAGAGCGTCTGGCAACATTCTTAAGCGAACAGGCAGGGGCCGTCAGCATAGGGCTACACGTGTAAATTTGAACTGTACTCCCAAATTATGAGCAGTAATCCCAGGTCCTCAGATCACACGGACATTTTGTTGGATTCCACTTCCAAAGCAAGGGTCATCTTTGACTGGTTGCCCGACCGTGCCAAATTATGAGCGTAGTCATGGATGATAGTTTGGGTACAGAATTTTAATCCAATGCTACGCTTTCTTCCGGAATTACTGAAAGAGGCATTGGTAACGACCATGTCTATTAGACTTACTTGCATTTCTGACTCGACAAAAGCATCTATGTGTGAGATTCAGCTGGCGCTTTTTTTGTGACTGCCACGGTCGATCTTCAACAGCTGAAAAGCCCAAATTCCAATATCGAAGACCCAACTGCTTGCCTTTCTGTTTTCTTTTTTTCCTTAGACAGAACAGCAGGGGGGCAAATCTCGTCCTGTAGTAAAAGATCTGCAGATCCCTCGCTGCTTACCCGTCGAGACTTACTCCATGGCAGGCGCGTGCAGCAATCCGGGCCCAAGTGTAAACAAGCACACGTTGTATCCGAAAGAAATGGGATGTATACAGCCTGACGACGTCTGTAAACCCCACAGAGACCGAAAATTGTGGCTGGCGGACGGTGATCTCCAAAGCCCGTGTGCCAATATCGATAGCCCCTTGCATATTCGCGATGGATCTAGTACATGTTGTATGTCAACCATTAAGCTTATTGGTCGGTTGAAAGGCCTGATTAATGAGAGGCTGTCGGGGAGAAGCATGAATAGCTCAGTTGTCCGAGTCCAGGCCTTGAACAGTACAGACCACTTTTTCAGGGCAGAGCGCCATGCAAGCTCCCCAGGCAGCTGAGTGTATTATGCAAGTCCCACAATGACGCATTGATAGTTGGATTTGCAACATGTCTACCAGAGTTGTTTGATGGAAGGATAGACTCAAAAATGAGTAGCTGGCAGAATCCACAATGATGTGCACACATGGTATGGAAGTAGTACGACTGGAGTCGACTCGTTTGTGCTATCCAAATGGAGACGCTTCATGCACAATAAGGATTATCACTTTATCTCCCCTGTCTAATAGTATGTCTACCGTGGGCAAAATCCATTGATGGCTTGCAGAGTACAGCCAATAGTTGGAAAAAGAACAGAACCCGAGCAAATGGATGCAGAAATAGCTGAAGTCATCTCGGCCGCCACTAAGCCACCTGTCCATGCTTTTTTTCCCCTTCACCAGTCAGAGGCGTCTACTTTGAGTGATTTCGATTTGGTCTAAGATGATCTCCATCAGCTTTGATGGTTGGGTAAGGCTTATGCCGAGCCATTGTTTGTCAACCCGGTGCAGGGGTCTAGAATGCAACTCAAAATTCAGCCATTATTTCCATATAGCCTGAGACCGAAGAGTAGAATGGGACTCTAGGCCACTGCTTGTCAAGCAGGTAAATAGGTTTTATTCTTTTCAGCCCATGTAGAATGCAAACATTTAGTCATAGCCCGAGTTTCTTTTGATTTCAGCCCCCTGAGCTGAGCACCATTACTTGTTTCAATGTGACTCAGTGCGACATATGCAGCTTATTTCACAACCATCGGCAAGGGATCTGCCACATCGACGTAGACATTCCATAGACCATGCCACATATCTGTGTGGAGAACACCGACAAAGCAAGGACCTGACCGGGAATGTCGGACAAACTCGATTTGCTCTGGCAATCTGATGTGATCTCCATACACGGTAGTGCGTAAATCCCCCTTCTCATGCAGTCAGCGTCGGTGTAAAGCAAGGTGGTAGGTCTTCCTGAACAAAAAGCCAGTGTAGGGTACTCAACGTGGATAATTCATTATTATCTCCTTAATGTACTCGTGGTTTGTCCACAGTGTAGTATTAAAGCCTCTTACTACATTCAATGCTTCATAACTGTCATACAATCGATTTGGTCCTTCTGATCTGAAGATATACAGTTCCGCAGCCACTATGTCTCCCTTGTCTATGCAAACCGATTCTGCTCAAGGAACTACTGAGAATAAGTCCCTGGAGACGAACGGGACCTCAAACGACCAGCAATTGCCGTGGAAGGTGCTGGGAAAATCCCTTGGACTTCCGACAATTGACCAAGAGCAGTATTGGCTCAACACTGCCCCGTACTTTAATAATCTCTTGATCCAGTGCGGCTACGATGTCCACCAGCAGTACCAGTACCTGGCCTTCTATCACCGGCATGTTCTCCCTGACCTTGGTCCCTTCATTCGGTCTAGTGCAGAAGCCAACTACATCAGCGGCTTCTCAGCCGAGGGCTATCCCATGGAATTGAGCGTCAACTACCAAGCCTCCAAGGCGACCGTCCGACTGGGCTGCGAGCCTGTGGGCGAGTTCGCGGGCACCTCACAGGATCCCATGAACCAGTTCATGACGCGGGAGGTTCTAGGAAGGCTTTCCCGCTTGGACCCTACGGTTGACCTGCGACTGTTCGACTATTTCGACTCGCAGCTTAGCTTGACCACCAGCGAGGCTAGCCTCGCCGGGTCGAAGTTGATCAAACAGCGCCGGCAGAGCAAGGTCATTGCGTTTGATCTCAAGAATGGAGCTATCATCCCAAAGGCATACTTTTTCCTCAAGGGGAAGTCTCTTGTGAGTGGAATACCGGTGCAGGACGTCGCCTTCAATGCTATTGAGTCAATCGCCCCGAGGCAAATCGAGTCTCCGTTGCTCGTCCTGAAAAGCTTCGTCACCAAGCTCTTTGCAAAGCCTACTGTCACCAGCGACATTTTCATTCTAGCGGTCGATTGCATCGTTCCGCAAAAGTCGCGTATCAAGCTGTACGTTGCCGATTCCCAGCTGTGCCTGACGACGCTGCGAGAACTCTGGACTCTGGGCGGATCGGTCACCGACTCTGCCACGATGAAAGGGCTGGAGATTGCGGAAGAGCTATGGAGGGTTCTGCAGTTTGATGATGCCGTCCGTTCACACTCAGACGTGGACCAGCTACCACTTGTGGTCAATTACGAGCTATCATCAGGTAGCGCAACGCCCAAGCCGCAGCTCTATCTTCCTTTGCACGGAAGGAATGATGAGGCCATGGCTAATGCGCTCACCAAATTTTGGGAGTACTTGGGGTGGAAGGGGTTGGCTGCGCAGTACAAGAACGATCTTTATGCGAACAAGTAGGTGCTCTAAGAATGAGACTCCTGTGACGGAATGCTAACACAATCTAGCCCTTGTCGAAACCTCGCAGAGACCACGACAGTCCAGCGCTGGGTGGCCTTTTCTTACACAGAGTCCGGTGGCGCATATCTGACCGTTTACTTCCATGCAGTTGGTGGTATGCAGGGCAATCTTTAGGAGTCAGTCGTTAGTATGAAACACAAGGCTCTTGACTTAGTCAAATGGCAGGCAGATGGATCGTGGCCATGTATCAGCTTCCATAGGTAGCAATTGCACAGTAGCTGGACAGGGGCGTTTCTTGAAAATACTGTGCTTTCTCCTTGATATGCAGCATGGTTAGGGTTACACAACGCCATCAACATCGCATAGCCATTAACCACGCTAAGTGATCGACTGAATAAAATCATGGAGTCGTCATGCTCCATCAGTGCATCGGCAAATACATCTGATATAGCTCAATTATGCGGAGGCTGCATGCCTCAAGCTCACGGACGTTCCCAGTTGGGTAGGAGTCTATCTCTGACTCCGGGGGGAGATGCTGAAGCAAGGGATTTCCACATTGCAATGGCAAAGATACCATAGTCTTCAGCCAACCCTAACTGTAATGTTGCAACAGCTGTCGGCTGCCGTAGAATGCGAAAAGCGGTGTGTACGACACTTTTAACTCTGTGCATTGCATGATGCATGCATTCTGTCACTGCTCACTAGTCACCTCGTATCCGGCAAGGCAGACACCCATTGGAATAGAATGAGACTGACATAGACCAAGCTTTTTATTCCTGAGTCTAATCAAAAATTAATTTAATTCGGTCTGATACAGGTCAGAAACGCCCAGTGTCGGTGTGACAAATCACCATTCACACTGTCACGGGGAAAGCGACAACTTGAAGCACTGAGCCAAACGGCGATATTTAAGTCCTATACTAGGAATGTAGTCTGTAGCGTTGCAAGGAGGGTCAGGATTTAGATTGTTAATACACACTCATCATGACTGTGACTGTCAGTTTTGAACCATATGTCGGCTCCTCTGTCGATGCTCTAAGCATCCCTCTCTATCTCCGATGTCAACTCGTCTTCAACCTTTCTAATCCTCTCGCTGCGGTGCCTCTGCTTGAGTCCGGAGTTGACCGTCTTGTACAAAAGTTACCCTTCCTTTCGGGTGAGTTCACGGCCGTGCCCGCATCCGACGGTGGGAAAGAGATTCTTCTCGTTCGCCCTGCGCCCAACTTCGAGCTCAACCGTATACTCAAGGTCAAGCACCATGGAACATCCCTACACCATGTATGCAAACAGATGGACAAGCCAAGCAGCGATGGTGATGACCTTCCGCATGAACCGTATATGCCCTACCCACGGCTTCCAGATCCTTCACGCCCTCAACCCATCGTCGGGTTCCAAGTTAACGTTCACACGGATGGTATCATTCTCTCGGTGGCTACGCATCACTGTTCCTTTGACGCAACAGGGATGGGATCAATCGTCCAAAACCTCGCAGCCTGCTGCCGCTGTGCTCCGGACGACGAGCCTGACTTGACCACGTCGCCGGCCCAGGAGGCAGAAGCAAGAAAAGTCCTCTCGCACATTCGCGAGACACCTTTTGATCCAACAATATTCCCCGAGTACAGGCCGCTGGATAGTATGGTGTCCTATTACAAAGGCGTCCAGTCAGCACTCGAAGGTCGTCAAACTACTATCGTCAATCGATGTTTCACAATCGCCACCGACAAGATCAACGCGCTCAAAAAGCGCTGCAATCAATCGATCCCGAAAATGGTCAAGAAGTATGGGCTTTCAACTGAGGATGCCACTGAAAGCGCCTGGGTCTCGAGTAATGATGTTGTTGCTGCCCTCTTGTGGACATGTATCAATCGAGCGCGATACCCCGAATTACGCGAGCGCAGCGTTCACCAGCTCCCACCAGACCTCCTACATGCGACATCTAGCCTGGGTCTACCAGTGAACGTTCGCTCTCGACTGTCGCCGCCATTACCCAAATCGACTTTAGGTAACGCCGTGTGTCTTCTCCGGGAGCAGGTCCCGCTGCGTTTTTTCGCTGCGCCTGGTGATGCCAACACGGAGGCCACTTCTAGCTTTTGCGCAGACCACTCCGAAGACGACGAATGGGCCATGTCCTTTTGTCGAGTCGCCTACGGACTCAGAGCGAAGCTGAACGCAATCGATGACGACTGTATCCGCGACTATATCTCCCACGTGCAAAAGTCTCCGTGCCATCTTTCAGTGACACTGGATACAGGGAGTCTCTATGTCAGCAACTGGCGCGAGATCAGTGTGTATGACGCTGATTTTGGAGGCATGTTGGGCAAGCCGCTCCGGACGAGAGCCCCAGACGGGTACACCGATGGCCTGATCTTTGTGATGGCGCAGCGGAGTGAGGATAGGACTGCCCCGTGGGAGTTTAATATCTCTCTGGAGCCATCGGCAATGAAGCGTATTGAGCATGATCCCCTCTGGTGCAAGTATGTTGAGCTGGATGAGTTCTGGCATGGAGAAGCATGATTCTCTGGTTTACTAGCAGATTTTCGACAGTTATCTAAGCGAGCTTTCTAGGATTCTGGTTGATATATCTACTGTAGACATTCTCGAAATCTACGGACATAATAGTCTACCCTAGCCCCTGTCATAGCTTTGATCTTGTGCGCAGTTCGCTTTGTCTTCTCAAATACACCCCTTTTCTTCCTGGCAGCTGCTCTCCTCTCTGAAAAATGCAAAGGGTATGCGAGACTGCAACGCGGGCGAGAGAGTATTCGGCCTTTCCCTCCCCCTCGGACAGAATTAATCGCCATGGCCCTAAGTCTCCGCTATGCAGGCTCCCAAGCTATAAAAATGTCTGCAGACATACTTGCCCAGCCCCGGTGTTCTCCGATTGTTTCAGACCAATCATCCGTCGGACCGTCACCGTTGGCTTCATCTACGTTGGCTAGATCCTTCTCAGGAATGTCTCCGAGGCGACGTGTCATTGGTGAAGGAGTAGGAAGCCAATGCCGACGATCTGACTGAAAGTGCATGGAGAGGCTAACTTTAGGTCTAGCTCAGATGTACAGTGAGCCTGTCAGGGTGAGCTGGACTGTAACCGCCTGTTAGGTTTGTGAGCCCAGCCCTACGAGACTATATGATACCAAATGCCAATTTAGGAAGGTAATTATCCCCTAGCGTCAGGTGGAAACACATGGAAGACTCTGCACATGTAAGAGTATTTAAAGAATAATGATTACTGAACAAGTAATCCAAGGACTAGTGAGGCTGCGACGAAAGCTAACGCTTATTGGGTCTCATCCAACCTGGTCGTCAGAATTATACCCCCAATTTTATGCATCAAGATGGGCAGGGGCCAATCTTATGCGTCAGGATAGGCAGGATACTTCACAAAGCTGACTGAGGTTTTTATGAACAATCTATAGAACTATAGTTACTTGATATACTCGATTGCTAACCAGTGTCTGGCCCCTTGGCGAACGCCACTGAATCACTAGTCACTAATCACCATGGTAAGTCATTGTTCATCCTCTTCACGTGAGGCTTATGCAATGACTGATAAGTAGTAAAGTAGCTAGTAAGTCTATATGCATAATTAATTTAACTAAAAGTCTGCAAGAAACATGGTCTAACTGCCCAGCATGCCTCCATGTGCGCCCCCACTGACTGAGTGAAAAGATAATACTCTGCTTCTGCCTCTAGCTATCTATATTTCCACACCTGCTGTGTTAAACGGTTAAACCAGGCCTAAGGGGTATATACAAAAGAGAAGGTAGCAAGGTAGTTAACGGCAGAGGCTAAGAACCGAAGGAAGAATAAGAGTGGAAGAGTATCGAACAAAAAGTAGGCTGAGTAAGAAAGGAAGAGGGGCTTAGACTGCTTAGATTTCTGAGGAAGCATATCTAAAGTTAAGCAGCTAAACGCTCCGAGTTAGACCTAATATCTCTCTACTGGTCTAGTAGTCTAGGTCGACCCCAGTTCGACAGTATTTGCTATTCCCACCCCTGCCATTACTGGAGAGCTAGCGGTCTCACCACCACGCTTACTATCCTGTTATTCAGCATAACTTCATTCGGCGGAAATTAACCTGTAGAAGAGAATAGAATAAAGTCGAAGGCCCGTCTAGATGTCCCCGTGCAGCTATTAAAGCTTGAAGCACCAAACAGACCTAGATAATCATGCATATATTGCCCGCGTGGCCAGCAGGCTGCCTCTATATCCCGAATACTATATACAGACCTAGATTCTAAACCCCACGCACCTCAACGGCCTGCCTGCTGTGAAAAGAATGATATTGTGAATAACTTCAGATAATTGTTAGGAACTCTTGAAAAGTTTCTACCCTACTTCCAAGAGACCGCTGCAGGCCGTAAGCACTAGCAACCGAACCCTCTAGAAAAAAAATAAGAATGATCTAGATCAGGGAGGCTGTAGCGTTTCTCTATACTATGTATGTTACCATGATGATTTGACGCGGTCAGTGCGGCGTTGGCCGAGAGGCACGAATTGCCAAAGCGGGTAACTGGTATATGATCGACCAAGTCGCTCGGTAGGAGCCGCGATAGACCGCAGCTGATTGGAGGTACGGACTCCGTGAACGTACTGAAGTCTCCGTGCTGAACCGTCTACTGCATAAATGTCTCCGATGTAGCCGAGACCGTGGACTCGAGCTTTCCGCCCCCAACGTGCACGTTGAACCAACCCTGTTGACCTCCAAGGTCCTCGGCATGCGCACAACTAGCCAATCAGATCCTCGCTTTCGGGTCGTTTTGTTGGTGATCGGCCCTCTGGACTGCAACTTACTGACACATCCTTAGCACGCGAATATTTCTTGGCTGCGTGGCTGTTCCGGTGGGACCAATGAGTTGGCGGGGGGAGAACCGTGCAGATCTCGACACAGAGATCATTTCCTTCACCATGTTGCACAAGCACGCTCCATGCTGACTGCAAGATTCGGTTGTGCTCCTCCTCGACATGCACTGGGGTTGTCGTTGAAGAGCCGCAGATTCTGGGTAGAGTTGAAGGACATGTCAACATCAACTGGACATGAATCGAGTCAATTGAGTTTGATTGCGGGATCAAGTGGTGAGACATTCTGCCATCTGACAGGCGGATCCCCAATCGTCAGGCGCTCTAAAACTGTAATCTGCATGCGCGAAGGATTTTGAGGCGCAAAAAAGCCCCCGCTAGTGGTGCTCATTCAGGACGGACTGATTGACATTGTCAAGGTCAACTGAATCGAGGTCAATTTAGTTGGAGTGCGGATCAAGTTGCGACAGACACTCTCCTTTGCTTTGTGACAGGCCAGATCAGCGTCATCAGAGGCGCTGCAAAGTATACTCGGCATGCATGGAGACATTCAGGTGTCAGAATAGAATACCCCCTGCCATCGGTGCTGCAACGCCGATAGAAGGTTAAACGCGTTCTCCGAGGGCGTTCCCATGCTAATATTTAAGGCCAGTAGTCTACCTCCTCCATGGGGCCGCCCCAAAGATAAACTACTCGTCAGCGATGGCGACAGCTATGCGGGATATGTCGCCATCTTTCACCTCGTCCCCGACGTCCACAATGAGCACCATGACTACTACTGCCGCACCCAAACCAGACAAGCCTCGCAAGCTACGGTCGGCCTGCGATGCCTGTCACCGCTCAAAGACTCGCTGCTCGGGGGGCAATCCTTGTACCCGGTGCCACGAGTACATGAGTCCATGTACCTACAGCTATTCCTCCCGCTGCGGCAAACCCAAGGGGGCCCGGAGTCGCAAGACTCTGGAGCGGGAGCAGCGGGTGGCGGCGGCTGCGGCAGGGTCCGTTCGGATAGCGGGGAATCCCTCAGCCCCAGCCTCAGCCCCAGCTGCAACTACAGGTACAACTACAGCTCCTACTCCAACCGTGGACACCGCCGCTGCCGCTGCCGCCACAGGCGCAACAGGCGCCACCACGTCCACAGTCGCGTCTCCCCACGCTGACGACTGTCTCGGTCTGTTCGACGACGAGGAGGAATTCAACCCGTTTTTCTCCAGCTGCAGTGAGAGTACCGGGGCTCCTGCATTTTCATCGGACTGGATCCCTCCTCTGCCGTCCATATCCGATTCCGACCTTTCGTTCCCGTTATTAGAGTCAAGTTTAGGCCCGGATCCTGACTTCAATGACCCCCTTTTCTGGAGCACGATCGCCGAGCCTGACTGCCAGCCGGCGAGCAAGGAGCCGCTGGATCCTCGATCCAAGCTGCTGCGCTCCTGCAAATGCCTCCAGACCCTCAGCAACCTGACCTCTCGAGATATCCGTCGATTCGACGCCACGTTTGTCTTTGTGCGGAACTTTGCTCGTGCATTTTCCGCCTTCTACCGCTGTTCACACTGCCCGAAAGATGCCGGCAGTATCTGCATGGCCGTGACCGCGCTGCAGCTAGCAACGACAGCGCTGGAAAAGACCACCAACACAGGGACCGAAGCGGCTGTCTTCAAGTCAGGCTGCTCAGGCATGACGTCCGCCGACTTTGACGAGGACCTCCTCACTCCAAGCTCCGAGCTCTTCCTACCCTCGAGCACCAACAGTGACACCAATCCCTCCTTCCAGCTAGGAAGCTACCAAATCGCCCCTCTCCCGGGAGAGCCCGACGCGGAGGAACACAGCGAGATATTAAACATCTTGATTCGGTCCGCGGTGCGCCGCTTACTGGCGGTCTGCTGGCAGATCTGGGATCTGCTCCGTGGTCCCGCTTCCCGCGGGCATGTCTTTGAATCCCTTGACCCGTCCTCCTCTTCCTCTTCATCCTCCTCTTCATCCTCCTTCTCATTCGGCCCCGAAATTAATCAACCCTTTGATCTTTCATGCTCGGCTGAAACGGCCCAGTTTCGGAGCTCGCTGGTCCAGATACCGGCTCGATTGTGCAACCTGCTGGCGCTGTAGGCTTCCTAACTTCTTTTGTTACCCATGCCCAGGCACTATGCAAAGTGTGAACGGGTACGGAGGCGGATGTACGAATTACGGTAATGACCCCGATCCAACACTCTTCAGGCGAGGACCAGAGACAGAATACACTTTAGAGAGTGCGATCAAGATCACACTCAGATGATGCCGATGATGCCTTTTAAAAACACAAAAAAAAAAAAAAAAAGTCCAAAAATCGCAAAACTGCCTGTTTAGGATATATTGATTTAGTTGCCTGTGTATTGATAGAACAAGAATTCTCATGAATGATAAATGTGTCAAGCTAACGGCAGCTGTTCTGTGTTAATACATTTGTATCTTGTATGGTAAGTATATATTTGTGTAGTGTATAGGATGAAGTCTGATTCTGTCATCGCCTATCAAACCTCCTCCTTATAAACAAGAAAGTAATAACAGTATAGACGATAGGGTTAGCGGTCTCGTTGTCAAACTAGCATTGAAAAGGTGGTCTCTTCCTAGCATTTTTACAGTGGACTCAATGTAGAACTCTACAAATTCCATAGCATATCTATCACAGACAAAAGATCAATAATAGTAAAATTAGTAATTGCATATTTCCCTGCCCTGGGACTGACAATTATGAACACATATACATGAAATAGTACGAGAATAGCGAAAAGCCATATCCATACTCTACATGCTCATCAATCCGTCCAATTCTTCCCCACTATTCCAACCACCTCTTCAATCCGCCGCAGCCCTTCCACAAGCTCCTCCCGCGGAATCGCAAACGTAATCCGAAACCATCCCGGCTCGCTAGCACAATAGCCTTGTCCCGCGCCCACAGACACACCAGCCGCCTCGAACCGATCGTTCAGACGGGCCTCGTCGTCCCAGCTGGGCTCATCACCTGCCACTGAGCGTCCCAGACGCGCCCAGATGTACACCCCCGCGGCCGGCGGAACAAAGGGGATCTGGTGGAAGGCGAGAAAGTCGCTGATTAGCTTTGTGCTGCGCTGCAGCGCGGCTCGATTCTGATGCAGGACTGTATCGATGGCCGCGGGGTCGCGCAGCAGCGCGGTGATGACCAGCGAGGTGAATGTCGAGACGCGGGAATGGTTCGAAATGGCGAGGGAGAGACGCAGGTCGGGATGTGCTTGCGAGATGCCGAAGCCCTGCACAGTATTAGTATTGGGCTGCATTGAGGTTAAGAGAAATATGAGACAGTACCAGTCGCAAGCCGCTACTTCCTAGGTCCTTGCTGATACTGTACAACGTGAATATACGCGCCAGATCTACACCCAGGGCGGATACATCGATGCTAAGCACCGAGGTGAAAGGCATCCGCTCGTCGAGGGTGGAGAGGGCGTAGATCTCGTCAGAGATGTAGAATAGATTATGCCGTTGGGCGAATTGCAGCAGAGCCTGGATTACTTCCCTGGGGTAGACATGACCGCATGGATTGTGTGGGTTACACACGAGGATGGCTTTGATGCGGCAAGGGGCCCGACGCAGAGCCCGTTCGTACGACTCAATGTACGTCGCCACGAGATGATCCAGGTCCCCAGATTCACTGTCAGATGGAGGTGTAACATGAACAGCCGTGACGTTGGAGCGCAGGACGAAGCTTGTCTCGAAGCCACCTGTAGACCACCCGCATCAGTAAGACCATTGCCGTGCAACAAACCCCGATGCACGCACCCCAGAACGGCGTCTCGATCAACACGCCCTCCCCCGGCTCGCAGATGTCATACAGCAGATTCTCCAGCAATGAGCTGCATCCGGCCCCTACGACGACGTGGGCCTGCTCCACGCGGCTATGCGCGGCAAACACCCGGTTGAAGAAGTCCGACGCGGCTTGCAGCAACTGTGCGTCACCACCCATGCCATCTGCGTAGGACAGATGGCGGGGAGAGAGATGTTGGGCGAAGAGCGCCTTGTACTGGTCGACGAGCTCCTCTCGGACGGACCAGTTCTCTGCCGTCATCATATTGACTCGGCGTTGTTTTGCATTGAGCCGAGAGACCTGTCGCATATGCTTGTTGGTGAACCATTGGATGTTTGTGCGAGCACGATGCGCTAGGGAAGGAAGTGTCTCAGATGGCATTGTGTTGCCTCGTGTCTCTGTTTGCGTTATACGTGACCTGACTTGTTAGATGGACTTCATCATATCATGATAAGCAGTCTCAGAAAAATAGAACACGTTTCTATCCATTGAAGAGACTTGTGTAAAATAATAATCGGAATCCGAAATGAACGTATTAAAAGGCAGCAATAACTGTGTTGCATCAAAATTCGAAGGAGTGGATGGAGAATTTGTTTCGGTCACCGAAGCAAGAGGCTGCAGTAGGGTACATTGACTCCGCGAGGCCCAACGACAAGAAATGCAATATCAGATCTCCATGATAGACAGAATACAAATTTAGCTAGGAACAATACTAGACTTAGCTAGAATGTCTCCGAGCGGGATCGACGAACAGGCCCGGAGGCTTCTGAAAGAGGTACCTCTGATCGACGGCCATAATGACTTTCCATACATGATACGCGGATGGTTTCGCAATGACATCAATGGCCAAAATACCCATCTGTATGATATGCCAATCGGCCAGACTGATCTCCAGCGTCTACAGAAGGGACTGTTGGGTGGCCAGTTCTGGAGCGCATATGTGCCTTGGTAAGTGTCTACCCCTAATGTTTGCGCTTAAGACACCATTTAGTAAACTGCGATTCAGCTCCAAGAACCCAGACCCAGAGGTTGGCAGTTTAGAAGCCCTCCGCCAGACCCTTCAACAGATCGATGTAATCCACAGATTGATCGAGAGACACCCGACAATCCTTCAGTTCGCCGACTCAGCCGCCAGTATCTGGAGCAGCTTTCGTGCGGGCCGCGTCGCGAGTCTGATTGGGATCGAAGGCCTCCATCAGACCGCCGACAGCGTCAGCGCCCTGCGCATGCTGTATCGACTGGGCGTTCGCTATGTGACACTGACGCACAACTGTCACAATTCGTTTGCTGACGCGGCGACGGTATCCCCTGAGATCCACGGCGGACTATCCAGCAAGGGAGAACGGCTGATTCGGGAGCTTAATCGGATGGGGATGTACGTATTGCCCTGCAGAGTGGCGTACGTATACGTGTGGCTCATTGTACCAGGATGATTGACCTCTCGCACACGTCACACAAAGCGCAAACACAAGCGCTGCGGCTTTCTCGGGCACCGGTTATCTACTCTCATTCTTCCATGTAAGTGGCACGCCATGAATCTAGACGACAGCAGCTCATAACCAGAAGATATAGTCTCTGCACACACCCTCGCAACGTCACCGACGAGAACCTGCACCTGCTTCAACGCAACGGAGGCGTAATCATGATCTGCTTCCTGCGCGAGCTGCTGGCATCTGACGCGCACCAGGCCGCACTCAGCCACGTCATCGATCATATCATCTACACCGGGTCGCGGATCGGCTACGAGCACGTCGGCATCGGGTCCGACTTTGACGGGATGCTCCGCGGTCCGGACGGGCTGCATGATGTCTCGTGCTATCCTGCCTTGGTGGCGGGATTGCTTGAGCGCGGAGTATCCGAGGAGGACGTCAAACGGGTGATGGGATTGAATGTTATTCGCGTGATGGAGGATGTGGAACGTGTTGCGGCTGAGCTTCAAGGAGCAGGGGAAGAATGTCTTTGCGACGAATTGGACGAGGTATGGAATGAGGATATCAAGGGACAGTTGACGCGGGAGAGAGAACGAGTGAGGAAGTTGGTGCCTCAAGAGTAGGAAATAGGCATTTAGGATATGATAGAGTCAATTTAGGACATGATGATGCATTGAACTTTCTGCTTGAAGTAAGTCGTCCTCCGTCTTGATACAGTTATCTCCGCATTTCCTTTACTTCTGTTGTTTTAGGTCAGGATACATGTAGAGTCCAACTAGGAGTAAGTGATAATCTCTTTTTTTAATATCTAGATCGCTCGTCAGGATGTAGTTCTCAGCATTATACCAGGATGGTAATATGCGACGTACTATTACTCTTACTGATACTAAAGATTCTAAGAAGGTTTTAATTGATAGGGTTAGCTATTGGTAGGTGAATATATGCAAATACACAGGTTAATAACAGATGAACAATCTAAAGCAATGCTACAATCTAAAGTGTCTTGAAAGAACTAAAGAACCTGACGATAAAGACGCTGAGCCAAATCCTGCGCCGTCGGATGATCGAAAATAGTGCAAATGGGCACCTCCAGCCCAACCCTTTTCAACTGCCGGCTCAACCGCCAGGCCTGGATCGAGTCGCCGCCTGCCTCGAAGAAGGAGACCGAGCAGGGAAACTCATCCAGCGAGACGCCCAAGCAGGTGGCCATCTCGCGCCGCAGAATCCCCACCAGGCGGCGGTAGAAGTTCCAATCGACTTTGGTCTTGGCCGTCTTGTTCATCGCATTCAAGCGCTCGTGGATGGCGGCTCGAGACAGGCGATCGGCCAGCCCCTCGAGGACACACCGGATGCTCTCCTCGATCGTGGTGATGATCCCGTCGTCCAGCTGGTGATCGTCGTACTCGATGCGGAGCGTCCAGTGGTCCGTCTCGATCTCGGTCCATTCGAACATGAGGAGGAACTTGGCCCCCGATGCAAAGCACATCTCGCGCTTCACCTCCAGACCCTCGATGGCGAGACAATCTTCCACGGCCCCCTTGAGATGGAAGGTGACCATGGCTTCGAAGAGCGGGTGCTGCCGGATGGTCCGCGGCAGGTGGAGGAGGTTAAGGACCTGCTCGAACGGAATGGCGTTGCAGACGGCCGCTTGGCTCGCTTCGCGGGTAGACTGCAGGATGGTGGCGCAGTCTGCATTCACCGGTGTTTTGAAGCGAAGAGGCAGGCGATCGAGGAATAGACCCATCGACTCTTGCTCCACGGCGTGCCCGCGGTTGGCCCACGGAGAACCGAGCACGACGTCGTTGGAGCCGGCGAGCCACTGGAGTGTCTGCGCTACGGCGGCACAGACCAGCTGGTGCTGGCTCAGGCCGTATTCCTGTCCCAAAGCGACGACGCGTCGAACGAGGTTTCCTTTGAACTCGGAGACTCGCGAGCGGCCTTCAAAGGTCATTTGGCCGGGATACCGCGGAATGTCCAGGCGCTGGGGAGCGCCCTCGAGATACTGAGACCAGAAGTTCCGTTCCTGCTCTGTGGCCTGACGTGACCAGGCCGGGCCCGGGGATAGTGCCATCGGTCCGCAGTTGGGGTCGTTCGTCCCGCGTACACGGCAGAGACTTCCTGTAGCAGATTCTGCACGCTGTTGAGATCGGCGACGGCGTGACTGGTAACCACGAGGAGGGTGCGACGGTCCAGGAAGACGCGGATGAGCTCATCACGAGCTAGGTCAAACCCCCGATCGATCTCCTTGGTCATGTCGAGGGCGCCGTCGCACAGGAGGACTCGTGGCGGCGTGTCCCGGAAGATTCGGCACGGGCCCAGCGAGGTCTCAACAAAGTTGGTGCGGAAGACCTTGCGTGACGCCAACACAGCGTTGAAGGACTGGATCAGACGGTCACGATCAAAGGTCCCGCCGAGATGCAGCAGGACGGGAATATTGAAGGTCCGCACGTCGGAAGCGATCAGGTACTGGAACCATGTCTGGCGCTCCAACGGCGACAGGCAGTGATCGGGAAACGCGTCGCAGATGGTCCGCGGCTTGGCCGTCGAGGCCTGACGTTTGCGGCGCACCAGCTCGACCTGCTCGGCTAGGGTGGAATGCTCAATCACATCGCGCATCGACACGGAGATGCCAAAGGTGCTGCCGAGGCGAGCCGCCAGCATCATCTGCAGCACGGAATGGCCACCCAGCGCACGAAAGTCATCCTCTTCACAGAGCTTGCGAGAGCTGCCGCCCGCCTGCAGGCGCAATACGTTCTTCCACAGGGTTGCGATTCCGTCTGCGATAGAAGCATCTTTTGCCATTGTCCCTAAACTCGTCTTTTGCTGCGGCAGGGCGTCCTCCGGCCGGGTCAGGGTGGCTCTCTCCGCCAGCTTGCGATAATCGACCTTGCGGTTGGCCGTCCAGGGGAACTCCTCAAGCGCGGTAATCACCTGGGGCACCCAGCTGGGCTGGAGCGACTCACGCAGTCGCTGCTCCAGACGACTGACATCGACGTCGTGCGGCATGACAAACGCCACCAGAGTATCATTGACAACGAGCGCAGCCGCCTGAGTGAGCCGTGGCTCCTCCTGGTACATCTTCTGCTCGACCGCCGCGAGCTCGACGCGGAAGCCGCGGATTTTGACCTGCCGGTCCAGCCGTCCAATGTAGACAATCTGCCTGTCTGCATTCCAATAGCCGTAGTCGCCTGTGCGATACATCCGTTCACCAGGATGCCAGGGATCCGGTAGCACGCTGTAAGCAGTCTTGGCATCGTCTCCCACGTAGCCTCGCATCACCTGTTGTCCGGCCAGGAAGATCTCTCCCGTTTGGCCCTCCGACACGGGCTCTAGATCCTGGTCCAAGATGTACATGCGCGCGGTGCGAATGGTGTTTCCGATGGTGACCTGCTGGCCGGGTTCCAGGCGCGTAAACGACGTACAGATAGAGCACTAGGAGGATTAGTCTATATCAAACATGAGGATACACTAGGGACCTACCTCTGCAGGACCATAGGCATTGTAGAATGCGCGACCCTCGCCCCACCGAGCGAGCAAGCCGGGAGTGACAGGTTCTCCTGTTGCATAGACCATGTCGAGGTTAGGATAGTCGTCCGGATTCAGCACGCTGAGCACAGAAGGAGTAATTGTCGACACATCGACCTTGGCCAGATGGGCCAGAGGGTCGGACGGGTCACGAAGCACCAAGGTTCCGCCATGGAGCAACGCAGAGAAAATCTCGTTGGCGCAGTAGTCGAACGCAGGCGACATGAACTGAGCAATACGACGACCGGGACGGCTGAACATGGTGGCTTCGGGATTTGACTGCAAAGCCAGAAGGCCCCTGTGGCTGATCGGGACCCCCTTGGGGCGGCCGGTCGTGCCGGAGGTGAAGACGATGAGGGCATCCTCGTTTGCGTTCGCGAGCAACGGTGGCTGCCTGCTTGTGTCGCTTGTCTCGGTTTCTTGAATCGTGAAGACACGAATGCCGGTTATTGGCAGGATGGCCGCGGACGACGTGCAGGCATTAGGGATCAAGAGTGCACTGGCACCGCTTTGCTCGTACACCGCGACGCGTCTCGCCATGGGGTACGCAGGATCGAGAGGGCAGTATGCACAGCCCGCTTTCAGGATACCCAGGATACCGACAACCCAGCTGAGGGTTGCATCGGCGTGAATGGCAATGACTTGAGCGCCGGGGAAGTGTTTCGCAATATGCGAGGCCACCGCGTTGGACTTTTGATCCAGTGCCCGGTAGGATAACGCGCCTCCTGGTCCGTCCACGGCTATCAAATCCCCGTGGAGGTCGACCGACGCATAGAACGCCGACGCCACATTCGGCACACTGTCATGTTCGATATCAGAGGCTTGGCCGATCACAAGAGGTGTCTTTGCGGGCCCTGTGAGCCATACCTCCATTGTCGAATCACCCACCAGCGTCTTGAGGGCCTGTTGGAAAGTTTCGGCATATTGCTGTATCGTCTGCTCGCCGTGCACGGAAGGATTGTAGACCAAACGGAAACGAGCATCAGCTTCGACCAGTAGACTCAATGCAAAGGTCGTGTTCTCAAAGAACTGCTCCGTGTGGGGCGGGATGGGTTGGTCGTAGGCTGGGAAGTCATACTGCGTCGCCAGCAGAGAGTCGACCCGGTACCCGATTTGATCTGGGGCAGACCATGCGTAGGCGCTAATGGTTGCCAGACCTTCGAGCGTGGTCTGCAGCTGGCGCTCAATGGATGCGTCTCCCTCAAGGTGGCATACCAGGGGCAGAGTGGCCATCAATGGGCCGACGGCGTGCGCATCATCCGGCAGAACCTCTCGACCGGAGAAGACCACTCCCAGAGTAACCAAGTTGGACTTGGTCGTCCGAGCAAGGGTCATGGCCCACGCGGTGTAGTAGACGGCCGCCAGGGTGACACTGCAGCTGGATGCGAGTCGGTGCAGCTCGTCCACGCCGCCGACATGCTTGAACAGCAACTCCTGAGCGAGGTACGGCTGCGCTACCGGCTTTGTGATTGCCTCTGTTTTCGCGACTGACCGCACCGGCTGCAGATACTCCTCCCAGAACCGCCGTGCCTCGGCGTCTCTCTGCTTCTGCACACTCTGCAGGTTCCACGCTGCGTCCACAAAGGAAGAGACACGGGACGGGGTAACACCCTGGGTTGCCTGCTGCACCCGAGCCAGAATGAGTCCGAGGGAGTAACCATCAATCAGGCTGTGATGGGCCGTCCAGACGACGGTCACCTCACCCTCGTCGTCATCGTCGTCATCGGGGATGAATTTCATAAACTCCAAACGCATACCCAGTCCGACAGCCAGACGAGAAGGATTGCTCAATGCAGCGTTGTAGTCTTGCCGGCCATGAAAGACGACTTCCTGAGGCTGGCACCGTGGCTGTGCGTGAACGATCTGCACGCCGGGCCCGATATCCAGGGCGATTTGCGTCCGGAAGACGGGCTCACTGAGTGCGACCTGTCTCCATGCATTGCAGATGGGTTCAGCCATGGCCAAGGGGTATGATTGCAGCAGCTGATTCGTGTTGGTCCCATCGCTTTGGAAAATGGGAGCGCTCAGCTCTAGCTGGAGGGGTGTCAACGGAGCCACCTCAATGTCGGATGGAACCTTGCCGTCTAAGAGTGGAAGTGCAGCAGCGACCTCGGCCTTGAGAGATACTCGGTCGTTGATTTGCTCCTCTTTGTCGGATACCGACTGGCCAGACCGAAGGAGGTCGCGGGCATACGGGAGGATGCCTCTGACCGTCGGATGCAGGTACAGATCACGAGTAGTCAGAAGGATGCCCCGTTCACGGCACAAGGAGGTGAACCGAAGAGCAGCAAGGGAGTTTCCACCCATGGCAAAGAAATTGATATCTCTCAACGTCGACGCAGACGGGAGATCCAGTCCCAACGCTGTATACATGCACTCGGCTATGACTTGCTCGCGCTCCGTAGGACGCTCTGCCCCTACGGTATCTTCATCTTGCGTGCCCTCGCAGAGACGCGCCTGGTACTCTTTTAGCATGTTCTCGATCGCCTTGGTGTCAATCTTTCCGTTGGCTGACAGTGGAAACTGATCCACAGCCATGTATCGACCCGGCCTGTGGAAGGAAGACAGTCGGCGCTGCGCCTCATTCTGCAGGCCGTCCAGATCGGCAGTGGCCGGGGTCACCAGCACAACCAACAGACCGTTGATCAGCGAAGCATAGACGTCGGTGACACCAAAGCCCATCTGGCGTAGCGGTTCCTCGACATCTGCAGGCAGATTGACCAGAAATCCGCGATTTTTGACGGTTCGATCACTGCGGCCGCGGAACTCCACCACCCGCTGGCCATCGTTACGACGGGTCCAGCGTCCTTGGTCGCCGGTGCGATAGACTCGCTTACCGTGCCAGTCGATAAACTTCTCGGCTGTAAGGGCGGCATTTCGGTAGTAGCCGTGGGCCAGGCCGACGCCTGCAATCGCAATCTCACCTTCTTCGCCTTCTTCCTCGACGGGGAGGAGAGTATCCGGCTGCAGCAGGTATACCGGTCCGTTGGGCATCGGGCGACCGATGATACTCCGATTGATCATTCCCGTTTCCTGGCAGACCTCTACCTCCTGCATCAATGAGGCACAGGTGGTTTCCGTGGGACCGTATGCGTTCAGGATGCGGACGCCGAATTCAAGCCAGCTGGACAACAGCGGGGCTGGTGGCGACTCTCCACCCAACAGAATAGTATGGACGTATGGGTAGCTGTCTGGTAATGCCGTTGGTAGGGGTAGCGTGGCCAGGATTGAAGGCGTTGACGCGAGGGTCGAGCAGGTCTGCGCTTTGTCGAATAGAGTGTCCATTGTGGCAGGGACCACGATGCCCGAGTTGCCTAGAATGGAAAAGAGCATGCCCGTCGAGGCTAGACAGTGAGCGTTTCGTTATGCAGGATACGCAGGGGAGAACTTACCATCAAAGGATACCGACAAGATATGCAGTACTCGGTCTCCCGGCTGCACATCCATGTTGAATGGACTGGTCTGGGCATAATTGGCCACCGCACGGTGTGGAATCATGACGCCCTTGGGCACACCTGTGCTCCCACTGGTGAAGATCAGACAGGCGAGGTCTTCGGGAGCGATGTCGGGAATAGCCTTGGTGGTGCTGCGGTCCGTCGATAGAGCGGTCACATCGGCGCTGGTCAGATGGATGACTGTGTGCCGCGGGCTTTCGAACGGCTCGACGGTTGTGTTGATCAGAATACGGCTGTCTGTTCCGTCCAGTACTGCTTGGATCCGCTCTGACGACCACGAGCTGCGGTCCAGAGGGACATAACAGGCGTGGGCCTTGAGGATGGCCAGCAGCGCGACAATATTCCGGGTGCCGTGCTCGGTAAGTAAGAGCACCGCTTCGCCAGGTACTACTCCTTCTTGCTGTAGCTTCCGTGCCAAGTTCGATGAGGCCACATCGAGTTCGGTATAGGTGAGCGAGCCGCTCTCATGGTCGACTGCCAGCTGGTGTGGCGTCCGAGCGACGGACCGGGCAAAAAGCTGGCAGAGGTCGAGGGCTACTACTGATGGCATGATGAAGAGCGTAGGGTTGAGCCAAACAATAATACAGTATATATTCAAAAAGGAGTAGACATGCCTGACTCTTTTTCTGTTGAGAGAACTTTGATGAAGATTGGCCTCGAGGCAAGTCGATGCTTCATATGGCTGTCTCTCGGGGATGTCCGGGGATGGATGGCCGTCTTGTCCATGCAGTATTCCTTGGACTCCACGTACAGCCCCTATTGGCATCCACTATGGCCACTCCTAGTATAGGCGCTATCCCGATTTCCGGCTTGGTTTGGCCTCCGAAAAGTCGGCCTCCGAGCAGGGTAGGCCCCTGCAGCGGCGGTCGCTGCTGTTAAGGTATCGACAAGCCCCTATTCATTACTGTTTCAACCATTCTGTTGGCGCTTCTCAACTCTCTCACCATGGCTTATGCGCTCACTGTACTCGTCCCCGGTTTGGTCCTGGCACTCGTGGCGAGACCTGTTCTCTACTGGGTTCTCTCTGTCGTTATAGATGTAAGGCTTTTGTGACGCCCATTCCAAGGAACACTGACTTATGCCATTAGGCCTTTCTACGACGGAAATACCCTTTGCCCCATCACACGGGTTCTAAACCCATGCCTCGTGCCCGTTATACATGGCCCAACGGTCAAGGCACGGAAAAGTTCTTCAATGGACGTTCCGCTGCCAAAGAGTGGCGACAGCAGTGGGGTCCGATATATCAGATTTGGTCCGGCTGGTCTCCTGAAATGTCAGTCCGAGCTTCCCTTCTCAGGGCACAGTCCCAGCTGCTAATCTGAAGATGATAGTGTGCTGACCACTCCTACCCACGCCGTCCAATTCTTCCGCAACTCGCATCGTCACACAAAAGCAGTAAACAATGATTCAGGCTGGCTATTTGGCGAAGTCCTCGGTGTCTGTGTCGGCCTGCTCAGTGGCTCCGACTGGAAACGAGTCCGGCAGCAGGTCGAAAACGGCTTTTCACGTCCGACCGCTGCTCGGTATACGGCTGACCTGGTCACGCTGGCCCGCGAATATCTCCAGAGCACCCTGCTAGCGTCATCCGAACAAAGCCTGGAGACAAAAGGAACCATCCACGTGGAGCCAGCGAAGACCCTACAATTCTATCCCTTTTTAGCGGTGGCTCAGATCTTGTTCGGACGCTTGAGCCCGATGCAGCGAACGCAGCTGACCACGCTCGCTCCTTTGAGAGAAGAATTGTTCAAGGAGGTCATCCGGGGCGGCATCAATCGCCTGTCCATTGCGCCCTGGTTCCGGTCGCGGGGAGTGCGCCTCTTGAATGAGTTCCAGACGCAGTGGGAGCAGTTTGTCGAAGACGCCTACCACACAGCCGTCAAGCGCAACCAATCCCCTAGGCCGCTGGTCATCGGTCTTTGGGAGGCCTATCAGGCGGGGAGCATCAGCAAACGTGAAGTAAGTGCTCGTCTCGACGGATCATTGGGATGTTCTGACTCGTATAGTGCCTGCAAACCCTCGACGAATCGCTCTATGCCAATCTGGACGTCACCACGCACGCACTCTCCTGGAATGTCTTGTTACTGGCAGAGAATATCGAGGCACAGACGGAACTGCGACAGGAAGTACTCTCTGCGCTGCAAAGCGAGGCAAGCGAGTCGTACGAACGGTACATTGACCGGGATGACACGTTCCTTGCTGCTTGCGTCCTGGAATCCGCACGATTGCGCCCAATACTGCGTGAGCATACACCCCATGCCCATGGGAATAAACGTTCACTAACGTACCTTTGGCAGCATTTTCTAATCCTGAGTCGGCGCCCGAGGATCTATACGTGGATGGTTATCTCATCCCTGCCAATGTATGTATCCATCCGTCTATGATATTCAGAGCACCCTGTTGATAGCATCCAGACCAATGTTATCGTGGATGCTCAGGCGATCAACATCGACAACCCTTTCTGGGTCAACGGAACTAAATACAATCCTCGCCGTTTCTTCAGTCTCAACAAGTCAAACGTATGCCATTCCTGACCAACATTTCAGATTTCAACCTGACTGACTTTGTAGGTCCGCCATAATATGTGGCGCTTCGGGTTTGGACCGCGACAATGCCTCGGCAAGCATATTGGCGAGCGGATGCTCAAGGCGATTGTCGCTGAGATTATTGGACAGTATGTCGTCTCTATCTCGGTAGAGAGTGCTTCGGAGAAGAATGTCCTGCAGGAGGATAGCTGGGTGGGATTGCCTGCGATGCGGATTCAGTGTCTGCCGGTAGGACGAGAGGTCGAGAAGGACTAGATAGTCGTACAGTAAGAAAATGCAACATATTTTGATCTGTCACTTGTGATTATGACCTGATTCCGCAAGCCCTCTCCCGAAGTTGTCTGACTGTCAGTTGCATGACATTGATTCCATGCATATGGCCCCTGAAGCACTGTAGCATCGAGTTGGTTCAAGTCAATCAGCATCGGATGGCACAATCGGCCTGGATCACTCGTAGACCCCTAAGCACTGTTAAGATCAAATCACATCGTTTAATCACATACATGCAATCAGGCCGGTTCGAGTCAAGTCAAGTAGTTCACTGCAGATAGAAATCTATGTACACATCCAATTCACACAGGCCGAAAGTCGATGATACAAGGCCAGGCGCGACGCACGCGATGCACCTGTTGAATCTTCCAACCGGCCAACTCTCCCAGCCGCTTCCAGTCCTCAAGCGACCGCTCCTTGCCATTGCAGGTAATCATCATGATCAGATCGCCGTACCGAGGCAGCCGACCCGACCGACCAGGCGACTTGATCGACTCAACGACCAGGAAGCGACTGACAGGCGACGGCACAATACTCCGGCGCACGTTCTTCAGAATAGTCAGCACATCGTCGTCGACCCAGTCATGCAGACACCATTTCATGGTATACACCGCGGACGGCGGGATCTGCTTCGTGAAATCGCCAACAACGAGCTGCTGCACGCGCGGCCCGATATCGCTGAATCGACCATGCGGCTCGCGGAACTCAGGCGTGACTAGCTCGATGGCAGACTTGATATCCATGAGACTTCCCTGGAGGTTCGGGTGCGCTCGCAGCAGCGACGCCAGGAACGCGCCGGACCCGCCGCCGATATCCAGAATGGGCTCGGAGCTGATCTCCTCCCAAGGATAGTCGACGGTCAGGCCGCGGGCTTGCGCGACGGCGCCCGCGCCCAGCGTCTTCTGGAACTTGGCCAGCTTCTGCTCTTTGGCGAGGTACTCGAAGAGGTCGAGTTCGGTGCCGTAGGCGATCTGGGCGGCGGTGCGGCTCTCGCCTAGTTTGACGGCCTGGGGCATGGCGCGGCTGACGTCGAAGAACTCATTGGGATACAGGTCGGCCCAGAGATGCCACTGGGTCCAGTGGTCGTGGCAAAGCAGGAGAGATGCACGGTTGTTGCTGTAGGTATCTTCGGCGGCGTTGTAGGCGAAGATGCCATTGTTGACGAGTGTGTCCAGCAGCTGGGCAAGCCGCTCGGGCTGAATGCCGCAGCGCAGACCGAGGGTTGAAACAGGCTGGGGACCATTTTCCGCCAGTCGGTCTGCCACTTGCGCTTCGACGACGGTCCAGAGTGCCTTGCTGTTGAGATATCCTAGCGGAACATTGTCAGTACGTAAACTCAAGGTGCTTGTAGGGCTCTCTGCTTACCGAAGAAGCCATCAGTCAACAAGGAGACGGACGGGACGAGCTGCAGTTGAAGCTTGTCCATACTGTCCACCAGATCCAATGCGAGCTGCTCCAGCTCCTTGTCGGGGAGCTGGTCAGGATGGTGAAGCTGCTCATTCAGCCAGGTCTGAACCTCGGGCGTCTCGAGAGCGGATTGGACCCGCTCCACATGTGCCTGTAACTCGCGCAGCTCGTTGACGATGGCTTTGAATTCCTTGCGCGGCGTAGCATTGCCGTTCCGGGTGTCGTTCTCTAGCAGACCGGGCGCCATGGTTATCTCTTTGTTTGTAAACCTGTGCTTGATGTGTGGGATTGCATACTTGTTGATGCGAGCACTCGGATACATATACTCGACACTATCGGAGACATATGGAGACATATCTCCTTTTCGGTCTCCGAACTATAATAATGGTTCTATTCGGTGACCAACTTGATATATCGATCGAATAAGTAAATTATCGATCTACTTAACTTAGAATCTTCCATAGGCGCGGAAATACAAGGAGACTGTAGTCGCCGTAGGACTGTAGGCCAAGACATCGCGTGGCTGGGAGGAATCAATTTAGAATCAACCTACGATTAAAGGACACATTCGTTGGTATAACTGTATTGCATAAACTGTACTACTCTATAGACAGTAGAAAGACTAAGAATCACGCCTCTAACATTCCATACTCCTTCTCGCCATGGCCAAATCCAGCGACGCGCTGCCATGCCCGTTTGACGGCCTCACGTTCACTCATGCGAACCGACCACTCCTGCAGCTTTGGCCATCTCTCAAACTCCAGACCAAACAGTTCCACCGTGGATTTCATCGCAAAGGGCAGGGTGGCAATATCCGCAATGGTCGGTCGGTCCTTCAGAGCCAGGTACTGCTGGCCGGGTTCATTGAGGCGACGTTCCAAAATATCATATTGCACCGTAATGTTGCTGCGCAGTCTGCAAGCCAGATTAGATAAATCATTCAGAGACAGACGCGAGGGGCAGAGATTACTTTGCAATAGTTTTGGGCAACTTCTCCGGGTGCAGTTTATAAAAATACAGCCAGTACTTGGCCGTGGGCCCCAGAGCCGCGGTATGGAGAGTCAACCAGTTATTGATTTCAGACCTCTCCTGCACATTTCGTCCCCCAAAAATTCCGTCCTTGTCGTACGCATCGGCAATGTACATCAGGGTCGAGGTCGATTCCCAGGCGCGGAGGGTGCCCTGGCCGTCGGGGGAGCGGTCGAGGATGGCGGGCACCATCTTGTGAGGATTTATCTCGCTAAACCAGGGTGCAGACACCTTTTCGACGACGTAGATATCATGAGGTACTCCGAGCTCTTCGAGTAGGATCAAGGGTTTGACGGTGTTGTGCGTGGATGTGGCGGTGCCTGGAGTCACTCCATGAGTGGAGGGTTTGACGATGTGTTTGACTCGACTCACCTTTCACCACGAACAGCACCAGTCGGTTTACCACAAGATCGGACGGGCGTTCGGTCATTTTCACCGGTATAGAACGAATAGAGAACTGAGAAACGTTTGTGAAAGTTAAGCAAGGGTAGGAGCAAACGATGTGTGGTCCTCTGTCTCTCCTATATCTATACCACCAGCCTCTTGTAGCCACCCACCCACGCGCCATCCGAATTTTCGGAGGCCGTCGGTGCGTTGACAAGTAGCTAAAGTGGACAGAGAGATAATTTCCTGGTCTCCCCGTTTACAGAACGCAGAGCAAACCAACATGGGGAAAGCGACGTTGCAAGACCCTCACGGGGGAATCTGGTACTTCGCCTACGGCTCCAACTTACGCCTATCTGTACTGGAGAATCGTGGCATCAAGGCCCTGGATATCAAGGCTGTCATTGTCCCCTCGCACTACCTGACCTTTGACATCTTTGGCATCCCGTACGCTGAGCCTTCGTTTGCCAGCGTTGCCCCCTTTGCACCTGACAAGATAACGACACTACGACTGGGCAATTCACGCGCTCGTCGCGACGTTCCTCCTGTCCAGGGGCTCGCCTATCTTTTGAAACCCACGGATTATCGCCAGCTGGTGATCAGCGAAGGCGGCGGAGTGGCCTACGATGAGGTCGAGGTCCATGCCTCCATCCTCGACGAGGACGGCAAACCGGACCCAGGCAGTATCTTGATCGCTCGGACCTTGCAAGCCAAGTATCCCTGGCGACCCAACGGTGCGCCCAGTGCGCGCTACCTGGTGAGTTGTCCAGACAAAGTTCTTATTGAATGATGTACTGATCTGAAGTAGGGCCTCATCTCGACCGGATGCAAACAGAATAAGCCGCTCACGGCATACAGCGCCTATATTGATTCCTTACCGTCGTACGAGCCGCCGACATCCTTCCATGCGAAGTTGGGAGGTCTTCTTTTCCTGATGTTTTGGCGTCCACCTCTTCGTCTGTTGGTTCGACTCATCAGGGTGCACACGGACAAAGACGGACATTGTCCGCAGTGGCTCGGTTGGATTATTTTGACTCTGTACGGGCTGATGTGGTCATATCATGACAATATCCACTCGAAAGTCTGGGGGCGAGGCGACGGCCGGAAATTACATTTCGAAGAGACTACAGGGGAGAAATTGCTAAGTGGTTAGGCAATAGGGTGGAAAAGGTTGTGAATGTATCTATTTTATGCAGTTTCGGAGAGAAATGATACTGTGACATTGGTCTATCCTATGCGTGCATAAAAGCATGAAGAACGAGTGAGCACCTTGCAGAACTCAACAGATACATCTACACTTTGGTCAGTGTCCGCATGGACTTTTGTATTATAATGAAAAAGGAGAGAATATACAAAAATTAGATGCTGATTGGCTTACGGGCCGTCCCTTGCCCTAGATGAGGTTGTTCGGAGACTTAACGGAGACTTTGCCGCCACCCCCGAAACACAGCTGACGATGCTGCAGACAGTCGGAGATGAGCAGATTTCTCTCGATTTCAGCAGGGATCTGCGTTAGCCAGCCAGGCCGGAATTGTAAATTAAGACTGGCTGACAAGTAGCGAGTCTAGAAGGGCTTCTTAGCTAAGATGCCAACACGAGATGCATGAAAGTCTCCATGTCTCCGATGTCTGTATAGATATAGATGCCCCTTTCGACTTGTCCTGCACTGCTCGCACTCATGTCTACAATCATCTTAGTGCATTAACCATCTCTACTGGCATCAATCACAATGTCTAACCCTTCTATCGAAGAGTCCAAGCGAGAGCTGAATAGCTCTCCCAATGATTCCATACCGGGCAAAGACCAAGCCCCAGAAGAGGAGATGCATTATCCTTCTGGCTTCGCCCTCAGTGTCATCATGGCCGGTCTGGTGGCCGCCATCTTCCTCATCTCGCTCGACACCACCATAGTCTCGACCGCAATTCCCAGAATCACCGACGAGTTCCACACGGTAGCAGATATTGGGTGGTACGGGTCTGCCTTCTTCCTGACGCTCGCCTCCTTCCAAGGCACCTGGGGCAAGATCTACCGCTACTTCCCCCTAAAGCTGAGCTTTATCGCCGCCGTCCTGCTCTTCGAAGTTGGATCGTTGATCTGCGCCGTCGCCCAAAACTCCGTGACCCTCGTCGTCGGCCGAGCCATTGCCGGCGTCGGTGCTGCAGGTATCTCCTCGGGCTCCTACACCATCCTCGCCTTTTCTGTCCATCCAAGCCGCCGTGCCGCCATGACGGGCGCCATCGGGGCCAGCTTTGCCGTGGCTGCTGTCGCGGGCCCGCTCATCGGCGGCGCCTTTACTTCGAACACCACCTGGAGATGGTGTTTCTGGATCAATCTGCCCATTGGTGGCGTTTCCGCCGCCCTGATCGCCATCTTCTTCAAGGCACCTCCGCAGGCCCGCGCGAGGAACGTCCCATACAAGGAGATCCTGCTGCAGATGGACCCATCCGGTATCGTCCTGCTGCTCGGCGCCATCCTCTGCTTCCTGCTGGCCTTGCAATGGGGTGGCTCAGCCAAAGCCTGGGGAAGCGCCGATGTCGTCGGCACTCTGGTCGGGTTTGGCCTGCTTCTCATAGCGTTTACAATCAATGAACTCTGGCTGCAGGAGAAGGCCATGATCCCGCCGCGCCTGGTCAAGGGGCAGACCATTCTCTTCTCCTCTCTCTTCACCTTTTTCTTTTCCGGATCCTTTTACCTGCTGCTGTACTACCTCCCGACCTACTTCCAGTCTGTCAAGGGCGCGTCGGCCTCAGACTCGGGTGTGCGTACCCTACCCCTGGTCCTAGGCGACGGTCTCTTCGCCACGCTCTCGGGCGCCGCCCTCGGAATGATCGGCTACTACATGCCCCTGCTGACCCTCGGGGGCGTGCTCACCACCGTCGCCAGCGGCCTGCTCTACACTCTGGATCTTCACTCTGGCCCCAGCGCATGGATCGGATACCAGGCCATGGCGGGGATTGGGGTCGGCCTGGCCATCCAAGTCCCCATGATGGCCAGCCAGGCCGTCGTCGGCGTGGAGGATCTTTCGACCGTTTCGGCCATCATCCTCTTCTTCCAGTGCATGGGCGGGGCAATCTTCGTGCAGGCTGGTCAGGCTGCTTTCACCAACAAGCTGGTCCAGGAGGTGCAGCGCCACTTGCCGAACATCAGTGCTGCGCGGGTCACGTCGACGGGTGCCACTGAGCTGCAATCCGAGTTTCACGGCCATGAGCTCCAGGTTATTCTCGAGGCGTATGTGGCCGGTCTGAAGGACGCGTTTATTGTGTCGATTGTGTTGGCGGGTATTGCTACCATGTTGTCGCTTGGGTCGGGTTGGAGGAGTGTGAAGAGCAAGAAGGAGGAGCCTAAGGGGCAACCTTGAGTATCTTAGTGGACACGTCTCTACTTGGTTCTTTGATGAGGAAGGATGGTACGTAGGCTTTGTATCCCGTTGATATGCTTGTCGTTTGTATCACTTTTGAGGCTATGTTATTGCAATGATAGTATTTTTTAATGTCCACGCCATGTTGTCCCTGCTGCTTATAATCTCTATTAGCTAGGGATGGTTGTGTAGACACTCCTTTAGCTAAGTGTTTGACATAGGACAGTATTTAACTAATAAGACTGCTCAATTCAAGCCCAGACTACAGTCAAATGACTGCTTCATGTACATGATAAAGGGACGTACACCAAACTGCAAAGGGATACCAAACTACTGGCGGAGGAAGCCCTTAGGGAGCATAAACTCTCACAAGCGTAGAACAATGTCTTGGATTCTCATAGTACTATTGAGTATTGACTACCTAATAATTAGTCCACATCCTGAGAGTAGTCGTCTATGGCCGACGACCCCAAACCGTGTTAAACCGAAGAATTCCCCCAACCGTTTCAAACTCAACCTTGATATCCCTAAGGATCGGATCAAAGTCCTCAGCACGAATGCCAGTTCCCTCCGGAAGACCTGCACACGTCAACCCCATCCAGGCAAAAGTAAAAGCAACGACAGAGGTAGAACTTACGCGTCGCAGCCGTCCTGAAATTCGCCACCACCTCCAGCATATTCTGCTTCGCCATCTCCCCCAGCTTGGGGTCAGAATTTCCCGCCCCGATCGGAATCTCCATGACCTTCTCCTGCACTTCTTCCAAACCATACTCCTCCAACCACTGGCGCACCAGCTTCCCCGGCCTCGGATTCCAGTGGAAATGAGGCAGCATCTCAGCGACTAGAGTCTGGAAGCGCGCGAGAACGGGGTATTGCTTGCGCTGCTCGGGGGTCAGATGCTCGAGGCTTCCCTCGGTGAATTGCACCCAGCCGGAGCCTGGCTTGGCGAGCTCGATCAGTCGGTAAAGGGCCTGGCGGCCTTCGTCTGGGGGAAGGCATGCAATCACCAGTTTCTGGTGGACGAGGTCGAACGAGTTGTGCCATTCGGTTGGCCAGGGTTCGGAGATGGATTGGATGTGGAATTCGGTGTTGGGGGGCGGTTGGCTGGGAAGGCGGTTGGGGAGACGTCGGCGCCGATTAGGGTGGGAGATTTGAGGAGGGTCGAGGCGTCTTTTAGCCAGAGGCCTGCGCATATTAGTCTAGAGGTGATGAATACACAGGGAGTGGTTGGCTTACCGTTGAAGGTTCCGCTGTCGAGGACTCGGAGATTGGGTTGGTCGAAAGGCAGCGGAGCCAGGATCAGTTTGCCCATGTAGGTTTTGATCAGGTCATGTTGCATGTTCATGCGTCGCCGCTCCTGATCCTCGTAGTTGAGGAGGTAGCCGTTTTCAGAGTCGGGGAGGACAGTCATGATGCAGTCGCGGTTTCTGGTACACAGTAATGGTTGTGGGACAAGTTAGATGCTGCTCAACCGGTATAGACAGACCACTTATATAGACCACGTTCATGTCGAACACTCCACCCGTTTCGGAGACCGAAATTGGCTTTCAAATGACCGTATGGATTATAGCTTTGTTCATGTCATTTTTTGAAACCGTTGAATCTTACGATTGGCGTAGTGGCACTCGGGGTCTCGTCTCGTCTCGGCGGATGAAGCTGTAGACGCGGACCAAGCTTAGAATAAAATGCATTCATGGCACCTGATTAAAAGCGATAAATCTTGCTTGAAACTATACTCCGGACACAATTTGTTCTAATTTCAATTGTTCGATACTATTCCATAGTAAAGGAGCGCTGTAGCCTTCATTTCCATGCAAATCAAGTAACCTCGACACTAGGACAGAATGAACACCTCTGCTAAATCTACACTCTCGGCCTAAACTCAACCTCGGCCTCGGCATCAGGGAAAATAGCCAATCCACCGTACTTTGGCTTCGGACGTGGCCGTCCCTCAACCAGCCGTAGATCGTAGTTACGAATCAGGTAGGCCACAACCACCTTAATCTCCGCGCTGGCAAAGAACCGTCCCGGACAAGCCCAGATCCCATGGCCAAAATTGATGTTGTCGGCCCCCGTGGAGGTATGTTGCCAGCGGTTCTCGTTGGCCCCTCCCTGCTGGCGCAGACGAGCGAAACGGAAAGCGTCGAACCGCTCCGGATTCGGATACAGGGTCGCATTTTGGTTGATGGGCTGTGCGCGCACCATCACTAGGTATCCCGGCGGAATCACATGGCCCGTCTTCAGTCGGAGCCCGTTTGGATCGGTGACGACTCGGGGGATGTTGACCAACGAGGTTGGACTCAGACGCTGCGATTCACGAACGAAGCTGTCCAGTTTGATCAAGCGCGGGAGGGCGGTCTTGTCGATGCTCTCGGCGCCGACGTTGGGGCCTAGGACTTGGTCCAGTTCCTCGCGTAGCTCGTCCACGACGGTGGGGTACGCAGCCAGATCGAAAATGACATATGTCAGCGCATTGGACAGGTTGTAGATCGAGGCAAAGGTGGCCAGCAGCTGATCGCGCGTGAGCTGCTGGGCCGTGGCCGTTTTGCCCTGAGCCTGGTACCGTGACTTGAACCAGTCGATCATATCGCCGCCGGGGATCTTCTCCCTTGTCGGCGCCAGATTCTGTGCTTCTTGATCGGCAAGGAGCTGTGCGATCTTGCGCCCGATAAGAGCTTTGTTCTGCTCGAGGGTCTTGACCTCGCGCAGGAACGGCGCCACCAACGGCCGGATCCAGTGCGGGTAAAAGCGCAGAACCATCCAGGCCCGGGACACATCCTGCGTGTAGTTGACATTGGACTCAATCCAGTCTGGTTCCCGACTGAGGGGCAGCCCGACAAACGCGCGGCCCGACAGGATCGTGGCGACCTTGGGCATGATCGATCGCGGCTTCACTCGGGTCCAGATGTTGGGCGGGACCTGGAGCACGGTCGACATGGCGTAGTCGATCTCGGCTGTGAACGAGGCCAACACGGCCGGAGTGTTGCGGACCAGGAGATATCTCATCGCGTCGTCGAATTCATCGGCCTTGGTGCCCATGTACGAGTATTCGCCGAGGAACTGGTTGTAATGGTGCTTCTTGATGGACAGCTGGTTCTCCGGCAGCGCCTTAACGGTGTCGATTTCGGAAACGGGCAGAACAACTAATTGTTGTCCTGGCACTCCCAGCGCGAAAGGAGCATTTGGATACTGCTACTGTCAGCTTCATAGCGCGAGTTGTTATGTTGTTGGGAGTACCTTGGCATGGCCCTCCTCCAGCGTTTTCACAATATCTTGATCACCAACACTTTGGAGAACCGGCAAGTCCAGTGCCTTTAGACTCTTTGTTTTTTGCAACAATAGTCGATATACCCAGTATAACAGACCGACTCCAAACGAGACCGCGACTGCAGTTCGCAGGGACTGGGGGAGATAGACTTGGTCCATGGCGAGTGCTTCAGATCTCATCTCTTTGCTTCAGCGAGGTTGAATCCAATTCTATGATCAACTCTCCATAAACTATATGTAATTTTATCCGATTCTTTTGACTATGGCGCATCATGCGTCTTATACATCGCTTGCATGGCGATTGGCCCATCCCGCGGAAACATTTTTCGGCTGCCGACAAAAGTGTCCGAACCCATCAGAGGTATATAAATACGACCCAAACGAGGCTCTTTTTCCCTTTATTTCTTTTCCGTTGTTATTCTCCTGCATAAACTTACCCATCTCACATACCACAAAACATGTCGATCGGCAAACTACTGTCCAACGGAGCCCTCCTCGTCGACGTGCTCATCATCGGCGCAGGTCCTGCTGGTCTCTCGACAGCCACCGGCCTGGCTCGCCAGTTACACACGGCCGTCGTCTTCGACTCTGGCGTGTACCGCAATGCAAAGACCCAAAACATGCACAATGTCCTCGGATGGGACCACCGCAACCCCGCCGAGCTGCGCGCCGCAGGTCGCGCCGACTTGACCAACCGCTACTCGACCATCGAATTCCAGAACAGCACGATCGAGGTGATCAGACAGATCGAGACCCACCAGCTGTTCGAGGCGCGCGACACCGAAGGCCACCGCTGGTACGGCCGCAAGGTCGTGCTGGCGACCGGCGTCCGAGACATTCCCCTCGACATTGAGGGATACTCGGAGTGCTGGGCGAATGGCATCTACCACTGTCTCTTCTGTGATGGCTACGAGGAGCGAGGCCAGGAGACCGCGGGTGTGCTTGCTCTGGGGCCCATCGCGAACCCTCCCCGCGCTCTGCATTTGGCTCGCATGACCCAGCGGCTCTCCGAGTCTGTCACGGTCTACACCAACGGCAATGAGCAGCTGGCGAAGGAGATCCAGCAGGCTGCAGAGGCGTCTCCCGCTGGCGCCTCGTGGCTGAAATTCGATGCTCGGCCCATCACGCGATTCGAAAAGGGCGATGTCGCCAAGACCGTTATTGTCCATTTTGGCGAGAACGAGTCGAAAACGGAAGGCTTTTTGGTAAGTTACCCAGTTTACTCTAAAGGAGATACCCTGCTAACCGCTGCAAACCGCTCAGGTGTACAACCCCCAAACTGAGGTTAACGGACCGTTTGGCAAGCAGCTCGCCTTGAACATGACAGAAGGAGGGGATATCCAAACCACGCCTCCCTTCCATGAGACCACTGTTCCTGGAGTATTTGCAGTGGGTGATTGTGCCACCCCGTTAAAGGCCGTCACCCCGGCCGTGGCGATGGGATCTTTGGCTGCTGGGGGTCTGGTGGCTCAGCTGCAGGCTCAGCCATTGCCGGAGTTTCGTCTCGATAAGGAACTGTAGGAGTTTGTTATAGATTGTACATAGTTTTTTTTTAGTTTCGCGCAGGTTCAATTGAGATCAAGTGACTTTCCTTATTCCTGCCAATAGTTCCAGATTCGTGAGCTATCTGTCTGCAAGTGATTTGTTACCAAACCAGATGAGAATTAAAGACGCGGAGATGGCAGTCAGACGAGCCCCTTGTGCCGGTATGGCACCCTTATGTTGAAATCGCTCGCGATGTATAGCTTCATATCAAGCCGGCGGTAAAAAAAAATCGGCGACCGAAACCGCGGCGTTCCTCGAACAGGGTCCCCATATGTCATAATATATAACACCCCAGAACACAGACAAATCCTCAACCGACAGCAACATCACCATGGCGACCTCGACTCCCCTCTTCGAATACAACATCTCCTTCACCACCCCCGCCAACCCGCCATCATGTGAGACCAAGCTCACGGCAAAAGATCTCTGGACCGGCATCGCCCGAGTGGCAGATACACCCCAGGAATATGCGCCCTACGTATCCAAGTGCGAGATTCTCTCGCGCAACGGCCACGCCCTGGAGCGCAAACTGACCATGGCCAACGGGGCCGTCCATAAAAGCAACGGGGAGATTATGTATCAGGACGTGTGGATTGCGGATCGTTTACTGGTAGCTATCAGCCCATTACTTCCGAGAGATGGATAAGCAATTGCTGACCTTTCCAGGTGGGAGCAAGAACCAAGGATACCGGCGCAAAGACTACCTTCCTCCTATCCTACCATGACACGGCATCCGTCAGCCCTGACTCGACGGATATCAGCTTTACTGTCATCTATGAGTTGAAGCTCAGCGGGATCGAGCCCGGCAGTCCCGAGGCGGAGCGTATTCAGGCGGAATACCCCGAGTTGGCGCGCAAGGCTTGTACATCGACGGTGGAACAGATTCGGGAGCGGAAGAAGAATGGGCAGTTGGATGGGTGGGCTCAGGCTGGTGAAGTTCCTGCCTGGTGATAGATGGGTGAATATTGAAGCTTGTATCATGATGGGCCGTCCGGCATCTCAATCATCTGAGTGTAATCTGGATAGTATAATCAAGGCCTGTGCAGATTGTTCTCCTTATTCCCATGCCCCTTCACGATTAGAGCCACACTTTTATTGTACAGAGTGATTTATTTTTTGTTGATCCCTGTGGAAGCCTTAATGATTTCAATGAAATAAATAGGAATATAATATAAAGAGCATTGTGACTAGACAATAGCTGACCATAGACATCTCTTCTTCACAGACACTAAATAGCTACTAAATAGCTACTCAATTCGGCAGAAGTTTTAAGCAAGTTCTACAGTGCAGTGGTAGGTGCCGGGGATTGTATTAGCAAGAGTGAGGTGATATAGACATCTGTTCTAGCAAAAGATGCAGTATAATCAGTCCTTCAACAATACTTTGAAGTCACCTTGTTCTAAATCGTACCCAGTATTTGGGAATAGTATCACAGTACCAAAGTGGGGATCGTACCTTTACTATCCCTGGTCTGGCAGATTCAAGCTCCATAAAAGCACACTAAGCGCTTTTCAAGAGTCCTCGGTACTTTTTCACACTAATATAGCATGCTCAGCCTTGCAAGGGTATGAGAAACCAGCCTCTTAGATTTTATTATCAACTTAATAATCCACGTTAGTTCACTGCGCCGCAGTACAAAAAGGGGATAATGTCAAACAACTACGCGTCTGAGTTTGGGCCCTTCAGGGGCTCTCAGTGAGAATCTCCCAAGAGCATTTTCTTCTTTCACATATTTTTCTGCCTCGCACCGCATGGTTTCACGGAGTCTTCAGCTTGAAAAGATGGCGGAACTTACCTGCGAGCAAGCTCGACAGATCGTGGATGAGATTGGTCAGAGGAATGGTATCATCACTGACAAAGATCGAGCCGCAACGCCCCCTGCTGTTATAAAAGCGCTACAGAGTGTTCGCAATCAGCTTGGAAGACTTCGGCACCCCTGGACGCCATGCGACACACCAGACGTTAGAAGGCATGTCATCTTCCAGTTGATCTCCAGCGCCCGCTCATTGCACTACAATTGGGCAAAGAAGCAAGGAAAAGAACCCTATTTTTCCTTGGATGTATCTGCGGACCGTATCGTTATCGACACTAATGATGATGGGTGCCTGAAAAGCGACATAGTGCAACTTTCCGAGGGCTGTTCTGCTTTCCTCCCCAATGCCGGAACCAACAACCTGTATGATGCAGTTCTCCTATATACAGCTAGAATTGCCAGGGAAGCCCATGTACAGTCGGGTCCATTTTCCTTTGCCCTTGGGCCTCGAAGTTCCGGTGACAGGCTGGGATTTACAACCCCGGTCAACAAAGACCCGGCGGTCTTGCCCGGAGGAGTGCGAACCAGGATAACCTTGTACCCGGCTCTGCCGGGGGGATTTGTTCAATTGGTGCATGAGTTTAAGGATATTGCAAACGACGGTTTTGTGCTGCTCGATCCTGATGACACATGCCAACCTATGTGCAAGAAATTTGTTTTCGTTGCCCGTCTGGAAAACTTCCAAGTAACACGTCTAACGTACGGAGTCCAAGTGCGAGACGGGGTCCTGGAGGTCACCAAAACAGATGGGGATCTTTTTACATTCTCTCTATCCTCAGTTACGGAGCGCTTCCTTCTATACAAGCCAATCACTCCGTCGTCGTCGTTCGAGGAGATGGCGCTATTGTTTCCTATCGATCAAGACTCAAGGCCCGTCATACGATCTCGGAAGGCTTACCATATTGTTGGTCCGTTTGCTTTCCCTATTATGGGAGTAGGATTGAGCGTATGCGGTTCCGATTGATGCCATCTCTAAGGAGGCTGCTAACTTTATAGGTCGTTGTTTGTGCGACTGTGCCGAAGTTCGACCCCGTGAGCAATGCCGACATCGAGACTTCTATTTTATTACAAGATTATGTCATTAACTCCTTCTGTGGTGCGATTTCCGTCTGTCAAAATCACTCCATGCCTTATGGATGGGTCCAGTACATTCCCAGACAGAGCGCTGTCTCACCAGCTTGGCATAAAACAGTTCAAAGGTTACTTGAAAAACTCCGACTCGCCCCTGTTTTTCAGAGTCAGAAGGGTGTCCTTAAAAGCCTGTGTTCACTTCGGTACTTGTCCCCGAATCATTATGGCGCAGATAACGAGCCCTTGTTTGGACCTTCGGATGACGAATATCACATTTCTACCAAATACAGTGCCTACCTCAGTTTCTTGAAGCCTCTAGGCCTCCAAGAGGTCTCAGACCACGAAGTCCTGGAAAGGCTCAAACCTATCCTGTCAGAGCCTTTGCGCGTGCTGCTAAGTTCCGACTCACAAAAGGAACGGATATCGCGTATCCTACGGCTGCTAGTAATCTGGCTCAAGAGGAATCCCAATAACACTTTGTCGACTGAGATAAGGAACTTGCCACTTATTGAATTGAGCAATGGATCTTTCATTCGAGGAAAGGACGTAAATTGGATAAAATCTGGAGCCGATTTGGCTTTTGCAAAGGATGATGTCTACTTTTCGACGGACACCAACGGCAATGACATTCCGAAATGTCTTGATATTTTGACTGTTTCGGAGGAAGCAGCCAGGGACAAAGACGCAAAAGAGCTATTCCGTCTCCTTGGGGTTCGACATGCATGTCCTGAACTGGTCATGGAGCTAATCAGCCACCACAGCCATGCCACCTCACATGTGCCGACGACCGCTAGGGATCTTATAGCTGAGTCTATGCACATTCTAGGCTACGTCTATGACAGCTGCGCCAAGGACGATTGCCTGAGGCCGCCTTGCCTGATGCTTTTTGATGAGCACTGTCTGAGAAGACCGGTATGCAGGCCCTCTTGCCCTAGGTATTTCCCCTTCGATGTATATCTCGGAACAGATGGCGCCTACGGCACGGAAGCTATTGCAAAAAGATTGGAAGCGGGCTCTCTAATTGGCCCTCGCCTTCTTCTGTTGCACCCTACCTTTCTCGATCCAAATCACATAAGCAAAACGCACATTGTCAATGATACGTGGAGAATATGGCTAGAACGGAAAGGGATAGTACGGCAAGTTCCCCGGTTGACACAGATGATCAACCATACACAGCTCTCTGATCTATTCAACGCAATAATATCTCACCATCCAGACCTTCTTCTTGGTATCTTGCGAAGATATTGGGACACATACGGGACAGAGGTAAAAGAAGAACCGCTCATTGCATCCACTATCAGGGGAGCGAAAGTCCCGACGTTGAACGGACTGGCGAGGCTTGATGAATGCTACTTTCCCACCCCAGAGATTTGTAAATTGGTTGAGGCCGTGTCCACCACATTGAATATCAATCTTCTCAAACTACCGGAGACCTGGGGCCCGGGCAGTGAGGAGGAATGGGGATTTCTCCGAGAGCTCGCTGTGTCCGGTGGTGGAGCGGCGACATCCATGAAGGTCGTTAAAGATCGATTGTTATCCACCATGACACTGGAGGACGCCAAACCGCACTTTTTCGAATTATACAGATGGATAGCTGAGAGATCACTCGACGACTTGTGGTATGACCGCTTCCCAAACTGCTCCGTTCTGTTCTGACGTAGATAGGGAATTTTTCGACGATCAGAAGACCGTCTATATTCCGGATAGCGGTGACGGTGCGAAGTTGGTGTGTCTCGACCAATGCGTTTGGCATGGTCCCTCGTGGTTGCGAACTGTGTACGCTCTTGCGTTGCATGAGGAATATACGAGCGACTCGAAAATATGGGGCCTATTTGCAGACACCCTCGCTGTGCGGGATGCGGACTGGAGAACCTATATGACAGAATTGATGCACTTACAGGACGTTGGGGTAGGCTTGATAGACGAAACGCGAAGGATATACAAGGCTATCACTGGGGATATTTCCACGAAAGATTTGGACAGTCTGCGGTGAGTTTTGACTCCAGGTTGGGGCCTACACGCCCTCTGACAGTGGCTCGATGATTAGGAGTCAATTCAAGCGAGACAAGATGATATATGTACCACGCTCAAAGCAGTGGTATACACCTCAACAATGCATATGGGCATCATTTTCAATCGGTGATAAGATGTGCATAAGTAATGTCTATCCCGATATGGAGAGCTTTTTTGTTGAGGAGCTCCAGGTGCAGCGACCTTCCATACGTTGTTATATCAGCTACATTCAGCATCTTTGCAAAGACAAAGGAGATGTCACAGAGGTTATTGAGGCTCTGCGCCATATCAACAACCTCGGACCAACCGAGGCTGACTTGGACTGCCTCAAACTTATCAATTTCCTGCCCATCGAGGGCCCCGAGGAAGAGTTCTACTGGGGATCTGTCGCATCCGATTTCTTCATCATCGATAGAGACGGCTGGCCCATGCTATTCTATGGAGAGGTGCCGACGGTGCAGTTTCGCCTGGCAGTAGTCCATGAATTAGCTCCACTCTTGAAATCTCTGGGACTAGAAAACCGCTTCATTTCCGTCTGCGCAGCGAGGAAAACCAGCATCTCGGAAATGCCTTTGCAAACCTCACCGCAACTGACGACTGACTTCCGTCAAAGATCACTGGGTTTGTCTAGGTGCGTTTCTCCACGTAATTGATTCTGTGAGACGTACGGCTAAAGCTTTCTCAGATGCATCGCTCACTTCAACGGCGCAAATGTACGTGCTGCTCGCGAATTATACGACACTTTTCAGAAAGCATTAGTATACGAAACTGAGCATATCGTCGGGGAATGTACCTTGACTTCGCTGTCCGGTTCCAGCACAAGCAAGGAAACATACAGCAGACTACACATGGAATATCTCAACGGCAAATTGAGCATCTTCGTTCCCCGTGAGGCAAATGAAAGACTGATATGCTACGCGACGCAACTGCCAGAGTTATTGATAACCTCGCTGGAAATCAAACACCCCACTGCCCATGGCATATTCGCTACAGTTCTTCAGGTACCAATTGAGGTCGTGGACGGTATATTAGGGATTCATGGTATTCCCGAACTAGCCGATCTGGACCCTGTCAGCCCGGTGATTATCGACGATTCGGAATCTGTGTATGAGGATGCGCTAGAGGAGGTTTTCGTACCGAGGGCTTCGATTGCTTGGGGTGGCAAGGATCAATTGCTGGCATCGGGACAGTCAGAACTTCAGCTGGTTCTACGATCCAAGGACACGGCCGTCACGAAGTATCGCACGCTCTCAGACAGACACGAAACGACAGCCAAGGAACATGCGGTCGGATGAAAGATGTAGTAGGGATTATCTGGACTAACTACAACTTGCCGGTGTCTACTGGCTTAATTGGCCTACCCGTTAGGCTTTTCCTAGGTAGAGAATTCGCCATCCCAGAGTCAGTCCTACGTCATTACTTGTTACATACGTCAAAATGCACTCAATTAGTGGGTAGGGGTCCTACGGGGTGACCCTAGAATTATAATGAAGAGTAGTGCGAAAATATATGTCTAGGTAGCTTGACAGATGCTTCTTATTTCGATATTGTTCATAGAGAGGTAGATATATTATGGATCTTTGGACCATATGATGTTTAGGAAAACATTTAGATATACACTTATAAGGACAGGGCCGGACAGGGCCGCGACTAGTCAGTAGCTGACCATGGGCATCTCTACTTACCTCGCCCCAATAACTACTATATTTGGCAGAGTATTAAGCAGGTTCTACAGCACAGTGGTAGGGTTCTTATAGATATTGAGGTGACTTAAGACAGCCCTAACAAAGACGCATCATAACCAGTCCCTTCATAACGCCAAAGTCCTCCCCATATAACCTACACATCCGCGAGGACCAGTTCTCAACGACACTCGTCTTATCCATCAACTTTATCAACGCCTGCAAAATAGTAATGAGAAAGAAAACATTCGACGACACGGAGGGAGACGGCTTGTCGCGGAGATATGTTGATCCCAACATTGCAGGAATGCAGTCGTAGATTTCACTAGACATTTGGGATACCGCAGCTGACAGTCTGTCGCATTGCGCCCAGGATATATCATCCCAAGCCGAATTAATTGACTCCTGCTGACTAGCGAGGGAGCTTTGAATGATCCTATGTGCAAGGATACGACAGAGCCGGTAGTAAACCCACACTCGCGCTATCCAACATCCATCAGCAGCTTGTGGTGATTTCCCCGGGGCGAGGGGATCCCTCCAAGTCGATGGGAGGCAAGTCGCCCAAGACTGCAGGGATCGATCAATCTCTATGGCCTTGGAGATGATATGGCTTCGTCTTTGGTTCCGACTCTGGTCCGTTTGGACATAGAGGTCCACCAGACTACAGAGAAGGGGAAATAGCTCCACTGGAGGTTCGCTATTTGACGTTTCAGCAGATCGTACCAGATCAACAAGAAAGGAGGGAACTCTTTGCCTGCTGATTATGCAGGCTACAGCCTAGCTGGGAAGTCAGTTCCAACTGACTACGATACTAGACTGACTGATGCTAGGTCTTCACTTACGACAGTGTAGCAAACCTGAAGCACAGCTGTCATCTGCGTACTATTAACGCCCGCCAAACCCGATAATAGAGAACCGCCGTCGTCCCGTGTATATGCTTTAGCCATTGATAGGAATCGGAACCATTATCGTACATTATCATCTAACGGCTCATCAGTGGTTATAGACAATCGTAGACCTTGACGGGGTTAAACCTCAAACATGGACAAATTAAAAGAAGAGGTGGCCGTGTGCGCCCCGAGCGACCGCTCAGGATCATGAATGGCACGCGCAAGAAGCCGAAGAGCCGTTGCATACTTGCGTCGAGCAAGCTGCATCAAGTGGGGATCGCGATGAGCAGCTGCCAATGCGGCTAGGCCGACGGAGATAACGCTCGTAACGATGATTTTGGGGAGCTCTTGGCCACGCAGTGGACTGGGGCCGCTTGTGATGGTGAATTGCTCCATGTAATGCTGCAATGCGATATCCTCCATGGGCATTGCAGGAACGAAGAAGGTTGGATTATGGTGACGGGCCTTGCCGTGCAAGGTCATATCTGTGGCAGGATACTTCTGGGCTATTCTCGCTGTCTGATCCTGGAACACGAGGTCCAACAGAGTTCTGTAGCCAGAGCACTGTAGGCCAGCTCGGGCGCACTGAGAGCACCTTGGTCTGAGCTGGTTGCACTGTATAAAGTATTAGAGAAGCGAACCTAGAGCGCTCAGCGGGGGCTTACCTTGATCCTTCGGGACCGGCAGTTTTCACATCCTAGTCTGCCACGGCTGATAGATACCATGATTTTGAGATGCTTGGATATCGATCAGATCAACACAAAATAGAGGATTGTAAATTCCATCCGTAGGCTGGAGTTTGAAGGAAAGAGAAGGCTGGTCTGAGATGACCGCGGAGGGCCGACGATGCCTCGTATAACCACCGGTTTTGAGACTAGCACCGAGACTATCCTTTTGACGCTATTTGACGAGTCGATTTCCTATTTGGGACGTAGTGCTTACTTTCAACAGTTAAGAGCACGAACACGAGCAAGATCAATTACGAAGTACACAGAAAGCCAAGCATTTTGACAGCGGCATCAGACGGTAGATATCGCTGCTCTGCTACCGAGAGCCTTCAGGAACATACGCTATTGTACGAGTCAAACACCTGTTTTGGTTGTTCCCTTCGATCCATGGCGAAGACGTATTCTTCCGAATATGGATAATTCGCAACAACAGGCACACCAGGTAGGTGTATAAATAGCAGCTCCGTTCCTCCTACTGTGCCTTGCTGTTCATCAACCTTTCCTAATGCGCATAGTGATACTGATATACTATCTCCTACACAAGCACCATTCCCAACATGACCGCCATCCAGAAGGTTGCTTTGCTCGGCGTACGTCCCTTTCCCTAATCAGACCTCTTTCCAATGGCTAACAATAGACAGAAAGGGTTCCTTGGCTCAGCCGTTCTCGACCAACTCGTCAAAGCAGGTTTCGACGTGACCGTCCTCACTCGCTCCCGCAGCTCCATCCAGGGAGAGCCAGCGGGAGTCGAAGTAACTGAGGTCGACTACGCGTCCACAGACAGCCTAGAGCAAGCTCTTCGCGGCCACGACGCCGTCGTCTCGACCGTCAACTCGGCAGCATTCATGATTCAGAAACCAGCCATCGACGCCAGTATCCGCGCTGGCGTGAAGCGCTTTATCCCAGCGGACTTTGGGGCCCTGACCACAGCCCCGGAAGCTCAGGGTCTCCCCGTGCATGCTCGCCCTGTCGAAATACAGAACTATCTGAAGGAAAAGGCACGTTTGGGGCAGCTGGAGTATACCATTCTTGCCGTGGGCCTGTTCCTAGACTATGTGGTCTCGAGCCCCTTTGTTGTTGACCAGGTCAACCGGACGGCTGTACTGTACGACGGCGGCGAGCATCCATTCAGCACGACTAGCGTGGCTAGTATTGGGACGGCTGTCGCCGGTGCGTTGAAGAACGCCGACGCCACGAGGAATCGCGTGCTTTATGTACACGACATGGTTTTGACACAGAGGAAGGTTTTGGCGTTGGCGAAGAAGTACAGTCCGCCTGCAGAGCCCTGGACTGAATCGAAAGTCAACGCCGAAGCTGAACTTGCTGACATGGTTAATCAGATTTCAGAGAAGGGGATGCAAATGCCTCTGGTTCTGGGGTTGCTCAAGGCTGCAGTCTTTAGTGGGAAATATCCGTCCGAGTATAAGAAGGTGGATAACGAGCTCTTGGGTCTGGGGATCATGGGTGAAGAGGTGTTGGAAGCAATGTTTGAGAGAAAATGTAACTAGTTCTTCCGGTGTAGTTATTTGGATATATCATTACCCAGTTTATTTCCCCCTCGTATATAAAGCGAAAGCAGCCAGCCCATAGGAATCAGGATATTCCAAGAGAAGTGTTTCGTGGCATTGGAGCAGCTGATGAGCCACCTGATCATGGGTACGAGGTGGGGTCATGCATCTTTTATGGCCTTGACTTCGTTGACTAGCCTTTCTCTCTTTGCTTCTCTACTTCCTTCTCTTGATAAATATAGATAGCCTGCTTCCTGGTGCCATTATGATGTTCCTACTACGTGCCCTCCGCATCCTCAGAGACGCCATCTTCTCCACTCACCCCTCTCCACACTCGCCTCCGCCTGCTACTCCTCTAGCCCATCAGCTTAATCACATATACCATCGAATGGAGTATTTCCAGCTAATTTCTATATACTAGTAAGATTTAGATCCCTCTTAAACACAGAGCCAGCTCCATCTAACCTATTATCTACGCCCCGAGATCCTCACCATCACTCCCCTTAGAAAAAGTTGCCCTATACATCTTAACATCCACAGAGGCACTTTTCTCAGGGGCCTCCTAGAAGGTAATACATACTTCTATTTAGAGAGCTAGCAGAGAAGACTAGACTAGTCATAATTTCTAGCTTATATTACTACACCCTGTAATACATCTTCCCCACTATACATAAGGGCGTGCAAGATGTCATAAGCTTTCTCTTAGAGAATAAAGAGAAAATTTAGAATGCTGATCCTAGACTCTTCACTGTTAGTAGGTTCTCTGTTAGAGGGAATCTGGCGCTTGCTATTACACAGAGCCTAGCAGGGATAGCGCACGCTATTAAGGGCTTTGTTGGTTTTTGTGCAGTTGTACGGCCCCCTACTATATCCAGAGAGATAATCTCGAGCAAACGACGGATTGATATCGGAACTAGGTTGACTTGCGCCTCCCACCCTGGCTAAAGCCCAAGTCCTCGGACTTCCCAGCGGTAGATCCTTTGTCTTTCCTGCAGCCACTTTTCGACGCTTATGCTGGGCCAAACAGGCTGCAGAATATGGAGAATCCGATGCTGCACCCTATCCTGGCTGATGTCCAAGCCTTGCCGCAGAACATGTTCTTTATTATTGCAGGTGCGGATATCCTCCTGCAGGAGTCGAACGACATGGTACAGAGACTAGAGGATGAGGCAAGGGCGATTAATCAAGCTAGGGGTCTTCATGAGGGGCCTAAGGTCCCGGATGGACGGTCTATTTGTGTTCGAAACATTGTGTTTGAGCGACAGTTGCATGGGTGGTTGGATTGTGAGTTCCCTTGCCGTCATATGCATATTCCTTCCGGGACGCTAATACTGGTAGTGCCATCTTCTCTTATTGATGTCAGTACACACTCGGTCTTTTGGTGAAACAATCGCATTCCTCCGCGACGTCCACCGGGCATATGGGTACAACTGGCCTCTGTAGTCCTGGCAACTTGAGATCTCACTAACCACTCCCCTCTTGTACAATACCCAATATATCTCAGCTCCACAATGCATTGATGATCTCTGTGCAAATTACCGCTGCTCACTGTTTAAGAAAACCTTGAATGCCACAGAGTGAACGTAAGTACATTTGACTGCTTACCATCTGCAACTTATCCATTTGCATCACATCCTCACGTCTACAGCCAACTACCTCATGCTCCATTAGATGCTACTAAAAAGCAGTTACATACATAGTATCCATGTCTAAGAGCATAGCAGATCCCTCCTTAGTCTTCCATAACCAGGATGAGCAAGGTCCCAAAATAGCTTACGATTTGTTTTAAACAAGAGGATTTACCCCAAACCCGACGCCAGCGGGAATGGAAGGGTTTCCGCAGCCCTCATGATGTTGCTGCAGAATATCCATGACGGCATATAGGAAGCATATATCTGATCCTCTGGACGAGTCTGAAGAAGTTAAACAGGTTCTGGGATGTGTTATGTTGTATTCCCTGCTGTGTTGACCCTACTGCTATCATCCTACTAGCTAGAGATGGTTGGCTGGACCCCTTTTTGGCTGAGTGGTTTGATATATGTTATGTTATATGAGGTGTACTCCGGCCCATTCTGATAATGTGATTGCTATAAGATAGCACGGTAACACTATAAGTTAGCGATGTACCTCTGGGCAGTAACATGTTCTTAGGATTATAAATACTAATATATATATTGTTAGGTGAGAGACCTTCTAGATTCTTGATTACGTGTGGTTCCTATATGCATCTATATTAACAGCAGCCGGGCAATTAGTTGGGCAATGGCCCACTTTTGATACCTTAGGAAATCAGTCCATTGTGGCCCTTTAATGTATGCTTAATTACTAACTTGCTCTGAAGACTAGATGGTCCGGTGTATCTAGTCTCCAGCTGAAGAGATACTACACCTTAGGACAAACTAGCAGAACATACCTTAGATGCTGACTAGCTTCGATGAAAATATAGAAAAAAAAGTCTTTGTCAAAGTAAATGAATTTGCGAGCAAATGGTGGACTTTTCACAGAGTTGGGCTCAGTTGATATTCCTTGCCACAGACTATATTTCCCCGAGCCAGGAAAATTCTCGGCTAAAAGACGAATACCTCTTCACGAATCCACCTGGATCTGAGACACCCCAAAGGTCCCCCGTCTATAGGCGCACATAAGGCTGTGGAAAGACAACTGCACATAGTATCACACTGGTCAACTGCACCAGGAATGTAGATCAAGCCACGTGGAAATTGAACCCGCCAAATTTACACGCACTTTGCCAGCAAGACACTGTTACTATCCCAAGTGTGCCACGGAGTGCTAGCATGTCGCCTGAAAGGATTACCCCTGAGGAATACAGCTGGGATCCGGATCCTACAGGAATCCTTCAGGACCAGTCGGACCTGGATACTGGGGTCCGGAACACTCCGGAAAATGCCCTGGAAGATGATCGACCACTAAGTTGCCCTCTCCGTTTATCTCCCAAAGTCTAATTGATCATTTCTCATTTGCAATGTCTTAAACGTGTTGACGGTGGTAGGGGTTCCGGACTTGGAGCGCTGACTGATAGATGTTGATATAAAGGCTGGGATGTCTGCTGCGTTCTACCAGGTCAACAACTGTGTTTTGGCAACAGTTCTTTCACTCTCTTTCGAGAACCTTTCATTCCTTCAGTCTTTCGTTTACAGTCTTTTATAGACACCTTCATTCGTTAATCCGGAACAATGCGTGTGTCATTGTTGCCTACACTCGTTGCCACTCTCCTTTTCACAGGAACACTGGCCTGCGCAACCAAGCATGATGGCAAGCATGGCGGCAAGCACGGTGGCCACAATGGGGGCAAGGATGCTGGCAAGGATGTAGGCCAGAATGGCGGCAAGCAGGTGCTACCACCATCGTGGACTCCTGGCCCTGAATTTGCTGGGAAGAAGTCCCTGGCCTACTATGGAAACTGGGTGACTAGATTGCTTTGTACCGATAGGATCAACGGCTAAGTCGAGATGTTAGGACATCTATGCCCGCAGCTTCATGGTCACCGACATTCCCGCCGATAAGTTGACTCATCTCTCCTACGCTTTTGCCAACGTCAACACTACCACTGGTTCAATGTGAGTGATATTAGCGGGTCCTATGTTAGCGGTACAAAAGGGCTACAATGCTGAGTCCATTCGCAGTTTTTTGAGCGATGAGTGGGCCGACCTGCAGTATTCCTACCCCGGCGATGATAACACTGCTCCTGGCACCAACGTCTACGGAAACATCAAGCAGCTGTACCTCCTCAAGAAGGCTCACCGCAACTTCAAGACTATTCTCTCCGTTGGGGGATGGACCTACCGGACGAACTTTGCCCCCATGCTGGCCTCCGAGACCAAGCGGCGCCAATTCGTGGCCTCCGCAATGGAGCTGGTGTCCGACCTCGGCTTCGACGGTCTTGATGTCGACTACGAATACGTCGACGGTGCCGAACAGGCCGCCCAGATGGTCAGTCTGCTCAAGGATCTGCGCGCTGGCTTCGACGCTCTGGAGAAGAAGCTGAACGCCACCTCCCCCTTCATCATCTCCTACGCGTCTCCCGCCGGACCCGAGAAGTACAAGCTGCTCGACCTCGCCAACATGACTCCCTACGTCGACTTCTACAGCTTCATGGCCCTCGACTACCAGGGTGGCTTCAGCAACTACTCCGGCCACCAGGCCAACCTCTTCACCGACGTGTTCAACCCCAAGTCGACCGACTTCGAGACCAACTCCGGCATCCTGCACTACATCTCGGCCGGAGCCCCCGCCAACAAGATCCTGCTGCAGTCTCCCCTCTACGGCCGCTCCTTTAACCGGACCGCTGGCCCTGGTACCAAGTTCGCCGACGTTGGCACCCTGGGCAGCTTCGGCACCGCCGGTGTCTGGGACTACAAGGCGCTCCCCGTCCCCGGCTTCAACGCCAGTGTCGTCGAGTTGCCCGCCATCGGCGCCAGCTACAGCTACGACGCCGCCCGCAAGTACATGATCTCCTACGACACCCCCGCGATTGCCACGGTCAAGGCCGAGTACATCAAGAGCCTTGGTCTTGGTGGTGCTGCATGGTGGGAGGTCAGCATGGACCGCAACGACACCAAGAGCTTGATCAGCACGACCATCAGCGCCTTTGGCGGTGCCGAGGCGCTCGAGAACAGAAAGAACAACCTCAACTATCCTACCAGCAAGTATGCCAACTTGCGCGCTGGGATGCCTGGTCTGTGAGGCTGGACTCTGGAGCAGGTCAAGTGATGTCCTACGCCTTTGGTAATTGTGATGTGGGGGTTTGGCTGTAGGTTTACTTTCTGCATCTTGTTTCTTACTTTAAGAGACGCTAGGCTTTGTCATAGATATGGTGATGTGCTTTTTGCATCTTTTCTTTCTCCTTTCTTCTTGGAAGCTAGGATTGCCTGCCGCTGAGTGGCTGAGTGCTTGGCTAGAGTTAGGGGTTCTCTTATCCTACATGTAGAATTGTAATATCATCTACTATCTTATTGACAGAATGTGTTCATGTAGTTCCCTATACCCTGGAGTAGTGTAGTCTGCTCCATCCTGTATCTGGGCTATAAGACACCCTCTGACGACTCTACCCACTCATCGCCCTGTGCCTGGTACCTGAATCCTGATCCTGATCCTGATCCTTCGATCCATAGCGGCTGATTAACTTTAGTGGCACTAGCACCAGCCGCAACCCTGATTCGTCTTTGGGCAACAACGTGCCGGGCCCTAATGAGGTAGTGGTACATTAAGTATTTCTGCCGAAATTTCCCCGCTGCCTGTGGCCTGATCCTTCAGTGACTTGACCTGTCTACTCCGTGGTCAAGATACCAGCCCAGATATTCTTCGTTCAACGGTATGAACTTGCACTGAGAGATCAGGTCTACTGACTGATTAGATTATGTTTCCAATGGTAGATGATGGGGTTAGGAGAAGGGTAGGATCAGGATTAGGGGAGAGGGCTAAGTATCCCCTGCCCTGTTCCCACGCTCTGTGTCTTATGTATGTATCTGCTGAGGGTGCAGGTTGAATGATAATCTTATTGAACTCAACTCAGATATTCATTTGTGTACGGAGGAGTCTAGTATTGCCAATGCAGGAACACACTGCATTCTTTGCAGAGTGGTCTTGGCAGCGATCGAGAATCCCCTTTGAATTAGCGCAGCAGCTGTTGGGAAGATGCTTCTTAGCATTGATACCATCTCACTGCTGTTACGCTTCACTACCTTCAGGTCTGGTTGTCAGTCTACGGAGGTTGTAGTCGATCCTGGTCGATGTGAATGATTATGAGTAACCTACAGCAGAGTGAAAAGAGATGTCACTAAAGTATATATTTTCAAACTGTCTAAAACTGCATCTTCCAACCCACAGCAGTGCCTTGTGACTGCAGTAAGCCTGTTTAACTCTTGCCTTTTCTTCCATGCTCTGCATAGAATAAGTTCATGGCCCAAAAATCTTAACACTCTCCTTGTGGTTGTAATTTGCATCGTTTCAGAGCATTCCACATTCAACAGGCCATTACTAAGCTACTAAGGAGTTGTACTTTGACAAACGGTGGTCTTACAGAACTCAGTCATCTAGAACCCCTGTTGCGTCTGTTTTACTTCTCTTTCTTCTTCCATACTCAAGGTTACTTAGATGATATGCCGTAAGACCAAGGAGCAAACTCATGGTAAAAATAGATCAAAAGACTGGTTATTCCATCAATATCTTAAAAATATGACCAAAGACCGATGATCTTTGAAAGGTGAAGTCCCTTAAACCTAAAGAGGCTTGCTGCTCATCTGCTGCCTGATAACCAGAGAGATCTGCTTGAGTGAATACTAATTCTATCAGAGGGGAACAGGAAACAAACGTTGTCTGAATTCTCCCTGCATAGGTAATTCTGACTTTTTAATATAACTGCTGTCAGCTTCAGGCTATGGCTTGTGCTCAATCACACTGTAGCATTTAATCTGGCAATTGTTTTTGGCCATCCGCCATGCAAATATGTTAGCGAACAATCAACTGCTATGCCTGCAGTCCAAATCCAGGACCCTTATTAGGCTGGTGTGATATGTATCTGCATTACTTAAGAGAGTGGCTTCTCTCCATTACCTGGGGACAGTTACTGCTGCTCTGGTGTGAGGACACAGATGTCCTTCCTGATATGAGGATGAGTTCTAGTGCTGAAGAGGATCTGTACTGCTGGGTTAACTTCTGGTAGAGCACGCCTATAATAAAGTGTCTTATAGACACTTGCCCTAACCCTATGACAGGATATATTTACGGAGCACGCGAATCCCTTGTTTAACGAGTTTGAGGTGTTTGTGAAAACCAGGGCCCAAGAGCTGAAGGACCTAGGTGGCAATACCTTTCATTCAGTGAGTTGATTGAGCTAATGTGGCTTGCACTCTAGAAGGTGAAGCTAACTGCAGATGGTGTTGGTGTCCAGTTCTCTTGGCTGTTTATTGGGTGCTACATCATCGCACATATGCTAAGGCTGGTCATTGTAGCTCCACCAAATCGAGGTGAGGCCAAGGTATGCCCGGACTTGATACTTCAGAAGAAAACAAAAGCATACAAGCCTGGCCCAGTTTCATCTTCAAGTGTAGCAAGGGCAGAAAGAGGGGCTCTGCAGAACAGGTCTCAGACCTTCCTTGGAGACTGAATTGGGTCCTATCCTAATTGAGTGTTCTTTTCTTGTACTGCTGCATTACCTTTAGCGCTACTGTATGTGGTACTGGGACCATCACATCCCAACATACGAGTGATTTGCACTGACCAAAACCATTCTTTGCTTGGACTGAAGGTCGCAGACACTGTAACAGGTCTAACAGTTGCTTCAGCTGCATTATTCTCATGGGAGCCTATCAATTTCCTGACCACGTTGGTGTCTCATTTGACTACTAGTAATTAAACAATAGTCAGCTCTCTTTGGGAACGGCAGATCTTCAATACGATTGTCTAAAAAGTGGAGAGGGGACGATCTATGCTGATTCGCTACTCTAATGAGAGCTATCAGATCAAACAAAATCAGATTTGGCAGGACGATCTTGGGCAAACTATTCCGGCCATGCAGATATGACGGGTCTAGTTATGGACTGCAGAGTCAGCTGCCTAGGCACGAGTGTGAATAACCACATGCTCCAAGCCAATCTGTAGCCAGCGTGATAGATCACTCTTCCGATTGCTCTCAACCAACGAAGTCCTTCCTTCCTTGCCCTGCCTACCTATTCAGCCAGCCACAATCTCCTGTCCGTGGCCAAATGTGTATTGCACATCACGGTCGTATCAGCCACCAGCATTGGGATGGACCAAGGTGCATTGCTCAACAGTGTGCTTGGATATGATGTGAGATCATCTGTGATCCCCAAGTCTTTGCAGCCAGCATGTCAGTATCTCCCAGGTCCAATCCACCAAATGGCCAGTTTCCTATTACGTGGAGTCAACTGACATGATGATCAAGTCCCTAAAAGGACAGAGGGGTAGCTGGTCACTGTAACTCCAAATCAGCCATGTTAGTATGCTCCTGGATGTTGCACTGCATCACTAGGAAATCAGACCCCGCAATACATGCACCGTGGTAATTGGCGAGTGGGGTGCATGTCTGTCAGTTCCTATTCTCAAAGCAAGAAGAACTTCCGGCTTCTTCAAAGGCCTGCTGGGTGATTGCATTACTCGGTTGAAGGAGACGCCGGAAGCCTATAAATACCCTAATCTCCCTCGATCTAGTTCACTTTCGAATACCAATTCTCACCAACGATCAGACAAGGCAATCTCCCAACTCATTATCTCAGAACTACCACTTGTGTTTACCTCTCTCCGCAATGAAAGCCCCTGTTATCTGGGCCCTGTCCCTGACCTGCGGGCTAGTCTACGGCCAAACTGCCCAGCAGCACTACGACCGAATCTGTACCTTCCCTTCCGATGAAGAAGTCGAGGTGGAGCCGGGACTCTTTGTGACCTACCACTGCGGCCAGTACGCTCCCCCGAACAACCAGTACCAGGCATACGCCGCAAGCACCCCCGAGGACTGTGTCAAGGGCTGTGTCAACAAGGGCAGCGGATGTCTAGGCAGTGCCTGGACGAGTTTGCCCAGCGCCACAAGCGCCTGTCTCCACGCCAAGCACTCTTCCCTTCCTGCGCTTGTCAATAAAAACAGCGTCGTGTTCATGACTTATCGGAAAGCAGAAGAAAATGGCGAGGACCCCTTTGGTGAAAGCACCCTGGAGCAGTTACAAAAGTGCAAGGACGACCTTGCAGCCTGCAAGGTGAATGAGGCGAAGCTGGCCGAGTGCGAAAGGAACGCTGCCGCCGGCCCTCAAGTTCCCCCCTACATGGATTGCCCGGCCGGGAAAGACCAGATCATCACCATCGGAAACAGGCCCTTCAAGCAGAAATGCGACATGGCGATGGCCAAAGCCGCGGCGGACATCTACCGGACTATTCAACCGGGACTAACTCACGAAGAGTGTGCTCTGATCTGTGCGCTTGACCCGAAGTGCAAGAGCGCGATGTCCGTCAGGACTACCAGCACGGCCGGCGAATGCCAGCTCTCCAGCCGGAATATCGAGCCCTCGCTGACCAACTGGGCGCCGAACCGGGCTTATGTTCCTGTGTGAGACCCGAGCGCTTGATGCAGAAGGAAACTGCTTTGTGAGTCGGAGCATCAGGGAATTTGGCAAACAGTGCCTTCATAAGCACGAATCTTCCCTTGATTACAGGGCCTGATTACCTACCAAGACACGATGTAGGTTATTGAGTGCAATCTTGGGTCAGATTTCACTCGTTTTTCTGTCACTGGAGCGTATCTGTTAAAACCCGCCGGATTTTATAACCTGTCTGTCATTCATTTGAATATGCGTTTACCTGATATATCATATTCCAATCAAACAGGTGGTCCCAAATAGCCTAGTACTCTACCCTCTGGAGCTTCTGTAGAAAAGACCTCCAGCGAGGACCTGCCATAACAGTGGCTATTAAGTCCGAGGCAGACCTGTAAATCCCAGCACAGTGCGTCAACATGAAGAGCGAAGGTCCTATTCACAAGCCACAATATCCAGCCATAGAATCGCAAACAAGACCGGGTTCCTGCCCTGATTTGTCCAAGATCAAGACAGTTATCCATGCTGTGCGAGGCATTTGACGTGTACCTTAGTTACTGGCACTATAAAGAAACAGACCATCGGTATATCCCATAGGAAGAAGACATTCGGGTATATATTTATTATACAAACAACATGGCAGTTTACCATCACCTCCACTCCAGACCAATCTTTCGCGCAACCTTTTCGGCAACGTCCAGAAAAGCCTTGCGCCTTACGCTGCGATCATCGCTCTCCTCCGATACCACCGTAGGTACTCCGCGGTCAGCGTCCTCGCAGACTTTAGCATCGAGAGGGATATCCCCGAGGAATTCAACGCCTAGGCGCTTGCACTCGGCGACCACGCCCGAATCCTCCGGGCCATGGCCATGACTTTCACCATGGGAAAAGATCTTCGTTTGATAACCGCACTGCGGGCACGCGAAGTAGGCCATGTTGCGAACCATCCCGAGAACAGGAATATTCATTTTCTCGAACATACCAAAGCCGCGGACGGCGTCGCGCAGAGCAATATCCTGCGGCGTGGTTACAATCAATGCGCCGTCTACGATGAGCTCTTGTCCGATTGTTAATTGTACGTCACCGGTCCCCGGGGGTAGGTCCAGGACCAGCACATCCAGAGGGCCCCAGGAGACGGAATGGAGAAGTTGGTGCATGGCCTTGGTGACCATAAGACCACGCCATGAGATAGGAGTGGTGTCCATGGGAATGTTGCCCGCAGGTTGCGACGGGTCTGCTTTTGGCTGTGGGAGGAGGTAGCCCATTGACATTGATTTCAAGCCATAGTTAGTCAGAGGGACGAGGCAGTTGTCTAGTCAAATCCATTAGTTCTTGCGCCCCAAAGGCATGTGCCCCAAAGGCATGTGCCCCAAAGGACAGTCTCACGTTCGTCTAAGCGGGGTTCACCAGACAAGTTTAGAAGAGTTGGGATGGAGGGCCCAAAGATATCGGTATCCAGGATACCTGTACGAATGCCACGGCGAGCTAAAGATAAAGCGAGATTCACTGGCGCAAGGAAAGTCAGAAATCTACTGGAAAGTCATGGATGGCTGTGTAACTGCTGATGTAAAGATATCTGGATAGCATATAAGACAAACTCTCATACCTGCAATAGTAGACTTGCCCACGCCACCCTTGGCCGACGATACCGCGATGACTTTTTTGACATCACGGATCTTGCGCTTTTCTGGTAATCCCCGGCGGCGCGGGAATGACGGTGGTGTGCCGGATCGCGGAAGACCCTGTTAACATTAATATCCACAATCCGATAAGTCCGCAAGGGGTTTGTTTACCAAAGGATTTTCATGCTGAAGAGCTCGAAGAGCCGAAAATAGCCTCTTTTGTAACATATCGCTGTTGATGGCAGATACAGTGTTGCAGAGAGGAGCAGCAATCGACATCATTTACTGCCAGAGAAAAGTACACCGCCTGGAGCAAGCTTCCCAATAGGACAGCTCAATTCCCCAAATGGAAAGTTTATCCGATACCGCATTCCGCCCTCTCGAAAAATATCACGGGCAGAAAAAATAAAAAAAATGATCCCGACTACAATTTATCGACGATCAAACATCCACAGCTTCAACTTGTCCGAGGCGCAGAAATGGCGCCAAAAACACTCGCAGAACGGCTTGCAGAGCTGGAGGACCCTACACCTAAAGGTTGGTTGTCGAGAAATTGGTTGTTGTGTCGTCTTTAAGTGGAGATTAACACTGCGATCAGATTTTGACCCCGAAGACTTGGAGCGCGCCGGGCCAGACAGTGACGATGAAGGTGCCGAAGCTGCTGATCCTAACGCTGGACGAGAGCATTATCAAGCCGTAGGGTGAGTGCGAACTTATCGACCGTTTGTAATCCTTGCGTTCAAGATGTTAACTCCAACCAGAAAGGCGAGACTTCGCAAACAGGACCCAATTAACCTCGGAAAACAATATGCCGGCTCGAAAATCAGCCGAGATGCGCTTGAAGCCGAGAGTGATGACGACCCTTTCAGAGCACGCTCAAGCGACGAGGAGGAGGACAGTGAAGACGAGGAAGAGGAGGATTCTGAGCTGGGAAGCGACGAGGACGAAGATGCATCTGAGGAGAGCGAAGAAGAGCGACCACGGAAATCCAAGAGCTCCGCAAAGGATGGCAAACGGCAGATGAAGGAGTTGGAGGTTTCCTCGGACGAGGAGGACGGCGAGGGCATGGATACCGATGGGTCTGAAGAGATTGATGGAAGCGAGGACGACTCGGAAGATGGATTGGACGAGGATGACATGGACGGAGAATATCCCTCTGACGACGATGAAGAGGATGACGATGATGAAAACGAGGATGAGGACGAGGACGAGGAAACCAACAACCGCCGAGTGCAATTTAAGGAAACCTCCAAATCCGATGACCGCGAGGAACTGCGCAGACTCATGTCCTCCGACCAAAAAACAATCGCAGCCACCATTTCCCAAGCCGCCAAAGCAGACGCTGCCAAGGGCCGGGCCGTCAAGCAGCAGCGCGCGACGTTCGACGCCTTGCTCAACGCACGGATCAAACTCCAAAAGGGCCTGACAGCGATCAACCAGCTCTCCATTACTGCAAAGGGGAGCGATGAAAAGCCCAACATCGACGGTGAAGCCATCAAGTCCGCTGAATCCGCCGCGCTCGCGCTTTGGTCCACCCTCGAAGACCTGCGCCTCGCTCTGGCCGACGCACAAACGCAGGACGAGTCCAAGAAACGCAAGCGACCTTCCGCAGTGTCCGCCGCGACATCCACCGATTCCCTCTGGAAGCGCATGGCCGACCTCGAATCCGACGCCGTCGCGCACCGCCGCGCCGTGCTCGACAAGTGGTCCCTCAAGGTCCGCGGTTCCACGGCCTCCCTCCCCAACGCCCGAGGAAAGCTCCTCGGGGCGAGCGCCGCCAGTCAACAAACCATCACCGCCGTCATCGACGCGCAGGTCGCTTCGGAGACGGGCGACCGCACCGCCAAGCGCCGGAGGAATTCGTCCGACGAGGGTCCCGAACCGGTCTACGACGACACCGTCTTCTACCAGTCCCTGCTTCGAGACCTCGTCGAGCAGCGCATGTCGTCTTCCGACGCCATCACGAACGGCATCGACACCCTACACCTCCAGCTGCCTTCCCGGCAAGGTATCCACCCTATTACTGGCATGCGCAAGGACAAGGTCAAACAGGACATTGACACTCGGGCCTCCAAGGGCCGAAAGATGCGGTTCGATGTCCACGAGAAACTGCAGAACTTTATGGCACCTGAGGACCGCGGCACGTGGACCGCTACTGCTCGTGAGGAGTTCTTTGCCTCCCTGCTTGGGAAGACGGCAAGTGGGTTATTGCGCGAGGGGGATGATGAGGATGCCAGTGCTGCCGAGGAAAGTGATGAGGATCATGAGGAGGTTGGATTGCGGCTGTTCCGCAGCTAGCAGGGCTGCCGGTCGGTGGATATGCCTGAGGCAGTCAAAAGTTGCATATAGCGGTTAGACATTGTTTATACATATATCGGCGTTTGTGTCCATTGTTTTCATTAACTACAGGACCAGCAAGCGCTTTGCACAGAGCCTCCTGTTAAAAATGCATATTAAGAGTAAATATTATCTCAATTCTCATGTCAAGGTGCAACCGACCAGGCCCGTAGGCTCATAAGCGAACGCGTCGATGCTCTGAACCGAGCAGATTCAAACGAGGGTATGTACAAGAATGACCAGACGCCAAGGTGTGCTGTACAATGCAAGATAGAATGTCAACTTTAAACGCCTAATCCTGAACTCCGAATCCCCAGTCTGTCGAGATAAAGCCGGTCGACTAGTTGTATCTCTCAGGCGAATAAGACGGTAACGAAGGGCCATGCGATTGCGCCCAGGTAAAGGTCGTCCGACGCGGAAGGCCCAGCATCCTCTCCTCCACTGCGCGCCTCAAAGAGACCTGTCGTTCCTCCTCCTCCTGCGGCGAGAGGAAGTGCGGGAGGCCTTCGTGGTTGACGATCACTGCGCCACTCACTTCGTTGTAGGAGGGTAAAGTAGTAGATACCCGAGCATTCTCGCTTGAACTGCGCGCTCCAGCGCGGATCGTAGCTCTCGTGCTTCGGGTACAGTAGAAAGGTGGACTATTGTTCCTGCGCTTCGCGCGGAGGTCTGCCGTTGGGTCTCCATGTAGAGCAGGTTGTCCTTTTCGGTAGGTGATAGTTCGTAGTTGAAGTATTCTAAGATTGGTGGTGGGTTGGGATCCGCCCGTGGCTCAATGTCCTGCCAGGTGAAGGCTGGTTCTTGGTCTGAGGGGTCAACGCCGGGTTCTATAAAGGCGTGAGTGTCTCGTGGGGATTCGTCGGCGTCGGTCTTGGATGCGTTGGCAGGCTGAGCGTGAAGTCTGCAGAGTGCATCGTACTTCTCTGTCTTATAAGCGTCTGCATGCCGGTTGTTTTCGGGATTGATGTTTTGTGTGGACAACAATGGAAGCGCTTGGGTTGATCCCCGCATTTTTGAGACTTCCGGATGCGGAGAAGGCTCGACGATGTTGTTGTCATCGCGACGGCGGCGACGACGCAATTTTCCCAGGAAAGATGGCGCCATGACTCATAGGGAGGCCCAAGGTTGGACTCTGATTTGCGAATAGAGGGAAGAGAGAGGTCGAGTGAAACTTGCAGGAGGTGCAGAGATCCATACTGAACGAGCAATATCCATTCACTGTTGTTCCCATTGGCTGCTGCCAAGATCGTCGGTCCCTGAGCGCAACCTCATAATGGACGGAAGAGTCAGGTGCCACTGACAGTTACAATTCGCTTGCATTCGAAAGTGAATTAGGCGGCTACTAGTCTAGTCTGTTCTGGAAAGACAGGGTACTACTTCCTCGGCCGTTGTCGGACAAATCGGCACATGTGACTATACAGGGAGATCATGGCAAAGCTTAACAAGTCCGATGGCTACACGTGGTGAAGAGGGATCGCTTATCGGACTTTCATGCATGCATATCGATTTGCACTCACACAGACCAGATCTGGTTGCACGGCAGTTGTGTTTCAAATTCTCAAGCTTCCAGTAAAAGCCAATGGCGATCCTTCGTACCACCAGATAAGCGTATTTTGGCGTCTCCACACTCCCGACGCAGCGACTGGACGCCATGGATTGGTCGTCCGAATCAGGATCTCCAATAGCAGTGGACACTCCCAAGCAAGGATCTAGTTTCATCAAAACGTTTTGTGCTCTGAGGATTGGCTGTGCACGCAATGAAGCACTGCATGAGGGTGCAAAACATGGTATTCCCTGCCATCATCATGTCCACTTCTATACCCAACGCAGAAGTTGGACTGGTAGTCCGATAAGGTATAGAAGCCCAAATTGACTCAGGCGATTTTCGCATCTGGCCCTGTTCCTCTATGTTTGCCTTGACAACCGGACATGTTGCCGGGTCCGATTGGGCTTCGGACTTCGTTTCTGGAACCTTTTACCGGCATGCCAACTGGTCAGTGGTCTCCCTTAAGGCCTTAAGGATCCTGAGCGGGACTCTTCCCGCAGACTTCTCCCGCCCCGGCCCTTCCCTTCCCTTCCCTTCCCGTCAGTTGTTTCATTCGACGACCTCAGGGCGCAAAGGTGAGACGTCGACTGAGTCTGTCTACCTGCCAAGTGGCGCAATTAGTTGTGGCGGTGATGGTTGACCTCGATGACTGGAACGTCGTTTGTCTGCTCGCGGGTCATTGATTTGATAACACGATCCCACGAACTAGCTGCATCAAGCAAACCCCTCGTTCAGCATCTTCCCAGGAAACATTATGAGGATTCGACTATTGAATATTTCGTTCGCGGTCGCAAGGAAATACACTTTCGGATCTTCCTCCCGCCAACTTAGCGGACAATCGAGTCCTTCCACGGACTCCCATCAAGAGACGTCCGCTACGTTATTGTCCTTACAGAAGAATGATGGTACCGGTGAGAAGATTTGCCAGGGACCTCTGCTATTGAACATACTACTTATTATCGTATTTGTTTTATAGTTTGTGCGAGGAGAACATATTATGAGATCGATGACTGATGCCTTATGAGAGATCTGATGGTAAAGACAATACACAGGATCTTACGTTGGTAAATGCTCTGCATTTAACATTGCATATACGCGCTTCACTCTTAGAGACGAGGTACTGGAGGTTATGACACGAGAGAATTGGGTGCCTACAAAGTACTAAAATCCTTCTAACGCGCACGTAAAGAGGAGTGAGACAGTATGGTTTAGTCATCGCCCAGTTCATTTTTCCATTGCTCTCTGAGTGAGTCTATCAAACGAGACGTATTCCAGCCAGTCTTCAGCTCCATATACTGCAGTAGCTCTTCAGCGGCTTCTTGGTCTAGCTTATGTCGGAGAATCCAACCCCCTGGGAAGATCAGTTTCGTACGACAGCGTTAGGAAAGAGGAAAGAACATGGCAAGCATAACTCACAAGCCACTAGGCTATGCCGTGCGGTGAAAAGGGTATTTTCAGCCCTAGGGTTTGACGCAGCGAGGCCTAAGACATTGAGGAGATGGTCCCGGACAAGTCTCTGACTTAAATTAGTTCTTGCTTCCACGTTTCCATGATCAAAATCGACATACTTCAACGTCCCGGGAGCGTTGCAGGCTTTCGTATGGGAGCAACGGACTTGAACAACCAGACAAAGCAAGTATGATCTTTGCGATGTGGTAGTATTGTAAACCGACGACTGCATTGGGTCAGCGAGTGTGCCAAGGCATCAGGACGCGTACGTACCATGAACTGGCAACAGCGTCCAGATAGTTGGGAATCGTCGATCAGACTCCTTTCCCCGAGGAAGAAAATGAACAGGTTGGAATGTTTGCGGTTTGGATGCATTCCAATCCTCGACTTCGTCCTCTAGAGCGTTCAACGAAGCGTAAGAACGTCTCGTTCGGCTCTCCTCGTTGAAGGCGCAGCTCAATATCCTGGCCAACAGGAAGACCATCCGGTTGGACCAAGCAAAGTCGTCGGTTCTGGTGAAGACATCCGACCGCTCAAAGCTCTGTAGATTTGTCCGCAGTGGCGACTGTGACGTGAGTGATATGTACATGTCCTCGCGAAGGCACAGCCAGGCGGCTGCTTCACCTAATCCTCCAGAGGAGCCAAAGGAGGACATGGTATTTAATATACGTGTCGTTCCTGTTAAATGGAACTGGTTGTCCTGTGCTAGTTCTATGAGCAGGTGAGTAGCTGATTACTTGGATAGAACTTACGATCCATTTCTTCATTCTGACGGAGGATTGCAATGGCGGCTAGTAATTCCTCTGTAACCTCGTTGTCATTGCACGACAGTGTTGGAATGAGAAGCTCAAGGCATTGGTTGTGATACTTTAATGACTCCGTGTCGCCGTCCGGTCTTTGCCTCTTGATATGCCGGGATGAAAATGCAAGAATTGCCGCGCGTAATACTGGCTCGTGAAGAGCTCGCGCCGGAGCCACCACCTCAAAGTGTCTTTGAGGGTCCGTAATGTCGGTCTATAAGTATATTAGCATTTCCCATCAGAATACAGGGTTCAGCAAGAAGGGAACCCAAATATCCCTAGGAACACCGACCCACAAGGCCATATTATCCACAAAATTGCGAAATAGAACAGCCTCTCTTGCACTAAGAAAAGTATAATGTGTTTGTGAGCACGCAAAACCACTCAAAGTAGCTGAGTTGCGATGCAGCTCTGCTGTAGATTCAGCATCCGGAGATCCGTGATGAGCGACGGGACTTTCTATATTCAAAGCCGCTTTGACAACGGTCAGCACAATGAAAATATTGGAGAAAGATTTGTAGACGCAAGGAAACGCACCATAAGGTGGTCTGTTGGCAGGGGCAGAACTCTGTGGTGTCACGGGTGCGTCCTCGTCGGGAAATATCTGATATCTTCGGTGGTGGACATCCGACCCTGCTTGACCGCAGTGGCTGCCGTCTGAGTAGCCTGTATCATGACTCGCTTGAGAAGGTGGTGATGAATTGCTTGTTATGTAAAGACATTCAATCTCACGCGTCTCATCGTAGAATCGGACTTTTCCATCATGCAAGTCAGAATCGAATCAAAGAGTGCTGGGATTGACTGACCGGGCCCCGTCAAAGATGGCCAAGCATCTTTTCCAGGGAATGTCACATCCTGGTCCTTGACAAAATCTAGGCCATTCCGAAAGCGAACGTTAAGAAATCTCTCGCAATCTTCGCCGGCAGTTCTGCAATTGTCGCAGGCTGGTGTTTTCTTGTCACCTATTGAGCTAGATATGTGAGTTCGGAGCTTCTTCCAATATCAGGCATACGTACATCTTAGATGACGAGCTGTCGATGATCCAGTCAGCACGTTGAATACAATACCCAGGCTATGTTGTCCGTCGTCTGCACCATTTGATCAACACTCACCCCTACATCTGTGGCTAAGGAAGTGGTCAGCGAGTCATGGTCACCGCACAAGCAAAAAATCTTCAATGAACACACCAGCCAGCAATCAGTCGACTTCGTTTCTTCGAATTTGCCATTGCCTTGCACCTTCTCTTGTGGGTGAAAGAAGCAAGTGGAGAGACGGAGAGAGTTGCCCTCTAAGTCCGTGTCCGCATTCTTCTACCCCGCGCCACCGGCCCCAACTTCCCCACACCTCCCCCTGGTACCTCGAATACCCAACAATCACGGAGGACGAGGTATGACGACTCCCTTAATATGAAAATTGAAATGATAAGCATACGATCAAGTTGTCAACTCCGGCTGAGTTACCGACGGATCCATCTATTCGCCGCAGAGAAGCAACCTTCATACTTGTGTCTTTCAAACAACAGAGGATAAATTTCGTCCTTTGGGATGGCTCAAACAAAAGAGCCAGGTCATCTACGCACCTTCAGACGAAACTCCAAAACCTGTTAAAGGCGAGGACTCACTAGGAAAACACTTACAACAAGAGCAAAGAAAAAATAGCAGACGGCTTATTCACAGGTCTTTGGGCATGGGCTTCAGGACTCCTCCAGATCCAGTTTCCTGCCTGCTTTCCAATCATATCACATCCTGGAGGGATATGCGCGGCATCCTTGAGACCCCGAGCTGGACCCGCTGGATTATGATTGCGTCATGGAGAGCCTTCCAATTGACGAAAACATTGTCCGCCTTATTTCTCGTGAGCATTCCCTGGGTTGAAGCTCTCCCCCACGCGATAAGGCAGCGAAAGACAAACTACTAGACTAGGATGTTGTGTCTTGTTATCGAGGGAGACGGGGATGGAAACTGAACGTTCCAGCCAGCTATTCCATGAGGTTGGCGATGTGGCATTGCTTTGGGTTTACATTGAGATGTCGCCCGACCACGGCTTCAATGATGTGTTTCTTTGCGAATAAGGTTTGAAAGTATTGGTTTTCGTTGATCCCAGTAACTTAATGAGTGTAACACATTAGATTTTAGATTCACGTTCTTTTGCAGCTGAATATGTGATTTCTTCTCTTAACAGACGGCGCCGTCTAAGACTGCTTGACCCTGTGGTTGGCAGCATTGAAGGTGGTATTGGACTATTGGTATATGAAAAGACGAGCAGCCGGTGCATTTCGAGTCCGGCCACTAGACAAAAGCCCCAAACAACAACCTGCCTCTGAGCGGTAGATCCATTAAGACGCGAACCTTCAGCGACAAGGAGGACATCTACGCGTACAAGGAAGGCCGAGAGGCGCAGGTACCCTACCCCAGCGGACAACTGAGCTGACTATCATCCACGCCGCGGATGGGCTCAACGTGAAAGCCTACGTCGTATTCAATCCCATCATTTATGGTACTGGATCAGGACACTTTAACAAGTTCTCGTTCCAAGATTCCGCTTCTCATCAGGAAGTCGCTTGCTCAGAAGCAGGCTATTGTGGTGGGCAAGGGAGACGGGATCTGGGGACACGTCCATATTGAAGATTTGGTGGACTTGTATCTCCTTATTCTGGAGAAAATAGTCGTTTCAAAAACGACGGAAATCCCGGTGAACAAAAATGGAATCTACTGCTCCGAGGCGGGGGAGACCATGTTTCTCGAGATATCTCGAGGGAGATTGGAAAGGCGGGAAAAGCTCTTCGTGTTTTTGAGACAGATGAGTTGAGGAGTCTGTCGCTGCAAGAGGGGGCAGAGGCAATCGGATTCGACGAGGCGGTTGTCGAGTTGGCTTTTTGCATCCAAGTGAGATACTCTTGCTATTATCCCGACAATACATGTTACGACAATACATGCTAACGTGTATATGCAATGCTCGACACCAAGTCGGACCATGCTCGGGAACTGTTTGGTTGGACGCCCAAGAAGACGGTCGAGGATCTCAAAATGAGTATTCATGATGAGTTCAAGGCCTTTTACCGGGGAAAATGATGCTCACTTGAAGTTTGAGGAAGGTGGTGGATAATAAGAACGAACTGTTGATTCCGGTGATGCAAATATCGGGATTTGGAGCGCTCATTTACTTCATGTCTTAGGGTTATGTTCCAACTTTTGATTACTAGGTACGTCTCCAAACCAATGGTCCTGCATTACCTGCTCGATTTCCCAGTCAGCATAGATCGCACTGCTGCTTAGCTTAATTACTGTATTAAACCAGGAACCATTCTCAAGCGTGCGACTTTTATTGGTTCTTCCCGTATCTAAGTACTTCTCAGAACGTGATTTAACTTTAGCCTTGCCGTAATCAACAGTCTGCTGCATTCTGCATGCGCCTGTGCACGCATCACCGGCCATGGCGATTGCTAGTAGCCTCCGGAGTGGGAGCAGCCAGCCCGACTGAGGCACTGCAGGTGTCGACTCAGCTCCAGCTCCAGGATTAGCTGCTTCAGCCACCCCGGTAGGTTGCGACGCAAGCCCACCGATCAGCGGAACCAAGCTGACCGGCGGAATGTACCACGAGCGGTGGCATTCCGTCCACCGGGGATCAATCTGGGTCATCACGTCTGGGATCTCCATCCAGGGGAGGTAATCGTTGCGGATCATGCTGCAGCCGTTTCCGCCCTGGATGCATTGGGATCCATCGCAGTACTGGTCCCATGGGATCAGCGGCAGGGAATAGTTCCCAACGACATGCGGCTGGAACTCGGCAAAGTTGAACGGGTAGGCTGTGCCGATTCTTGGGTATTTCGCATTTATGTGGTTGCGGTAGGATGTCACGGCTTCTGGGTTGACAGAGATAATCACGTCCTCGTAGTCGCCGCCGCAGGAGCCACCTGGGTGCGCGCGCTGGTTGCTCCTCGCGTAGATGCTGGTGAAGGATACGTAGATACTCGGGGATATGAAGGTATGGCCGTTCACAACTGCAGTGTTGGGGCCGTTTCCAGTGGGAGTGGCAGGTACGGTGGTTCCATTCTGGTTACAGAGATCACCGCCAGTAGTGGTCACCGGCCAGTAGAAGAGGGTTGCTGTGTCTGGGAGATAATGGCAGTTGGTGCAGGGGTCCTGCTCTGTGTAGTTCCTTTTTGTCGTGGGGCATTGGCTTGGACTGATGGGGCTGTTTGTATCTCCTGGGATTTCCGTTGTTACTGACTCATGGTAGACGGAGCGAAGACTGCTGTAGGTCTGCCAGATGGGAATGCAATCCTGCGTATTCAGCTCACAGGTGGGAACAGGGGAGGGTGACCGGTAGAGCAGAGTGGTGTCAGACTCGGTTACCATCGATGTACTGCAAGGGCCTGTGCCGGGCCAGTAGTCGGTAACATACTCCAGAGGGCCAATAGCACGGGTGATTCCATCGCAGAGTGTGGTGACGGGGCCAGTGTGCGGATCTCCTGGGCCCTCACGCCGGACATCTGTGTTGCACGCCCCAGTGCTGGTGGGAGAAATCCAGTATGAGGTCGAAGTGGAAGTTGCTCCCAGTGAGCCAAGCCCATCTGCTCGGCCATTGTATTCGACCCATTGGGCATTGCAGATGACAGCAGATGCCCCAGGACCTGTGGTCGGGCCGTAGAAGTAGTCTGTTGAGGTTGGCCAAAACACCGTGGTGTTACATGTGCTTAGCCACTGGCTGCTCACAGACGAGGTGGCGCATGCGTCAGTAGCAGCTGTGGGCGTAGGCGTCGGGCTTGTATCATCTCTTGGTATAACTGCAACGGTCTATTAATGACTGCAGTAATGAATGATGGAGGAGCATACCTGGTTTCCCGAACGCCAGACCAAGGAGGAGAAAGGTTGCACTAAGCAGCATTTTGTGTCTGACAGACTGAAATTAACCTAAGTATAAAGTGCTAGAGAGGGAACCCAATCCTGAGGCGTCACCATTTGGTGAATTTATACCTTTCCGAGAGATCTGTATAAACGTAAATCTCCTGATCATGACTGATTTGGCAGACTAAAATCTCAGCTCAGCCAGCCTTTTCATCACTCGCAGTTAAAGACACTCTAGTCACAAAGTTCCACCAACACCTATTGATTTTGATGTTTGCTAGCTGCACGAACATGCAATCGTCTGCCGCAATACGACCCTCCTGCAGGTGATACCCATACTGAGAGTGACCCGAGAGCCAGCCGATGTGAGACAAGAAAATGCATAGGAGTGGAGAGTTCCTATTTGCCAATGCTTGGCTCCCAGCCTCAGTGGATGGCTAACGAGGGGCAATTCGGCGAATACGACTCTGCAGGTTTTGACTGGCTGGGTTTCTGATGAAAGAAATGGATATGCAGTAGCTGGTTAGCTGCATTGCAAGGTCTTATTTGTTGGACCAAAATCATTCCTTCCTGTTCCACCTATTCTGTAATGGCCGCTGCGACTCATTCAATTCTGGTAGAAGAAGCCCTAAGAGAAGATGTTAAGACATCTTTCTACTCCAAGGTAAAATACTTCAAGTAACTATTCCTTCTACGAGATTAGTCAGACTCTAAGACCAGGGAAGGGCTCCACATACACCAAGATCCCTCCCGCGAGGCGGATATCATAAGATATCTAACTTAGGGTTAGCAATTAGCCGTGCGAAAACGGCATGAGTCCAGAACTAGGCTCTGAGTAATCTAGACAATGGACATAACTTACCCAAGGAGCTTGTCACACCGACTCTATACTGCATACCGTCTCAGTGGACCCCAGCACTAGCTGCATCGATGGCGCTTTCAACATCAGCACGGTTCAAGGCCGGTATTCTATCGGGACCCATCTCCTCCAAAGCTGAAACAACGCGATCAATCAATATAAACGCGTGCGAATGACAAATGTTTCTGTCTTTCTCTAGTTGCCAGATGTCTCTGCACGAGCGCAGTGCATCCTGCAATGTGGCACGCGCGGGCATGCCACCGTACCCGCTGCTCGGCGGCGGATCAAGCGGCGTGTCCGCTCGAAGCAGGTACACCGATAGCGTGAGGGCCGCAACGAGGAAGTCCGGCCAGAAGAGGCGGGCGAAAGATCGGCTGACCGGGGAGTTGTCCGCGGGAGCTCCCCAGAGGTCCCGTTGGTGGACGAGGATTGCGAGGGCGCAGTCTAAGGATGTCCAGTACGAGAGAGGATACCGGAGTGGAGCACGTTCATCGTGGGCAAAGGGACGGTGGACGGACAGGAGGAGCTGGCGGAATAGAATGTCGAGCATGATGCCTTGCCGGGCTTCGCCGGTCGTCGGCTGGGATTTTCGTAGTGTTTCTGATGCATGGACCAGCAAGTGTCTGGTTTCCGCTGTGTAGTGCATAATAGCCTCATAGGTTTCTGATCGAGTCGGGTCGTGGCTCAGGTCCATTAATTGAGATGCGAGTGGGACGGCGCGTCCGAAAAGGACATGGAAGGTCTCTGTCTCCTCCTCCAAATTCAGCCGTGGGAGAGCTCTGTTAGGACAGCAGTGGACGCTGGGAGGAGATGCGCAAGTATAATCTCGCGGCCGGAGCAGGATTGGCATTCCCGTCAGAACCGACTGACGGAGGTTGAGATACATGATCGACGTCCAGAGACCGTTGAGCGTCTGTCGCTCAGCCTTTCCAAGTCTCGGGTCATCCACTTGTGTTGAGTGCAGACCCATGCTCATGGCAATGCGCAATACCAATCCCGTTAGACACCACGAAGTATCCATCGCGGAGCAAGACATTTGCACCATCTGCTTCGCAACGACCATGAGGCATAGAGTTCGAATGATGTCGAGATTCGGACGTGCAACGAAAGAAGTGCGATGGAGAAATCCCTGCGATACTTCTAAGAACTCGGTTCGAGGTACGCTTAAGAGCAAGTCAGTCGAACCACAAGCGGCGGTACGATGGGCTTCTTGGCCGAGGTAGAAAATGACAAAAAGTAGGGCTAGCCAGCCATCTTCAGCTTCCATAGGGTGGTCCCAGAAGAGCAGCAATTGTTGCTGGAATGCTGGCAGGTCCAGGAAACGGTGCGTCTTTTCAACAACGTCGATATACATGGAAATCAACTTCTCTCCAACCACCCGAGTCGGCATACGCTCGAGCAGTGCACTTTTCGATTCCACCTTCTTTAGTCCCCAAGGAAGGTCCGAAAATATATCGGGTCGATTGGAATGACTCGAATGACTGTGGGGAGCAAGTCCGGAACCATGTGCTGATAGAGAGTTTTCAACCTGATGAGCCGTCAGCAATGCTCGTCTGATCCCATTTAAGGCTTAATTACAGGACATACCTCCCTGACTAGCGTTATCCAGTGAGTGTTTGTCCGGAACCGGCCACTCCACACGGCAAAGCGAGCGGCAGCACTAGAGTTGTCCGCAAAAGATTCACCATCAGAATCATGGCGAATCCTGCTTGACCGGCCATATGCACAGACTGCTTTTGCCTTTGTGCACCTGTGACATGGCTCCTGTCGATCACATCGGACTTTCAATCGGCGACACCGGATACAAGACACGGGATTGCGATTGCGCTTGTGAGGTGTTAATTGGTGGTAGTTTAATGGGGAATGAAAGGACCCATTTTCGTTGGATACGGAGCGGCCGGTGAGCTGTGCAGCTGTGAGTGGAGGGCAGTAGAGACATCGGGCCAAACGTACCTCATCCCTGTTCCGCAGAGAACCATCCAGACCCTCCGTCAGAATACTCGTGTCACCATTTGTAGATGCTCTATCGGTCTCGTTGCTCCCACTGTGGCGTACCACGCAACTTACACCGGCCTTGACGCACCGGCGGCATGCCGGCTTCGCCTTGTCACAGCCGACTTTCAAAGTCCGACATCGTTGACAAGCGCGAACCTCACGTCGATTGGGGGAGGTATCAGTGGCCATACAGCTTATCTTGATGAGAATTCGGAGTCATTGATGAAAATCACGTCCGTAGGAGTTAGTAGGAAGAGGGGCGGGAGATCTTGATGATTCCATCCGCTCAGCGAACTCAAAGGGAGATTCTGGTCGGCCGACCACCCCGACGCTTAACTCCGACCTCAATACGAACACCCGCTCATCCAGATAATTTCTTCAACATAGAGCAGGAAAAGGGGAAATTAACAGTTTTTCTCTGATCTACGGAGTTTGGGTCGGATTTGGTCGGCCGATGGACATACTGAAGTCATGGAGAGTATATAATGAATAGCCATCCATCCTGTATCATATCCGCATCCGCAATCTCTTCCAAAAGCAACTATTTCCTCTGGTGTTTTCAATATAGGTCACTGAAAACCCTTTACGTGCATTGTCCCGATGGCCACCCAAGCACATCTCTCGCCTCCAAATGGCACGGTTGCTGCTGAGCCGAGGTCGGAGGTGAACACAACTCCAGCCGTAAAGCCTTCGTTCCCAGAAGGAGGAGTAAGAGCATGGTCCGTTGTGTTCGGCGCAAGCATCGCTTTAGGATGTGCCTTTGGATATCTATCTGCTTTTGGGTACGTCACCGTCCAGATTAAGAATGCTTGGGCGAAAGAACTAAACAGACCGGTTCAGCATCTATGAGACATACTACAGTGAGCACCAGTTGGCTGAGAAAACGGCTTCAGAGATTGCATGGATTGGCTCGATTCAGATCTTCCTCCAGTTCGTTACCAGTCTGGTCTCAGGGAGTCTGTTTGATCTGCACGGGGCAAAGGTAAGATATCATCCCAACACCACAGACAGGCCTCGACTAACAGACACACGTAGATACTGTTGATACCAGGATCGGTTTCTTTCGTCTTCTCCATCATAATGACCAGCCTGTGCCAACAGTATTATCAAGTCATTCTGGCCCAGGGGATTCTCGGCGGCTTAAGCACCGGCTTCATTTTCACGCCCTCCCTTGCGGCCATCGGCCACTATTTCCAGAAGAAACGGGGCCTTGCTATGGGCATCTGTGCCGCCGGTTCTTCCCTGGGTGGTCTCCTGTTCCCCATCGCCTTGAAACACGCTCTCTATAGCCAGCGGTTAGGGTTCGGCTGGGGTGTCCGCGTGGTCGGGTTCGTGGTTCTCGGCCTTCTGTCTATCGCCTGCGCCCTAGTGAGAGAACGGCTGCCACCACGCAAGGGCCAACTGTTCCTCCCCCGCGCATTCTTGCAACCATCGTACTCATTCTTAGTGGCCGCCGTCTTTCTCAGTTTCTGGGGGATGTGGGTGCCGTATTTCTTCATCGTCTCGTTCGCAATCCAGAAGATACACATGGGCGGGGATCTAGCGTTCTACACGCTGTCGATCGTCAACGCCGGCTCGCTGCTCGGGAGAATCATCCCGGGATTCCTGGCGGATCGGTTCGGACGTCTGAACATGCTCGTGTGTGTATACGCCGCCAACAGCATCCTGCTCCTCGTCTGGATCCGCATCACCACAGCTGCCGGCCTCATCGCCTGGGCCGCGGTTTTCGGTTTCGCCTCGGGCGCGGTAATCTCCCTGTACCCCGTGTCCATAGCGCAGCTGGCGCCCCGGCCGCAGGAGATCGGAACGTACATGGGACAGGCGAGCGCGATTGTCTCCGTCGCTGGGCTGACGGGGACGCCGATTGCGGGGGCGCTCATTCGGAGCTATGGGTACGAGGCGGCGGCGTTGTTTGCGGGCTCGTCGATGGCTGTGTGTACCTGTCTGGCTGCTGTCGCGAGGGGGTTCTGTGCAGGAAAGCTGCTAGCCAAAGTTTAATGCCGTCTTTGGTCTGCAGTGACAACAAATGTACAGTGGGAATTGGGAGGCAAACACTTCAGGTGGTGCGTCAGACACCACAAAACGAAGAGGACTGAAGGGGAACATGCACAATAACCCTGACTGCAATAATCTTGACTGTCAATCGTCTCCTGCTGTTTTCAGTACAGTTTCATGAACTCCGCGGAAGTTGGACTGGACCAATTAGATGTTGAATTACATCCATGGTTCAACCCACTAATTTGGAATGATTATACAGAGCACATTTCCCTATTAGGTAGGCTAAGTGAGCAGAATCATCGACTTTCGGCCTTGCCGCTCGAATATATGCCTCATAGTCTATTAGCGGAGATCTACAAACATTTGCTTCGCTGGTACTAGAACAAAGAAAGCAAAATACATAACAAAAAAAGTCCAAGGCCCCGTGTTCCCCGGTGAACTTTAAGAGACACAGGCCATTGCCACTGCTGTGCTCACTACTCCGTAAGCTGCGTCCTTCCCGGATGGAGCAGTTGATCTAATGATACTTGTATCATAAGTTCCTTAACTATGCAGGATTTGGAATTGGTTTAGGGATCGGCTGACCCGCCGGGCGCTAAGCGGGCCCGGATCCTTGGCTCTGCGGGTCACCCCCGTAGATTCATGGAATGTCTTCATTGCATTGACAGTGCACTGTAGCCGTGGATACCTCTCTCGGGGTTTGCTCATCATTCCCGATTCCTGTGCTGCTGACCATTGTCCTCGGTTGAGTCTGAATTAGAATTATACCTATACATTGACTTGCTGTATAAGAGGCGCGAGGCGGACGATTCGTGCAGAAGATGGTTCTGAGGATGGACATGTAACCCTAGGCGGAGGGCATTGTTGGGATACCTTTAGCCTAGTAATACTAGATTTTGAAGATACAATCATCCCTCCTACAGGCACTGTCTAGTATATAATCATTGGGAGATATTTTGGTGCATTCTTGAATAGAACTTTAATAGTGACTGTGGCAATGTATACATACTAGATGTGCCAGTGGGAGAGACGAACCCTCAGGCTTACACTACGGCCCAGAAATAGAACTGGCTGAATATTCATGTTAAAGTTCATTGAACTAGGGTACCTAATACAGACTGATCTGGCTATTTGTTTAGTGTAGCATTGGTTATTACACTAAACAGACACAGCCCATGACAATCTCGACAGGGTCCAATAGGGAAAAGCAAGAAACTGGTAGAAGCCTGCTACAGCTTAACTAATAAACGCAAGGGATAACCTCAAATATGATATTCAGTAGGCACAGAAAGACTGTACACGCCTCTGCATTTGCATCACAGTATAGGGAAAACCTAACAGACCAGGGAAAAAAAAACCTATACCGAGGCCCGTCCAAAAAGACTGGTAATTACCAAATGCAGAACACACCAGACGCCGTAACGTAACCCCTGTCCCTCGCTATTTCCCACCAATCTTATGTTTAGAGACTGATTATCTTGACATCATCGTTGTAATCTCCATCGAAAAGCACGTTAAGATCCACGTGCAGCCACACTTCATTGCCATTCTTAAGGTAGAACCGGAGTTCGCCCTTGACTGCAATCAGGTTAACTTTGAGGGTAATCCCGTCCTCGAGGTTTCCAGTCAGAGTGCCAATGTTGATGCCAATCACAGCGACCGCAACTGACGCTCCGTATGTGCTAGTGTCAACATAGCCAGAGACCTAAATAGCAGAAGAGGTCAGACGCTTGCTATTACAGAGGAGAAACAAAAGGCTGTAACCATACTGTGACGACTCCAAAAAAGCTGACAGGCCCAAAGCCGACACGAACATCAGGTTTTGCTGCAACTTGGAGGGCAGACGCAACAGTTTCTGCATCGCTTATCTGTGTGGCAGAGAAGATACCAGCTGTTGGCTGGTTGAGTTTTACAATTGCTCCTGAAGGTTTTATGAATGTGAGTGTCTGAACGTATTGAAGGTAGTATTCGAATTACCTTCAAGGTAATTAGCCATTTGGTTGTTGTTATTTATCGTAGAAGATCACTCAAAAGTAGGGTTCTGTGCGCTTGAATTGTCTGCATTGGAAGCAATCAGAGCATGCACGCCAACCTGCATGCCTTTATAGCTCAAGTATACCTGGAAAGATAATTATTAGACAATTCATGATATCAGGGAAGTTGAGTATACTCTGCTGCATTTCCATATAGCGTTCCATGACGCAAACCAAATCAGGCGCACGGCGCACGGCGCAGGTTGTAGGGCAGGATGGTCAGGCTAGAGGTTCCCAAACTGCAAGCGTCTTTTGACAGGGAGCATCCTACTTATGACACTTTCCTTGAGCGGACATATTCGTTCTGCTCAACCTTCGGCACTAGGAGGAAACATAGACAGTCCATACCGGTGGTTGCTAGCGTCTGTGCATGTTCCATGAATGAGCCTAGAATTGGCGGATATGGTAAATAGGGTTGGCTGCGGAGGACTTCGAATCTCCTTGCATAATATGAAGAGCTGCCAAGTCCCCCACAGCAGACGACAGCCTGTTAGGCAAATTATCAAGGTTCTGTTCTGTCTATGCGATAGCAGAGCACGAGCATGATGCCTCAATGGCATCTGCCACTGTGGATCCCAGTATCGCTGGTTGGATTCATCCACCAGGTCTGATGTTCGTCCTCGAGTTCGTTCCCTGAAGGTAATGTCGGATGCAGTTGCACTAATGGGCATCTATGTGAGACATGTCTTGCTGGGGAGTGGATAAATTGCTTCGTATTCCTTGTCGATGTTCCCAAACCGGCTAACTCCTTCCAACGTTGAAGCTGGGAACGGTAGCTAAGCTGTGAGGTGATGACCTCAAGATATGTCTTTTCATAAGCTTCTTCATATCTCCTTGGTCTCGGTACGCCAACCCTGCTATGACGGAAACTGCGCTTCTCCGTTCGAACTCAATATCTCCTCGGAGGAGAAGGACGTAAGCGGACACTAAGTGGATGCTGATCACATACGGACCTATGTGTGGCTGTCAAACGTCACGTAGTTGTCATGGTCGAAGCCGAATTGAGCTTCTGGACTCATCCGGACGGTGTCTGTCTGCGGTTATGGCATATATGGTGGTATGCATCATGAGGTCGTCCGCGTTACGTGCCAATTGGCAGGCTTGAATGATGCAGTTGAGGTTGTCAATGCCAACGCTTGCTGCTTTCAGTGAGTAGTTGATACAAGAAAGGAAAGTAAATGATGTTTGTGGCATTATTCCAACAATAGAGGCCAGGCCTATTGGACTTTTCTGCACTAATGGGTTTTCAAGCAGTGCTTTGTTCACGGGTAGGTAAATGTAATACATCATAATTCTGGAGAAGAGTCCACAGAGAACCCTGAATGGTAGGAGCAGTGCTCCAGTCGGTGATCCCTAGTTGAGTACCATGCTCTGTAGGAGTATGAGGAGGATCCCGCATATGTCACAACAGCTTGAAAACAGGTCCTATTTAAACAAGTTGGAGTGATGCACTAATTTGCGCTAATGCATCTACTGTCTTCAAGTCTCAGCACACTCTCGTCCCGAATAAGCCATTTTATGGAACATGTGCTCTTTCTATCCAACCCAGTTGGAGTTGGAGACCATCCATTGCTTCCCTGAATCGGTCAGTCTTAATCTACCAGGGTTTTGTGTTCCTTATACATTTACAAAGGCAATGGACATACCTCAATACGCTCCGGAAAATACCGCAGGAAATACTTCTGGCGCCATACCTCTCTTTCCAGACGACATTGACTATGGATATTCTAATAATCCATTCCGATTCCCAACCTTGAAAGACCTGCAGCTCGCATATGGCCATGACGCTACGGGAGCACAACATGTCCCCGACCCCAAGACCAACAACTATACCACCAATGGCGAGTCACCTGGTCAATATATCCGCAGGGAGCCCAAGAGGGACTCCGACGTGAGATCTTCTGCCGAGAGTGCAAGCTGCGGTAATGCAAGATTGCAAAAGAACTCATCTCATGACAAACGGATTACAAAACGGTGAGCTAGAGCCATCTTTCCAACCACGCCTGTTCTAGCTAAACTATTAAGCGTTGGACGGGGAACTCAAGCTGTCCAGCTGCGGTGTAGATGGGAGGGGTGCGAATATACTGGCACCTTTGGCCGAGAGAGCGACCTATTACGGCACTTGAAGGCGGTTCATATCTGCAACGACTCCTACTGCTGTCCGGTTGATGGTTGCCAGAAGGTGTCTAACAGATGTGATAATATGAAGGAACATATCCGCAGAGTCCATCAAAGAAGTCTTGGCCATAAATGGTAGAAATGGTAGGAATGGTAGGAATGGTTGGAATGGTCTTATTGCATGCGGGCCTTTGACGGTGCCACTTAATTTTTACAACAAGCAGCTAGTAGGACGAAAGTGTGTATAGGACCACACATAAAAGAGTCACCAATGACAAAACCATATAGATACTACCTTGTCTTAGCAATTCTAAATCAACGTTTCAAGCTAAGCTTGGATGATAGGTTAGGAGAACTACTATAAAAGTGCTAGGAATGGGTATTCTCAGTCCAAATGATCATAACTTAATTGACTAAGTGTATTAAGTGATTTATTCATTAGCCTGACTGAGCCTAATCTCATATTATCCCCAGCACAGCCGGGGGCTCAACGGGCTCAAATTGCTCCCTGATTATTGTAAAGTGGAATCGCGCCCTGTGCCCCGGAGACAGCTGGACAGTGTGTTTGCGCCTTGGAGGTAATCAGGCCCGCGGCCATGCTACCCGGTAGAGGCAAGGTGAGACTCATCTGGACTCAATTCTCCCAGCCTTGTGGCATCAGTGTCAAATTCACTCATAGTTTGAATCTTTGTGTTGTGTGATTTGCTAACAGAGGGAATTTCACACTGCTCACTGCATGACAGTCCCTCCCAGTCACACCAAATCCATCCTTCCTGAATATCCATCTGACCATCATTTCAACAGAGTTGTCTCTAGGTTTGTTATTTGTCTAGCACGCAATTCCCAATATGAGCTCCGGAGCTGGTCAGTTCAACGTTCTATAATCTTGACAAGAGGTAGACCAACCTAGATGCAGGCTGTCCAGTTGCGGCTGTCAACAACAGCAATCACCTGAGGGTGTATACCCAGGATCCAAGCGGCGGTATTCGCGAGAGTGCATATGAAAATAGATGGTACCCTGGCGGGATAATTGCCAACTGCAAGTCGGGTTCTCCCCTCGCTGCTACATCCCTGGCGCTTGACAGTGTGAGATGCTTGCCATTCAATTGCATAACAAAAATCTAATGTCTCTAATATATCCGCGTGTACTTCATCTCCAACAACAACAACACCCTGCAGGAGGCAGCCCACGACGCTACCTCTGGCTGGTACACGGGTGCATTGAACAACAACAACTTCCAAGTCGCAGCCAACAGCACCGTGGGAGCCGCTTACCTTGCGGGAACCCAAGCGCTCCGAGTCTATGCCCAGTCGCCCGATAATTCAATCCAAGAATACGGATGGGATGGTAAGCATTACCAAGGCAACGCAATAGTACCCTCAATGACGTTGTTCTCTCTATCTAGAAAATTTGAAAAGAATGGCAGACTCTCTCTAACCTGGGCGCGGCACTCCCTGGAACAGCCATAGCCGTTACGTCCTTCTCGCAGCCTAACCAGGCAATAAGGTTGGTGCATCCAATTCTCACTGCATCCTTTTGCAAGACCGCTGATAAAGTCGCCCAGACTGTACTTCCAAGACACCCAAAACAATCTGGTTGAGATGGCCCACGATTCCGATTCAGGCTGGAACCCTGGCAGCTTTTCGGTCCCCAATGCCAGCCCTGGAACCGCTCTCGCCGTTACCACTACGGAAGATGGCAGCATTCATGTTTACTACGGTGGTTCTAACAATAGTACCCTGGAGAAAGTCCATGATTCTAACTCAGGTTGGTATGACGGCGCCTTCTCCCAGACCGGCATGCCTGGAAGCCAGGTTGCCGCCATAAATTGGGGCACTGGCAGCGGGTTGAATATCCGCGTGTATTTCCAGCAGCCACAATCTGTGCCCGGGGTGTCGGAGTATCAGTATGTAAATGGCAACTGGACGGCTGGACAGATACCCATTCCGCCTGCATAAGCCTGGATGGACCAAAGTATATACAAAGTTTTAGTTGCTCACAGAATGTTGCCTGTGCTTTATGTTATTTAGTTTCCTTTCAATTGCAATTGTTCTTATATTTCATTTCCCAAGGGACGAACGGACGTGGAGAATACACAGCTCAGGTGCTGGGGAAGCCGGCTCATATTCGAACCCATAAAGGGAGTACTACCTAGGCATTAGACTTATGGACCCGGGCCAGTGGAACCCGCCCCAGTCAAGCCCGCCAAGGTAGGGCTTGGGTTGGGTGCGGACCTAGCCTAAGACTGGGAAGCCCCATGCCCGAACCTTCTTCCACAAGGCAAGTCTCTCCGTCCGCAAAGGGAAACTCTCCCCACCTTCTGCTCCACCTTCGCTCTTCTGCAGAATTTCGACATTATCAAACACCAACATGAATATGATATGTGACCAGTAAAATGATTCTTTTCATGTCATCCCACCTCCGGAGATACTTGCCTGGTCTCAAATTACCCATTACCCCCCACAATCAGTCTGCGATGAAATCGAGACGATGGTAGTCCTCAGTTGTTGTCTGGCTATAAAGCCATTCGAATTCCCTGATCAATCGACTCCTTTGACATGAGCAAAGCTGTGAAGACTTCTTTTCGTCAACAGTACAGGAAATACCTAGCGAAAATTATCTTTGCCGCTGGAACTCATTGTTCAATTTCCAATACAGACCAGCAAAATGGCAGTACAGAAGCTTAAGGTTGGCATGGCTGGTTTAGGTCGAGTTGGCAAGCTCCATGCGATCAACTTCTTGCACCGCACTCCCCGTGCTGAATTGGTGGCTGCATTTTCGCCTGACCCGGCAGAGATCGCCTGGGGAAGACAGAATCTTGAGCCGTACGGTGTCACTCTTTATGACAATTACGATAAGATACTTGAGCACCCAGGGCTGATGGCCGTCGCTATCGGTACTGCAACCCCTGTCCATGCGGAAGAAACCATCAAAGCGATCGATCGCGACTTGCATGTCCTCTGTGAGAAACCGTTGTCTACTGATGTTGAAGTGGTAAGGTCTACATCCCCTGAACACCGTCCCATATACTGACTGGAATCTTGACTTTCAGTGCAAGTCTGTCGTAAACAAGGCGAGAACCAAGCCACACCTTAAGGTCATGTGCGGTTTCTCTCGACGATTTGACGAGTCCTACCGTGATGTATACGACAAGATCAGCCAAGGGCTTATCGGAAGACCCTCAGTCCTTCGCAGCCAGACCTGCGATAAGTATGATCCTTCTGGATTTTATGTCGCATACTCTGCATGGTCAGGAGGTGTCTTCGTGGACATGTCCGTACACGATATCGATCTTACTCTGTGGTTCTTCGGTGATGATGTGGTCCCCAAGACTATCTCTGCATATGGCATAACCGCTGTGCAGCCGGAGCTGAAGAAGTTCAACGACTATGACAATGCTGTTGGAATTGTTGAATTCCACAACGGCAAGATTGCATACTACTATTGCTCCCGCATGATGGCGCATGGCCAGGAAGACACCACAGAAGTCATCGGCACCGAGGGCAAGTTGTCTGTGAACGCCAATCCCCAGCGTAACCTGGTGAACTTCTACCATCCGGGAGGTATTACTCGCGAGGCTCCCTCTAATTTCATAGGTCGCTTCGGACCCGCGTTCGTGACCGAGGCCAATGAATTTACCGCCGCATGCTTGGATAACACGCCGCTCCCGATGAAGCTGAGCAACGCCGTCAAAGCTGTTGAGATTGGTGCATACCTCCAGGAGGCCCTGGTGACAGGCAAGCAGATACACTTTGACGAGATTGGAAGACGGGTGGAAAGAGCCCAGATTTGATTGCCCTCGGACTGAGAACATCTAGTTGATTGCCATTTGGATCTTAATGAGTCTTGAGTTTGCCAATTGACCACGTTATGATTCTTCGTCAAACACTTGGCTATAAACGACCCTCCTAAGTCATAGTTTTTCTCCTCTCGAATGCCTATCATATCTATACCACTACATCTGTCTTGTTAGATTGCTCCATTGGTGAAGGCCATGAGAGAACGCCAGACCGATGATTGGAGATCTTTAGTTTTAATTACCCTGATGATACGGGCCCAGATATATGCCCATATTTCGGAGATTGGCTCTTCGACAAATAGTGTTCCTTTGCTTGAGGTACAGCAGCTTGAAGTTGCGAGGCGTATGAGAGTGTTCCGGTTGGAATGGGTCTGTTCTAGTGTAATGGACTCTTTCTTTGATGTAGAAATACTCCTAACTTATGATCAGAATTGACTGTTCTGGTATCCATGGCTGGTGAACTGGAAAGGACAATGACATTGGCTTACCCGTTCCGGCGCATCTGATGGCTTTCCCCGCATTATCTGTCCCCGGTCCCCACCAGTGTACTTGTGTTATCTGATCTTCCATCACACTTTGTTGCCCACCTTGTTATCAAATTGGGCAGTCTTCATTATTTGAAGTATTTGTATTGTATTATTCTGGTTAGAGTGGACCAGCGAGGCTATAACTCTTCCGTGAGTAGTGTTGTGTCAAACAACAGACGGCCTATTCCAATGACGAAATCAACGGCTGAAAGATCGGCATTCCTGCACTGAGGGATACGCAATCTCATTAGCAAGCCGATTGTATCCACAGCCACCACTTGACGTGCTGAATTCCATACTGGATGTATTCTAAGATTCCCTCTCATGCTTACAAGACTTCAAACCTGATAACTCCACGCAGCAAGACATCGTCTACCGGAATGCGTCTCTATGATGGTATTACACCTTGGCTCGTCACCTCGCTCTGCACCATAGTCTCTTCGCTCTATACAGGCCAACAGGGACGCATCCTCCACCAGCCAGCCCGACCTCCCTCATACCCGCTGGCAGTAAGAAATCCATATCTTTCAGCATGGATGCCCAGCGACCGGGTCCAGGCGCTACCATTTGCCGAGCCACAATTCTGGGCCGGCCAGGATCTTGGCTGGTCCATCATGGTGCGTGTTGATAGTCAGACGTATAGTTTAATGGGCGTGAAGGAGCCCGGGGAAGGCGTCCAGCCGGCTGTTGTGCATGGCGCGGAGTATACGGCGACTCATTCGGTGTTTACTGCTAGTGCTGGAACGGTGATGGTGACGCTGGATTTCTTGGCGCCGGTGTCGCCTGCGAATTATCTGCGGCAGTCGCTTCCTTTTAGTGGGTGTGTGTACTGCGGTTGCTGGAAAGGAGCTAATGATTTGTCGTAGGTTATCTGACAGTGTCTGTTTCTGGGGCATCCGCGAATAGTGTACAGGTTTTTTCGGGTATTGATGGGAGATGGACGGGTGAGTCTGGAGGGGCTGTCTGCGAGTTGAATAATGCAGGATCTACTGCGATGTTTTCATTGAAGATCGAAGATGCTACGCTGTACGCCGAGAGTAGTGATATGGCTACGTGGGGAGAGGCTATATTTGCATCAAGACCAACGGCTTCCTCAAGGCTTTCGTTTGCGTCAGGAAATGGAGACCGAGTGAGGTCACAGTTCGTCAAAACCGGCAGACTGGCTGCAGGCGGCCAGCAGTGCAAGTCTGGCGACGTCGCGGCACTCTCTCATGACCTTGGGGTTGTGACGGGTGACCAGGAGGTCACTTTCGCCATTGGATATGTGCGGGAAAAGGCGATCAACTACCTTGGAAGGTCATACACGGGGTACTATAGAGCAAAGTATCCCGATACATACGACGCGGTCACATACTTTCTGGATGATTATTCAGATGCCCTCGGCGAATCCTTAATACTGGACCAGAAATTGTCCACCGCAGCAAAATCAGTCGCAGGACAAAAGTACGCGGACATCGTCACACTGTCGATTCGGCAAGCGTACGGGGGAATCGATCTGACAATCCCAAATGACACGCTCGATACCAGCGAAGTCTTAGCCTTCATCAAGGAGCTCTCCAGCGATGGCAATGTTAACACGGTGGATGTCATCATGCCTGCCTTTCCCATATATTGGGCCATGGATCCGGGCTATATCCGACTCCTGTTAGAGCCGATGATGAGATATCTCGCAGCAGGACGCTGGCACAAACCGTATGTGATCCACGATATGGGCAGCCATTATCCCAACGCCGTCGGACATGATGACCAACAAGCGGAACCTATGCCCATCGAGGAGTGCGGCAACCTCATGGTTCTTACCCTGGCCTATGTGCGCGCGACTGGAGATGAGGCATGGGCAGCCCAGTATTTCCACATCCTCAAAGGATATGCCGACTATCTGGTGGAAAATGGCATCGACATCGCTGAGCAGCTGTCGTCAAATGATGCTGCTGGTCCGCTGGCCAATGAGACCAACCTCGCCATCAAAGCAGTGGTTGGTCTCAGGGCGTTTGGAGAATTAACAGGATTGACCGAATATTCTAGCATTGCAGGCTCACGAGCCGACCTACTCTTCGCCCAAGGACTGGGGACAGATGAGCAAAAGACTCATTTTGTGCTGCAGTACCCCGACAAGCCATCCTCCTGGAAGATACCTTATAATCTCTACCCAGATGTGTTGTTGAGCCTTGGCGCTTTCCCAAAGGAAGTTCACCAGATGAGCAGCACTTTCTTCAAGTCAGTAAGAGGTGAATACGGCGTCCCTCTAGACAGCCGGCAAGACTGGGCCAAGTCGGACTGGAACATGTGGCTAGCAGGCACACTTGACAACAGCACCCGCAGCGAATTTGTCAATGACCTGTGGGCGTTCATGACCAATGGCAAGCATAATTGGCCATTCTCAGATAGATATATCGCGACCTCAGCGAAAGGTAACACGCCTGGTGTCCCAGTGCTGTGTCGAGCGCGTCCAACAGTGGGTGGGCATTTTGCCTTGCTGGCACTAGAGGGACCCAGATCCCTTCAGGTCAGGCTACCAAAGCAGGAGGAAAGCTCCAGTCTGGGAGAGAAACACAGCCAGCAGGTTCTGGGAGAAGAAAGGCAAGAGCTGTGATGTTCAGCTGAGCAGGGGTTGGACGATGCGTGCTCTTAACATGGAGACATGGCCATCTATTAGGTAGCGCCAGATAACTTTAGATACATCCAAAACATCCGGAAACCAGGTGCAGTGAATGGATTGAGCCGCAGGAAAGGGCGGAGGTAGAATGGCTGAATAGGACACCCAGCCACCAGAACAGGAACACAGAGAGAAAGAAACAAACAACTTGCCTCCATCCCCCTGTCTTCAGTCTCCTGAAGAGACTTAGATCAATAATCCGTGTAGTAGCAGCGTAACACTGTCTTTATATGTGGGCCGACTGCTGAATCCCTTGCGGCAGCACTGGCCCCTGCGGTGGTCGCTTACATAAGCTGGTGACGGCGGGCTTTCTTTTCGGGGCGAAGCCAACGAGCAACAGGAACAGACTCAACTTGCCCAACTCCAGCATCCCTAAACGAACCACCGGCCTGCCTTTTTTCTCTTCCTCCTCCTTCATATCCGCTTCCTTCTTGTCGAGCATCGTTGATCCCCTTCTTTGTACTTTCATTTTGATTCCCACTCATGGCTTCTGTAAGTTGTCCCGACGTCCCCACGTCGTGCTTCTCTTCCCCCCGTCTTGCTTTCCCTGTGTAGCTTATCCAGCTCTCCACTACGAGAGCTACGCGTCCAGTAGAGCGTTCGCATGCAATCGCTGTCAGATCCGAAGCTAACGAGTTTGTCCTACGGTTTTTCTAGCCCCGTCCTCCTCGCAACTTTGCTCCCCAAGGCTATTCTCTACCGAACGGTGCTGCGGCTGCCGCTGGTCCTGTGCCTGGCGCCGCCCCTCTTCTTCCCAACAATGGCCGGGTGATTCAAAACGGCCCCGTCAGAGTGTTGTGTATCGCAGATGTCAGAGGTAGGTCGCATGAAGGAGCTAACTGCTTCGGTTGCAGATAACACCGCTGAAGATCGGGCACTGACGTAGATCTTGCGCAGGAAATCTAAAATATTTGAATGAGCTGGCCAAGCAGGCCCGTGCTGACCATATCATTCACACTGGTGACTTCGGCTTCTACGATGATACCTCCCTTGAGCGGATTGCAGACAAGTGAGTTGGACTCGGCGCTTTGTTCGCGACTGTTCGGCGTCAGGCATAATCCTAACTTGTTTTGAAAACGCACTACAGGACTCTCAAGCATGTGGCACAATACTCTCCATTGCTGCCCGAAAGTGTGAAGCGCACGATCGCCCAGACTCCCCCTCAGCAGTCTATTAAGCAGCGATTCACCCCCGATCAACTCCCGCTTTCCGAACTTCCAATGCTGCTCGACAAGCGGCTCACACTCGAAGTTCCCGTATACACCGTTTGGGGTGCATGTGAGGATGTCCGGGTGCTGGAGAAATTCCGCTCCGGGGAGTACAAGGTCAACAATCTGCACATCATTGACGAGGCTAACTCGCGGTTGCTTGATATCGGCGGTGTGAAGCTTCGTCTGCTTGGTCTGGGAGGTGCGGTTGTCATGCACAAGCTGTTTGACAATGGCGAGGGCAAGACCACGATTGCTGGTGGCCAAGGCACCATGTGGACCACTCTGCTTCAAATGGGTGAGCTGATCGACACAGCCAACCGCGTATACGACCCGTCGGAGACCCGGATTTTCGTCACTCACGCATCGCCCGCTCGAGAGGGTATGCTGAATCAGCTGTCCGTTACTCTCAAGGCCGATTTCTCCATCTCAGCTGGTCTTCACTTCCGCTATGGTTCCTCCTACAACGAGTTCTCTGTCAATCCCTCTCTGGACCACTACCGTGGTAAACTCGCCGCCTCCAAGGCCTCTTTCAACGATGTTTGGGAGACCGTCCGCGGTGAGGTTGAAGCCGCTATCTCCTCCAATGAAGCTCAGAAGACTCTCTTGGACAATGCTCTCGACGTCGTTCAGAGAATGCCTACTGTTGCCAACGGTGGAAATCCATTCGGTGGCCCCACTGCCCCGGGCAACGCCGCGGGGCAAGTCGATGAGAGCGCCTTCAAGAACATGTGGAACTTCAACCTTGCAGACGCCGCATTTGGCTTCCTCGTCCTTGAGATCGAGGGTGGTCGCATTGCGACGGAGATGCGCGCTCAGGGCTTCAACTTTGCTCACCGTACTGGAAAACCTCAGGTTGCTGCCGGACAGACAGTGGCTAGTGGTCTTCCAGCTTCTCCAGCCACTACGGCCCGTATTCCGAGCGCTACTCCTCCCCAGTTCGGTCAAGCCCCTCCTGCTCCTGCTCGGGCTGCGGCGCCCGCCCAGCAGCAAACTCAAGCAAAGGGTCCTGCTGCGGGCCCCACTCGCGCATCCCCCGTCCCTGTAATTCCTAAGCCTGCAACCCCACAGCCCTCTGGCGCTGCACCTCAACCTAGTGGTTCGCCGGACAAGGCGGCTACCGTCGAATCCAACGGAACTGCCCAGCCAGAGAAGCCCTCGGAATCCCCTTTGCCCAGAGGTGAGAAAAAGCAGAGCAACGGACTGTTTGTCTCGAACGTCGATAACGAACAGGCGGTTCGCGATTTGTTCCCCGAGGAGGATAAGGCGAAGATTCTCAAGGTCGAAAAGTGGGGCAAGTACAATCATGTTGTGACCTTCGCCACCATCGAGGAAGCCAAGGCCGCCCTTGACCGTCAGCCAGCCGAGCACAAGAAGCCCAGCGCTCCTGGTCAACCTCGCAAGCCTAATTTGAAGTTCTTCGAGGACCGCGGCTCCCACCGTGGTAGTGCCGGCACCTGGCAAGCCAGCAACAGAGGCACCAATGCATCCCAACGCGGATACCAGAGCGGAGGTGCTAGTGACAGCGATGGTGGCCGAGGACGTGGTGGTTTCAGCGGACGCGGACGTGGCCGTGGCACCGACCGCGGTGGACGTGGTGGAAGAGGTGGCCGTGGCGGCTTCAGCAAGGGAGGCGCATCGGACTCTCCTACGGCCTCGACATCGACACCCTCCGGTGACAAGCCCGCTCCCTCTGGCGGAGAGTCCTGAGCGATGTGTCATTTCCTCCTTTGCCTGTTCTTCTGTGTTATTTCCTTGCCACCTTCCAATTTCCCCGGCACGTCGTGTTCAATTAGTCTCTCATGGTTGTTAATTTCTTCTCTTGTGATACTTGCAAAGCCTTTATTTTCTTCCTTCTGCTTTCAGCTTCTTTTCTTCTTCACTTATTTCTTCATTTCTGAGCGAGATGCACATGGACATTTCTTACACTCTAGTAGAAGACCTTATCATCCGTCCCCTTCAACTTGCTAGTATGGGAAGTTGTTGGTGCAGAAGGTGTCCCATCGCAAGAAAGGGGAAGCTGCCGACTTGGGTGCGGATGACGATTGGGAAAGAAAAGAGACGAAGGAAGCAATAAAAGGAAAAACAAAACCAATAACAAGAACAGCAGACAGGAAAGGGCACCGACAGCGACCTTTTGTGTATTCTAAGTCTTTCCTGGTACGCACCAATATCGATACCCTTGTAGCTTCAGTCTCGTTTTTCTTCTCTGGATGCATTTGTGTAGCACATGAGTTTGTCTGGGTATGGTCACGCAAGTTAGAGGTAGATCGATGGCTTGAATGTCAGGATTCACCGGTAGTACTCAGTATGCATTTCTCGTGTATTACTGCTATGAACAAAGTCATGAAATACTCGTAGCTTGGGCTGTACAAAAGTAACAAGAGCTGAGCAACAAGCAATGACAATGACTACGGTCCAACCCTCCGAACATTGAGAAGTAAGAATCCGAAGCTCCAATCCAGAAAAAAATAACGCAAATACTCCGATCCCGAAGTGATCGAGTGGCCCACTGAGGTGAGGGTTGTTGATGTACAGTCGTTCCAAACCAAGGCCCCAGCAGTGATTCCGGACTCCGTGCCTCCAGTTCGCCATTGAAGGGGGGAAAGGAAAATTTCATAATAAAAGAAAGCAGCTAAAGGGAAACCAACCAGGAACGAGAAATGGCTGCCTTGAGGAAGCGAAGATTCGAAAGGAACAAGGATTACTCAAGGTTGGAAAAGTATTCGGAGAATGAATGTCCCATAAAATCCACCCAAACTTCCTTTTAATCCTAAAATATTGTTCGTGATAACATCAATTGCAGCGTCGTTTAACATGGGTATCTGTCTCCGGATTCGCCAAAGGATGTGCATAGAATTGGCCGGAAATTGTACAAGATGTCGACTGTCTTTACCGTCGTATCAGCTGCACTCATAGGCCGTCTATTTAACGCGACCCATGATGTCCTCGACATCTTTCTGATTGACGACTACGCCGCCTTCAGAGCATCTGGCTTTGGTGCGCAATTCTGAACAGAGATTGTCCACGTCGATCTCGCCATTGCGGAATTTCTCCATGGATTGCAGGCGATCCCTACGACAAACTTAGTTAGCAAGAGATTAGAGAGCGGTAAGGGATCAAATCGAGCATACCATATCTTATTGCAGGTGAGCATTTGCGACTTGTCCTCGCCAGGCACCACCTCATCTTCATCCAGTCTACTGTCGATTTCAGCGATAAGATCCTTCTTTGGCGCCGCTGGTTGCTTGGTCGCCTCGCTAAAATTGTGGGATGGGCTTCCCAGGTCGGGGAGAGGGAACGCATCGTCGAAAAATGTACCAAAGTCTTGCGACAAGATAGCATCTTGAGGCTCACGCCAATCACCGAACAGCACAGGATCGAATTGACCTCCATTCTGTTGGGCCAAAAGATCCAAACCCAGAGCCTGGTCGGAATTGTTGGCATGGCTAGGGGTGTTTGACGCGCTTTCGCTATTTTGTCTGACAGCTGGAATGGGATTATTGATGTTGCCACATGCCATACCAAGTTGAGCGCAGAAGGATTCCTCACCGTTGATGGTGGTATAAGTGCATGCATGGGGAGTGCTACTCTCGGTCGCCTTTACAGCAGGCGAGTGCAAAGATGGCTCAGGCGAGGTTCCATTGGAAGAGAGCAGCTGGCTATGGTGCGAATCTGAAGAGGATGATGGAGAGTCTGAACTAGGGGTATCGTGGGTTGCCTGCTTTGTGTTCGCGTTGTACGATGAATTGACCTGGTGCGCATAGCCCCTGGTAGCTCCTTTGTTATCAATGGCCCCGTTCAATGTACCAGAGCCAGGTCGTGTAGATGTTTGCGAATTCGGTGTCTGGCCGCTTGGTGTGGACTTGACGGGTGATGGTCCGTTGGAAAGCCCGTTGCGGTTGAGGACACCGGGAACCTGAGCTTCGCTGCGTGGAGTTGCTGTCTGGTTGTCCTTCGCCTTGTTCTGACTCGACTTGCTTGCTTGGGTATTGGTGAACAAGTGTGAACCGGGCAGATCCCCGAACTTGGGGAAGTCGAACATGAAATCATTATTGTTCAGACCATACATGCCTTTGGAGTATGCACCTGGGATGGCATTAACAGGAGAGAGGCCGCTGCCGCTCGTTACCCAGGAGAGACGCTTGCGATACTCCTTGAGCTCTACTTGCAGACGCTCCACCTGGGCGCGCAGAAGTCCGTTCTCCTGATTGGCATTATCCGATGCTTTCTGTAGCTCCTCCACCTTGGTCTCCAGATCCTTCAGGTGCTTTTCTTTGCGCTCACGGAAGGCTCGCTGAGCTGCGCGATTCTGAGCCTTGCGCTTCTGTCGAAAATGTTAGCACCAATTATCTACACAATGGCCCGCACCGAAGAAAGAGGATCACAGAAAACATACCGAAGTAGGTTCCGAGGTCAGTGGCTTTCTACCGGGCTTCTTGACTGCTTTCTCATCGCTCTCCCGTCGCTTCTTGCCCGACTCCTCCTTGTCATTCTCTTGTCCATCGATATCCTTTCTCTTATCACCAGGTTCATAGTCTTCAGTCGAAGGCAGGCTCGGGGGCAGATCACCAATCAAACTCTCGTTGCCCAGAAACTCAAGGTCGAAGTCGGGATTCAAATCCAGGTAAGGACTGTCTTCATAGCCGAAAGTAGTTGACTGATTCACTGAGCCGTCCAAACCACTGGGGGGAGAAACACTGAAGCTGCCGGAAGAAGCATGGCCGGGTGTGTGATTGAGATTCTGATTGGCTTCCGAGTTGTGCGTCACAGTTTGTTGTTTCTGAGTCTGGTTGTTTGATGAAAGAGCCGCGAGGAGGAGGTCCTGTTGACCGGGGGAGAGATAAAGGCCTTGTTGATAAAGAGTATTGTAGTCCGCCATGGCAGCTGAGGAAGAAGCGGGGTATCGCTATGAATAACGGTAAGATGATCCAGGTCAATTGAAAGTAATAATTTGACCCGCTGACGGCTTGCTCAAATACAATGCAGTGTTGAGTTTGTTAGCTTATTGTCCTCAACCAGAAAGGCCCGGGCTTCGCGCCCGTTTATCGTTTCGATAGAGAGCCCAAGGAATGTGTCAAAGTGCCCGGTTTGTAAATGCTGATGAAGACGGAAAAGCCACCAAAGCTCTTACGGTTCCACCCCGCTTCAACAAGGCATCAATCCCGTTGACGTAAAGACAAAGGGAGTGTGGGAGAACCAGAAAGACACAGTAAAGCGGATTCCAAGCGAGTCGAATGAGATACGACAATATGAGAGAAAGAATGGAAGACTGGAGGAGAGTTGACGAGGAAGACAGTGGTAGCGAAAGGGTCAAGGAAAGATGGTGAGATTAGGATAAAGGTTGCAGGAGCCAAGAGCTTATGCCAAAGCGTGGCCTAGTGGCCTAGTGTCAGATGGAAGGATGTCGTATAGGGTGGAATGGCGCGGCCACAAGTCTATCGACAGCCGGTACCGCTTGACAACTGGTGATGAGGGGCTGCCGAAAGAGGCAAATCAGGTCCGATTGAGAATAGGTCGTCGGATATGAGTGATTGATCTCAGGCCAGGAAGAAGCCTGCGGAGATGAAGAGATCCGTTCGAAGTGGGAATTGAGACAGGGGATTCTGATGATGAGAGTAGGTGTAGTGAGAGAGATGTGGCTGAGAGGGGAGGTGGTACGAGGATGAAACCGAAGGCCCATTATTTTCCACTTTCCAAGAAGATGGGGGCGGCGATGGACGGTTCACAGGGCAATCAATCAACGCCTCAGGCCAGTCTTACGGTGGGCGTTCCATAGACGATGGGGGGCAAACGGGCGCAAAAAGGCGGCGTCGTGTTGTTGGCAGTCCTTATTGGTTGAGCAATGGCCACTTGATAGACGAGAGCCAATGGTTCTACCTGATGTCTCCCGCTGCTTTAGAGCGGAAAAATTGGGTGACTCGGTGCTTAGAAATCAGCCAGGCCGGATATTGATTCTCTCCGTGCCGGTGAAATTCCACGCGCCATTTTATTTAGTTCCAGCCTTCTAGTTCAGTCGATAGTCCATGGAAATACTCAATCAGATGCTGTCTAGCTATTGCCCTGCGATGGTGTTCCTCATCTGCCGTCCCTCTTTCAACCGGGGAAACTCAACTTACTTGCTTAGTTAATAGTTAATCAATCTATCAGGCATGACTCATAGTCCAGGCATCGCGAGTTGACGTATTCCCAGTTTCCCACCGCCTTGCATACGCTACTGCACCAAAAGTACCTTATTTGTGACGATCCCAACGTTCCGAATATCGGTGTAGTGGCTGAACTCTGAAGCATCAAGCAGGTGCAGAGTAAGGTTGACCTTGCCAGGAGAAGGCATATCTCTATCACCAGCTATTCCAGAACATCCAGAACACTCGGAAAAGTCATCAGAGAATCTAGGCTTTGCGGTGTCTAGTACCTTACTCCCATCAAAGATGTCCATTGATCGATCCCATGGTTTTCTGCCTCGTATTCAAGCCCATTTAAGATTTCAGTGGCAATTGGACTTGGGTTGCCGGGTACGGAGTAGTGCTATCTAGGTCTTGATCACCGGGCAGGGAAGTGACTAGATGCTGTACTCCGTAGGGCCCATCTACTCCAAATCTGGGCTTCACAGAACATCTTGGCTATCTTAGTTTCTCCTTGTCTTCTCAACAAATATCAATAATGGATAGTAACCTGTAGATTTCGGTCATGAGGTGGCCCAGGCGAGAACTGGTAATGCCAACTATCATCTGGAACTCATGGAATGATTAAGTGATATCCTTTTCTTGTCATCACTACTGTACCTACTCATCCGACATATCAGAACTTGCCCAGAGGATAAAGGTGGTGTAATGTATCAAATCTGTCTGCGTATTTGTTCGTCCTACTCAAAAGGACTTCTGAGTCTTGACAATGACGATCTTCACTGCTTGATAAGGAGGACTGGTCACGTGCTATCCTTATCTGCAAAGAATCCACCACTCCTCCATATTGCCTCTGTTCAGAACCAACACCTGGAAAGCTGCATTCATTTATCTTAATCTGCAACCCCAAAAGCTCTTTGTGAGCACAGCGATACACTTGGAAGATTCTACTCGACTTTTTTGTTAAAATTCTTTTCATCTCACCACATTTCACATCAGTCAGCGACCATGTCGGATGTTGCAGCTCTTGAGGCAGAAGTCAAGGAATTCAAGCTACAGGTATGTCGCATTGCCGTCTACCATGCCACAGTTCGGTAACTGACTTTTTCTCTATTTCCCAGCTTGAAACCGTTCAATCGAGTTTGCAGGTAGATCCAGACAACACGGAACTGCAGAGTCTTAAAACTGAACTGGAAGAACTCATAAATCTCACGGAAACATCAATCGCCGAACTCAAGCCGCTTGCTCCTCCTCCGTCTGCTGCCAAACCTTCTCCCCCGCCAGCGAAGGAGAAATGGTCAAAAGAGAACCACCCTGCTTATCAGGCTGGCTATCGCAAGCCCACTGCCGAAACTCCGGAGGAAGCCCCCACACCGGTTACGTTCTCCGTCAATGACCACATCCTCGCACGATGGGTTTCGGGCGATAACTCTTTCTATCCTGCGCGCATTACCTCAATAACAGGCTCATCTGCCAACCCTGTCTACTTGGTCTCGTTCAAGTCGTACGGAACGGTTGAATCTCTGACAGCCAAAGACATCAAGCCCATCTCCAACGCTGATTCGCGGAAACGTAAGGCTGATGGAAGCTCAGGCTACTCTTCATCCCAGACTCCAACACCACAACCCCTTCATTCCAGTGTCATCTCGGCCGCGGCAGATATCAACCCTGCATTGGCAAATCAGGCGCGCAAAGAGCCTAGCAAGGTCGACGACGGGTCTGCACGCCCTTCGAAGGTGGCTCGGAAAGTCAAGGCCACTCGCGAGCTTGAGGCCGGTAAGATGAAGTGGAAGGATTTTGCTAGCAAGAGCAAGCTGGGCCGGAAAGAGAGCATGTTTCGGACAGGGGAGGGGGTTAATGCCCGAGGTAAGGCACCATTATTTCAGATCTCAGAGTGATGCACTAATTCGTGTCTGAATAGTGGGCTTTACTGGCTCCGGCCAACAGATGCGCAAAGATCCCTCCAGGGCACGCCATGTGTATCAGCAAGCAGATGAGGACGCCTACTAGTTTGGCTGTCACCGACAAAGTGTCCAATGTTCCATTTGTGATGATATCAACTGGGCATTGGGTTTTGCGTTCTTGTTTCACTACATTTCTACTTTGCCTGTTCGTTCCTATCGCTAACTGGAAGATTGGCGACACAGAGCATAATTTTGACTGATGTTCCGAGGCATGGGTTTTGGCCATACGTAGATTGTGGTTGTGCAGATACTGGTGACATGATATCTCCATGAGTTACATCCTCCATAACTTCCTCACGTGTTATACTCTATTCTAATGGCAATCTTTTCATCATAGGGTCTTCTGGTTTTCTGCAACAGAGGACCATAGGTGTTATGTGCAACCTTTGCCAGATTCTGGTCATGTAGATGCATCGCCCACTCAAAGGGAAAACCTTTTCAAAGAGTCTGTCGCTTTTATCTCTCATCTTCTGCATATGTTCTGATATGTGGTTCCCACGGTCTGTGAACATGAAGTTGGGAGCTTTGAAGCAATCAGAGGCATAAAGTCTCTCAGCCAATGTTTCCTACGCCTTTCCATCGATGGTCCATGGACATTAGCGGGCTATGCGACCTTGGGAGGCGCAAAGCTTGGCATTCGTCTATATGACGGCTCATGATAAATCATCATGAGCGAAGGCGAAGCCGGATTGACTCACAAGTCTCCATAGAGATATCAGAGCGGTCGTCCCTGCACATCTGCCAGGATTGTAGATTCAATAGTTCAAAGTTCGCCTGACTGGGGCTGGGGGTTCTCTAGGAACTCCGCGTAAGAAGTTTCATGCAGCGATGCTGAGTCTCGTCTTGCCTCGAGAACCGCAATCAGATATTAGGTCATGCCCGCAGACTGTCCGGAAAAGCTTTTTATTGGCCAGCATCTGTATCCCGAGTCTCTGCTAGAAAGCAAATCTTGTCATTATATTACCATGACGCAGGTTGTCATCTTGTATAAAAGCCATCCTACTTGCGCATCACCGCTGCATGGCACCAGTATATCTCCATAACATATCGCCCAGCAACCCAAGACACCACATCTCACTATGTCGCGCAACGTCTGCATCACCTCCGTAGAAGGCAACACAGGCTTCCTCATCGCCGAGCTCCTCCTCTCTGACGAGAACTTCTCTAAAGAAGTCGGCACCGTCCACGGCCTAACCCTCAATCCGGATGCCCAGCGGTGCAAGGACCTACAATCCCTAGGCGCCACCATCGTCCCCCATAGACCAGGCCGTCTGAAGAATGTTGCCGCCGACATCAGAGACACCAAAGCCGACACTCTCTGCCTGGTCCCGCCAGCTAGTCGGGACAAGCTCGATATCACGGCCGAGATGATCGAGGCGGCCAAGCGTGCCAATGTGCCGAACGTGGTCTTCCTGAGTGCTGCGGGATGCGATGTCGCTGAGAGGGACAAGCAGCCCCGTCTGAGGGAGTTTATTCATCTCGAGACTTTGTTCCTGAGTACGAAAGGGGATCCGAGCTCAATGACGGGGCATTGTCCTGTTGTCATCCGGTGTGTTTCTTCCTCGAGATCGCATGCTGCATGTCTAATGATACTGGTTGTAGGGCTGGCTTCTACGCTGAGAACTTGCTTGCGTATGCCCCCCAGGCTAAGGAGGAGGGATACATCCCTATACCGATCGGACGCGAGCATAAATTTCCCCCCGTAGCACTAGGTGTAAGTCTGGCTCTCAGCGCGCAATGGCCTCTGGCTAAACTACTGCAAAGGACGTCGCACTGCTAGCGGCTCATGTCCTCACCGGCAAAGGAAAGCACGGACTCGACGATAAGCATCGTGGTCAACTAATGACCTTGACCGGTATGTCGGCTCCAGTTCTATAGTATCAAGTGAAACGAGATTGACACGACAGGCCCGGCTCTTCTCAACGGCGACGAACTAGCGCGAGCAGCAAGCGAAGCTCTAGGAACCGATATGAAGTTCGAAGATATCTCTGAGTATGTCGCCTAGTTGTTCCCGTTAATCCTCTGCTGGAATTGGGACTCACAGACAACAGATATGAAGCCAAGAAGGTCCTCAGGAGCCAGACGGATACTGATGATAGTGAGATTCAGTTCATACTCGAATACTATTCGCTGGTCCGTGAGGGCAAGACGAACTATGTTGCTACGACGGCATTCCGCGACATCACTTCCGATGAGCCCCAGCAGCCGGCAGACTTCTTCCGCTCGTATTCTGAGGAGTTCAGCCCGAAGAAGGGGGCGAAGAGAAGGAAGGTAGATGGGAAGTGAGCGCGAGAAGATAGATGGTGTATGTGGTGAGGTAGATCTGTTCTTAATAAGTAGCCACTAAGAATGCCATTGTAGAATTTTCTTGTCGAGGTCAAACATATATGTCGAAGCTGTTGACTCTGTAGCAGACACTACCTCCAATCACAGTGCAGGTTGGCGTACTGGACTCGCATATGGAAAGCTTAGCGACTTGGGCACGCTCGGGGCACTGCAGTCCGAAGATAGAAGCTACAATCAATGAAGTAATGGGATAAAAATGCATTTGCGCGTGCTGAGTCGATCATGCGCGGGGTAAGCTACTCCTCTCTTCCCCTTCTCCGCAGCACTATAGATAGGTTGCAATTCCTATTGAAGCTCCTTGTGGATCCCAACTTACAGAATCTCAGTATCATCAGTAATTCCATTGACCATGACTCCATCTAAGAAAGAAGTGCCTCTCCCTCCAACACCTCATGTGCGGACAAGGATGCCATGGATACGGCTCGGGGCAACCGATCCAGCTACCACTCTCACGCCTCCACCGGCCACATTCCCAGAGACCAGCACGCCGGAGCAGCGAGCAGCTTTGAGATTCAGAGTGAGCGGAAACGCAGTGTGTCGGTCATACCCCCTATAACTCAAGGATTAGGTGATATCTTACTCTTGTCCAGTTACTGGTGGAGCAGGAATGCTCGCTCTAGCCTCCGCACGAGCGCTTCTTGAGCATGGACTTTCTGGCATTGCTTTACTTGATCTGCCCTCGGCTCTCCAAAAGGGAGACGTTGAAATAGAAGCACTTCGAAGAGACTTTCCTTCTGCGAAAATCATAACGCATCAATGCGACGTCACAGACGCGGCAGACATGCAGCACGTTGCTGAAAAGGCAAAGAATGAACTAGGGGAGCTTAACATTCTCTGTTGCTTTGCGGGCATAGTCAACTGCGTGGCAGCCGAGGACATAACAGTCGAGCAATGGCGCCGTGTCATTGATGTAAATACGACAGGGTCATGGATCGCTGCACAAGCAGTAGGGAAGTAAGACGATTCCCTAGGTTCCTCTGTGAGAGCTAGGCCCCCTGACGCAGAATCCAGACATATGATTGCCAGTGGACGCGGGGCAAAATCGTCCTCGTCGCATCCATCAGCGGTCATCGGGTGAATTACCCCCAGCCTCAGATCGCGTACAACGTCTCCAAGGCAGCGGTGCTACACATGAAGAATAGCTTGGCAGCGGAATGGACGCAATACGGAATCCGAGTCAATTCTATCTCCCCGGGATATATGGATACGGTGCTTAATGAGGGTGAGGATCTTGCGCCATGGCGGCAGATATGGGCGGATCGGAATCCGATGCGAAGGATGGGGTCACCACAGGAGCTGACGGGACCGGTGGTGTTCCTTTGCAGTGATATTGGGGGAGCTATATCAATGGAGCTGATATTGTTGTTGACGGTATTTTTCTTCCGTCTGGCTGTACAAGTTAAGGTGCTAACAGGCGTATAGGAGGTGGTCTGGTGTTCTAGGCATATACTCTGACGACAAGGCAGAACGACTTCCAAGTGATTGTTTATTTTTTTCACTGATGCCAAAAACATTGTAGAGGTTCCCAAATCGTTATGTGGTTGGGGTAAGAATTACGACCAGAAGCTGCCAGTTTCTAGTCAGTAGAACGGGGAAATTATATACTTCCGGGCTCACAACAAAGCAAGCCACCTTATCCGTTTGTGTATTGCCTGTCTACCCTCCGAAGTCGACTGCAGAATACCGTCTCAAAAGGTTGGATAAGAATTACCTTCCAGCTAGTCTGGCAAACTAATCGAACACAATCACAGAAATACTCAATCAACACGCAAAGGATTGGATTAATCTACCTGATCATCCGAGGATCGCCGTGCCTGACGTTAGCGCCCGACGAACCCCCATTCTTCATGTGTGGGATGATGGCAGCCTTCTCCGCTTACGTATGTCGGCCAGTGGAGGTCCTCCAACCGCCCCGTTCCTTGATTCCCATATCGTCATCTCCCCATCGCCTCTTCCCCAGGACCCCAGCCTCTCAATAGCTTCGCTGTCCCTTGTCGTTTAGACCATTCAATACTAGCCAGACTAATCTTTGTTTAATTTTTACTTGTATTAGCGCAGCTAATTTCCGGAACTGCATTGTGCTTGTGAATTTATTATATCCTCGCTCGTGACACCACCTTGTCGAGGAGCTGTTGCTTCAAAAGCGTCCGTGTCTTCGGCGAGTTCACCGACAAATCTAGCTTTCCAGCATCTTTCTACACCAACCAATCGTCCTTCTAATGCTCTAATTAAACCGCGAAAAACCTACGTGTTTTGACACCGGAGTCGTTACCAACCCTTTGTCCCGACGATGCGGGGACTGCGCTTTACCCCGATCCTCACGAGTCTCGGCCTGCTGTCGTTCCTTCCTCACACACTTGTCCTTGCTGAAGGAGAAACCAAGGTACACGAAGAGGGCCGCTGCGCGATCCGAGGACATTGCGGAAAAAAGTCGTTCTTTGGCGGAGAGCTGCCATGTCCAGATAACGGTCCTGCAAGGGAGCCCGAGGTATCGGCGAGGAAGAAGCTGGTGAACTTGTGCGGTAGCAAATGGAATGAAGGGCCTGTTTGTTGCGAAGAAGAGCAGGTAAGAATTATTGTCCCGACCAAACCCATTCAAGCGAGACGATTCTCATGTGCTTCTCCTGCCTAGATCGATGCACTCGCCAAGAACCTGAAGCTTGCTGAGGGCATTATTGCATCATGTCCTGCGTGCAAAGACAATTTCTTCAACATCTTCTGTACCTTTACCTGTTCTCCGGACCAGTCTCTATTCATCAATGTCACACAAATCGAGAAGGCCAGCTCCGGAAAGTTACTAGTTACCGAACTTGACAATATCTGGTCCGAAGAATACCAGAGCGGCTTCTATGATAGTTGCAAGAACGTCAAAAATGGTGCTTCTGGTGGCAAAGCCATCGACTTCATCGGTGGCGGCGCGAAGAATTACACACAATTCCTGAAGTTCCTGGGTGACAAGAAGCTGCTTGGCAGTCCTTTCCAGATCAACTACAAAACGGAGCCCCCGTCACCTGATCAGGGCATGAGAGCCTTGCCTATCAAACCGAAGGCTTGCAATGACCCTGACGAGGCATTCCGCTGCTCCTGTGTTGATTGTCCGGAGGTCTGCCCGGAGCTACCGGAGGTGAAAACAGACAAATACTGCCATGTCGGCCTGTTGCCTTGTCTATCCTTCGCGGTCATTCTGATTTACTCCGTATTCTTATTAGCCGTTGTGGCCTTTTCTAGTTACTTCACGTACAGAGAACGGCGTTATCGCAAGCCCGAGAGGGTTCGGCTTTTACAAGACCCATCTCCCGATGACGATGAAGATGAGGGGGACATTGTTCATGCTGCTGGGTCGCTGGAACAACCCTCTGGGGTTTACAAACTGAACTCTATGCTTGACTCGATGTTCAATAGCATTGGGGGTACTTGCGCTCGATTCCCAGCAATCACTATCGTGACTAGCATAGTACTCGTTGGCCTTCTGAGTCTGGGTTGGCTCCGGTTCGTTGTCGAGACAGATCCTGTACGCCTCTGGGTGAGCCCTACGTCGGCAGCAGCGCAAGAAAAGGAGTACTTTGATACCAATTTTGGACCCTTTTACCGAGCGGAGCAGGTATTTGTTGTCAACGAACATGGACCGGTTCTGAGTTATGACACCCTCAGTTGGTGGTTTGATATTGAATCTCAAATTCGTCGAATGATTTCCCCGGGTCGCAGTTTACTACTCGATGACGTCTGCTTTAAACCCACTGGCGACGCGTGTGTGGTTCAGTCAATAACGGGCTATTTCGGTGGCTCAGGATGGAACCTTCACCCGGACACATGGGAAGAGCGGGTTAAGCACTGTGCCAGCTCTCCTGGTGACCCGAGCTGTCTTCCTGACTTTCAACAGCCTCTCAGACCTGAAATGATACTGGGTGGTTACGAAGAGTCGGGCAACGTCCTCGACGCTCAAGCGTTGATTACCACGTGGGTTCTGAACAATCACGCCCAAGGCACGGAGAGCGAGGCCGATGCCATTGACTGGGAGAACAATCTCAAACAGCTGTTATATAACGTTCAAGAAGACGCGAAAGAACGTGGTCTTCGTGTGTCATTCAACACTGAAGTCAGCCTGGAGCAGGAACTCAACAAATCCAGCAACACTGATGCGAAGATTGTCGTCATCAGCTATATCATCATGTTTATCTATGCGTCCCTCGCTCTGGGCTCAGCCACTGTCACCTGGAAGTCTCTCTTGAACAACCCTGCCAATGTCTTTGTGCAGTCGAAATTCACGCTCGGGATCGTGGGAATCTTGATCGTCCTTATGTCCGTGTCTGCGTCGGTAGGACTGTTTTCAGCAGCAGGAATCAGGGTGACCTTGATCATCGCCGAGGTCATTCCCTTCCTTGTATTGGCGGTCGGTGTGGACAACATCTTCCTGATCGTTCATGAATTTGAGCGGATCAATGTCAGTCACCCTGATGAAGAGATTGATGAGCGGGCTGCTCGTGCCGTAGGAAGGATTGGTCCTAGCATTTTCCTATCGGCCCTGACGGAGACGGTCGCCTTTGCGCTCGGTGTGTTTGTGGGCATGCCAGCCGTCAAGAACTTTGCCATCTATGCAGCTGGTGCGGTCTTCATCAATGCCATTCTGCAAATGACGATGTTTGTTTCAGTACTTGCTCTGAATCAAAGGCGGGTGGAGAGTCTTCGCGCAGATTGCATTCCATGCATTACAGTGCGCAAAGCGACTTCATCCGGCATGTTCGAAGAACCCGCGTACAATGACCAGGAGGGCGAAAGTCTGACGCAGCAATTTATTCGCAAAATATATGCAAACTACCTGCTTGACCGCAGGATTAAGGTTGCTGTTGTGATTGTCTTCCTTGGCATATTTACTGCTGGCTTGGCTCTGATCCCGCAAGTGCCTCTCGGATTGGATCAGCGTATCGCCCTTCCGAGCGATTCGTATCTGGTACAGTATTTCAACGATATGGATACTTACTTTCGCACCGGTCCACCAGTCTACTTTGTGACCCGCAACGTCAACGTGACCGAGAGAAAGCACCAGCAGCAGCTCTGCGGACGGTTCACGACCTGCGAAGAATTCTCTTTGTCATTTGTTTTGGAGCAGGAGTCTAAGCGACCGAATGTCTCCTATATCTCGGGATCAGCCGCAAGTTGGATCGACGACTTCTTTTATTGGCTGAATCCCCAGCAAGAATGCTGCAAGGAAAATGGCAAGATTTGCTTTGAGGACCGGACTCCTGCATGGAATATCTCTCTCTACGGCATGCCCACAGGAAACGAATTTATCCACTATCTGGAAAAGTGGATTGAAGCACCCACGGATGCGTCTTGCCCTCTCGGCGGCAAAGCCCCATATAGTAACGCGCTTGTCATTGATTCAAAGCACGTTATGACCAATGCGAGCCATTTCAGAACCAGCCATACCCCGCTGAGGAATCAGGATGACTTTATCAAGGCGTACATCTCAGCCCGTCGCATCGCGGATGGAATCTCCAAAGAACACGGCATAGACGTGTTCCCTTATTCCAAACCATATATCTTCTTCGACCAGTATGTCTCGATTGTGCAGCTCACAGGCACTTTGCTCGGCTGTGCTGTTGCCATTATCTTCGCTATCACGTCAATCATCTTAGGCTCTGTCGCCACCGGTGCAGTAGTAACTGCTACGGTCGTGATGATTGTTGTGGATATTATTGGCTCCATGGCCGTTGCTGGGGTGTCGCTCAATGCCGTTTCGTTAGTCAACTTGGTTATTTGCGTCGGCATCGGTGTCGAGTTCTGCGCCCATATTGCTCGAGCATTCATGTTCCCTTCGCGCACAATAATGGACAAGACGCCCACCAAGTTCAGGGGCAAAGATGCACGAGCCTGGACTGCGTTGGTCAATGTGGGTGGCAGTGTCTTCAGTGGCATTACTATCACCAAGTTACTCGGGGTTTGTGTGCTGGCATTCACCCGCAGCAAGATCTTTGAAATCTACTATTTCCGTGTCTGGCTGGCATTGGTCATCTTTGCCGCTACCCATGCCCTCATCTTCCTGCCCGTGGTGCTCAGTTATTTTGGTGGCGAAGGTAGGTTTATTCTGGTCGTGTCTTTTGAATCGATCTCCCCAAATTCCTGCTTATCTAACTATAATGTAGGTTATGCCGACCCTGGATCCGACGGTGGTTTGGAAGAAAGCCTTGCATCCAGGGGTTATCGCGCCCTGCTTGTTGACGAAGACTACGACTCTGAAGAATTCTAGCGATGCTATACATGATGCCAGTGCCTATATTTCGCTTGATTTCACGTATGGATGATGCTGGCTTACCTATTGTTTTGTACTATGCACATTTTGCTCCCTTATTTGGAATCCATGCCATGTCCCTTGAGGAATATTGACGCATCTTTCGGGCAAGAGATGGAGTATAGTATTATGCGGGGTTGGTTCACAATTCTTGACTTTTGCTATTCAATTTTTTTTTTTTTTTTGATACCTCTTGCTCGTTCCTCGTTTCTCGTACTTCCAGCCTGAAACACTAGAGTATCATGCAACTATATACTGGTAGCTGATAGAGGATAGTTGGAAGAGTGCTATGATGTGACATGATAATAATATAACAGTCAATCACAACATTTACTGGCATTGTTCTCTGTGCCATCGACCTTAAGCAGACAGACAACGCACAACCTTCTGTATCAAGACCATCATGGAAATGTGAACCCCATTCAGATTCTATTGGTCTTTGGTTGGGCAGCGAGCCTGTTACTCTACCCACTTGGTACTTCCTACCTGTCTACTAAGTGCTCTTTTTGATGTTGTGCATCCACTGTTTATGAGTAAACCAGTGCGGCACAGAGCACGTGATAGAGAATGCCGCTAGCCTGAAGAAAGTAAAAGCGGAGGGACCAGGAGAAAAATTATCCAAACAACCCACCCCTTAGTGAGAACTTTTTTTTTTTCTCTCTCTCTTATCTTCTCCTCCTCCTGAGTGTCCCTCATCTCTCCTTTCTCTTTACTCCTCATTCCTTTTCTTGGTGTTTCTATCCTTTCTTTTGTTTCTGTGATACCCCCTTGAGCTGTTTGTCTCACGTGCAGGCAGCTCAATTAGTCGTACGAGGATCCCTTCTTGCTATTAAAGAAGGGTTGGGACACCCCACTTTTGAGAGGTGTACATATTTTTTTCCCACAAAAGTTCTATTCATATTTCCATCATGGATCAGCAAAGATTCCTGCAGCAGCTTCAGATTGTTCTGAACCGTGAGTAATGTTCACCCGGCGAGTTGCTATAGAAAGAAAGCTGTGATGCTGACGAGAACACGATAGCTGCCCAGGGCAACGTTAAGGAAGCAACCGGTATCCTCCAGCGGGAGTTCTACAACAAGCCTGAATCTCTCGTTCTCCTTATTCAGATCGCCACCGGTCATGAGGATCCCAATCTGAGGCAGCTGGCCGCTGTCGAGACTCGCTCGTTGGTCAACAAGCACTGGGTTTCGGTCCATGCTGCCCAGAAGCCTCAGATTCGTGAGCAGCTGCTGCGCTCCACGATGAGCGAGGGCTCCTCACTCGTCCGTCACTCTATTGCCCGGATCATCTCTGCTGTCGCTCGGGTCGACCTGAACGATGGCGAGTGGGCCGAGCTGCCCAATTTCCTGGTCCAGGCTGGTAACAGTGGCAACAAGGATGAGCGTGGCGTGGCTATCTACATTCTGTTTACCATTCTGGAGACTCTCGGCGAGAGCCTCGAGGAGAAGTTCTCTGATCTCTTCGCCCTGTTCAGCAAGACCATCCGTGACCCTGAGAGCGAGGAGGTCCGCATCAACACCCTTCTCGCCCTGAGCAAGCTTGCCATGCACCTTGACTCCGAGGAGGATGTTGGTCCCGTCAAGGCCTTCCAGGATATCGTTCCCTCCATGGTCGCTGTTCTGAAGGACTCGATCGACCAGAAGCAGGAGGACCGTGTTATGCAGGCCTTTGAGGTCTTCCAGACTCTCCTTGGCTGTGACCCTGCTCTCCTTACTGTCCACCTTAAGGACCTTGTTATCTTCATGAACGAGCTTGCTGCCAACACCGAGGTCGACGAGGATACTCGTACTCAGGCCATTAGCTTCCTCATGCAGTGCGTTCAGTACCGTAAGCTCAAGATCCAGGGCATGCGTATTGGCGAGCAGCTCACCCGCACCGCTCTGCACATTGTCACTGAGCTCGGTGACACTTCCTCGGACGATGACGATATCACTCCCGCCCGGTCCGCTCTTGGCCTGCTTGATATGCTCGCCCAGAGTCTACCTCCCAGCCAAGTTGTTGTGCCCCTTCTTCACGCTCTGGGCCAGTACTTCAACAACAGCAACCCTGACTACCGCCGGGCCGGTATCATGGCTCTTGGAATGTGTGTGGAGGGCGCTCCCGATTTCATCAGCACTCAGATGAAGGACATCTTCCCCATGGTTCTGCAGCTGCTCGCTGATCCCGAACCCAAGGTCCGCCAAGCCTCCTTGCACGCGGTGGCTCGTCTTGCCGATGATCTCGCTGAAGATCTGAGTGCTGAGCACGAAAGGCTCATGCCTCTCCTCTTCAAGAACTTGGCCAGCGCTATGCAGGAGTACAAGGGTGAGGAGGATGGCCCCACTATTGATATCATGAAGGCCGGTATCAGCGCCATTGATGCCGTTGTTGATGGCTTGGACGAGAAGGACGTCGCGCCTTACCAGGGCGAGCTCGTTCCCATCCTGCACAAGCTCTTCAAGCACCCCGACTTCAGAATCAAGGGACTGACTGCCGGAGCTCTGGGCTCCCTTGCCTCCTCCGCCGGCGAGTCTTTCCTCCCCCACTTCGACGAGTCCATGCACCTCCTGCAGGAGTTTGCCACCGTCAAGGATAGTGAGGAGGAATTGGACCTGCGCGCTAGTGTCACCGACGCTATGGGTGAAATGTCCGCTGCCGCCGGTGCCGAGCGTTACCAGCCCTACGTCGAGCCCCTCATGCGCGCCACCGAGGAGGCACTTCACCTCGACCACTCCCGTCTCAAGGAGAGCACCTACATCTTCTGGGGAGCCATGTCCAAGGTTTATGGAGAGCACTTCGCTCCCTTCCTTGATGGTGTGGTCAAGGGCCTTTTCGCTTGCATTGAGCAGGACGAGACTGACCTGGATGTATCTCTTGGTGAGGCCGCCAAGGATCTTGTTGGCCAAGAGGTGATTATCGCTGGCCGCAAGGTCAAGGTTGCCAGTGCCGACGATGATGACGAACCCGTTGGAGAGGATGGCGGTATCGAGGACGTTGATCTCGATGACGAGGATGCTTGGGACGACATTACCGCCACCACACCCTTGTCCCTGGAGAAGGAAATCGCCGTTGAGGTCATTGGTGATCTCGTCACGCACACCAAGAGCGCCTACCTGCCTTACTTCGAGAAGACCATTGAGCAGGTCCTGCCTCTGGCTGAGCACCCTTACGAGGGTGTTCGCCGCAGCACCATCAGCACTCTGCACCGCTCGTACGCGATGCTCTTCGCTATTGCCGAAGAGACCGGTCAGATGACTAAGTGGAAGCCTGGTCTGCCTCTGCAGGTCGAGCCCGCCAAGGAGGTCAAGAAGTTTGGCGAGATTCTGATGACCGCTACCATCAAGATGTGGACTGAAGAAGATGATCGGTATGTATATCCTCTTTCTTTTCTTTCTGCATATTACACGATGGCTGCTTTGCATAAGCATGCCGATGCCAATGATGAACACACTCGTTTACCCAGCTCACTCAGACTCGCAAAATGCGTGCGTGAAGTGAAACACGATTCTTTCCAACGAAACCTGAGGCCTTGATTCACTGCTCTTAATGTTTTCATGTCAATTTTTGATTGGTATTAACCATTTGACATAGGGCTACTGTCGCCGATATCAACCGTAACATGGCAGAGAACCTGCGCTACTGCGGTCCTTCTCTGATTGCCAACGAGACCACTCTGCACAACGTCATCCAGATGGTCACCGACATCATCACTAAGAAGCACCCTAGCCAGCTCGAGTTTGGCCCCGAAGAGGAGTCTCTCGAGGCCGGTGAGGAGACTTCTGAGTTCGATTGGGTTGTTGTCGACACTGCCCTTGACGTTGTTTCCGGTCTCGCTGCCGCTCTGGGCGAGAGCTTCGCCGAACTCTGGAAGGTATTCGAGAAGACCATCCTGCGCTACGCCGGTAGCACTGAGGCTCTGGAGCGTGCCACCGCCGTTGGTGTCCTTGCCGAGTGCATCAACGGTATGGGCGCTGGTGTCACTCAGTTCACTCGTCCTTTCCTGAAGCTCCTCATCCACCGCCTGGGTGATGAGGATCCTCAGACCAAGTCCAATGCTGCCTATGCTGTTGGCCGTCTTGTCGAGCACTCCACCGCAGACGCTGAGATCGTCAAGGAGTACCCTACCATCCTTTCCCGGTTGGAGTCGTGTCTGCAGATGAAGGTCTCTCGCCTTCAGGACAACGCTACTGGCTGTCTCAGCCGTATGATCCTCAAGCACCGTGAGGCCATCCCTCTCAAGGAGGTTCTCCCCGTCCTCGTCTCCATCCTCCCCCTGAAGAACGATTACGAGGAGAACGAGCCCCTGTACCGCATGATCTGCCAGCTGTGTATGTGATCCCGCCTCATTCGGAGCGAGAAGAACGTTACTGACTAGCTTGTAGACAAGTGGGAAGACCCTAACATCCGGGAACTCACCCCGCAGTTCCTGCCCATCTTCCAGTCTGTCCTTTGTGGCGATTCGGACCAGCTTGAGGACGAGCGCCGTGCCGAGCTCATCGAGCTCGTCAAGTGGCTGAACCAGATGCAGCCCGGCGTTGCCCCCTGGGTTGAGCAGCTGTAATCACCTTGCACGACATCTGAATATTTAACGGCTTGATGACTTCACAACGAAACATACCGAATACTTAATGAATAGAGCCTACGCCACAAAAGCAGGACATTATGGATGACTTAGACGATACCCCGGAGCACATTGAGGGTTCGCGCCCTCATTGTTTCCAAATGATGAGACCCTGAGCAGAAAAGAAAATCAATTAGACACTATGGTTTGGGTACGTGCGATGATTTATGAATTGAGGGGGGGGAAAAGTTTGTCTGTAAATATCGTTGGACTTGAAAGAAAGATCTAATGCCTGGTTAGAGGACTATTTACCTGGCCATCCTCATCCGCTATTCTTTACTTATCGTAGAGCATCTGGGTAGACTGGTCCAGCTCTCATCTGAACCGGTACCTCCTTCGTACTTTGCACTAGTGTGCCAATGACGTGTGTGGTGGGGCAGAATAAGGTAGCGATCTGCAAGATGAAGAAGGGCATCAACAAGTGACACGATCGGGTGCTGGACCATGAGCAAAGCTACTTCGATGGGTTCGACCTGGTCTACGCATGGAGGTCGGTTATCTCAACGGTCGGTAAGGTAGCGACGAAATCGTTGGTCGGGCCTGTTGCTTGGGAATCATTGGGTTGATAGACAGTGTTAATTACTCCTTGTAGTACGGAGTAAAGTTCATCTGATTGAATCTTTATTTAGTACCGAAATTTAGCTGCCTGTCAGAAGTATTTATTCCTGACTTCCTCAACTCCCAGACGGACTCTCAGGCTTTGTTACGATACTGATCTCACTCCTTCCTCTCTTCAGCTAAACCGTCACATAACAACAGTAAGCGAATCTGAATCCTCTTCACATTGTGAAATTTACTTCCAGAATCATCAACAGCTGCGCTCGTATTTACTGACTTTACTGGCGACGTCATAGCAAGTCTATCCCATCCACTGCAAAATGGCCGCCTCATCCTTCTCCTCACCCATCAACTGGACCCTTCCGTCCTCTGCCTCCGGGTCGTCCATCAAGAAACCCATCAAGACCGTCTCGAAACCGTGCTTTGGATGTGACTGTGGGGATGAAGAGTGTGATTGCTGCATTTGCACGGTGATGTAGATGTATAGTATTCTCTGATGAGTTATGGATGATGGTCGTTTCCTGATCGCAGACAGGGTTTTGGCTGAATGGTCATTATGACAAACTTACGGAGATGCGCGTTTTTATTCTCTACCTTTTATGATATCCCGGTTTGAGGGTGTTGAGTTCTCTGGTTCGATATCGGACTATGGTTTAATCAGAGAAGTTCAGGGTTCTGGAACTACCTTGTTATGATCCCTATCTATTCCTGCTTTATCTATCCCTTGAGAATCGTTGTTGATTGATGTGATCTGGATACTGGGACAGTCGGCATCGTGAAGATATATTTAGTACACGCCATCATGTCTGTGCGGAGGATCGGTCAAGCAATGGCCAGATTACTGTAGATTCTGCTAAATTCCCGCTTACTTTCATTCAAACATCTCTATTTGCCTTCCTCATTGTTTCCTTCATTAGTACCCAGTATACTTCACTCGATACAGAGTAAACAAACGACATCATCAACAAATTGGTGATAAAGCGGTGATACTCTATTCCGGCCCGAGCCTTTGTCAGCGGGATTCGGAGTATTTTATCTTTATCGCCTCCGCCGTTCTATTAGTTTGTCACTAACAACGCTGACGGCTCGTCCGGGACTTGGCTTTTATGCTTAATTTTAAAGAAATACTGGCTCTAACGTGCGCACATAGAGCCCAGAGGCTCATCTCAGATGAACCCTCCTATCATGTCAGATGCGGGGCCTGAGGAGGAGGATCGTGGAGCCCCGTCCTCTCGGAGGCGAACTGCGAGGGCTTGCGATTCATGTTACAAGAGGAAGGTAGTACTACTTACTTTCGGAGAAAGCGGAACCGTCTCCGCTGAGTATTGACTGATGGTGAATGTAGATCAAATGTGATGCTGCTGCACCGCAATGTAATTGGTGCAGTCACCATAATATTCCTTGCACCTTTGATCGGGTCATTCGGAGAAAGCGAAAAGAGAACAGTGAACCCGCGTATGTAGAGAAAAATTTTGATATGCGTCTGAGCTTCCATAGCTGAATATCGCTCTAGGCAACAGAAAAGCTCCCGTTTGGCGGAGCGAATAAGCAGGATAGAGAAGCTTCTGTCGGAGAGCCTACTGAAAGAATCTGGTGTGCACCCCTTCTACCCCTCAATAAGTCATATTGAAACTTACCCTGACAGGTGCCAATCTGTCACCGAGCAGTGGCAGCTCAGACCTTGATTTCTCACGACATCCCTCACCTCCAAGCCAGCCTCAGGTGTCGTCCTCTTCCGTGACGCTCCATTTCGCCGGCCGGGAGCTAGGCGTCATCAGTTTGATGACAAGGATCCCATTCCTGCTTCCTGAGGGCCGACAGTGGATTCAAGCACGTACAGGACGACAGATTTCCGAGGATAAACTCAACAGTTATTCCCGGCCACCGTGGGAGAGACAGCGCGCCTTAAGCTCAAACCGGTATTTGACGAGCATGCTGCCTCAGAGGATGCTTGAACTTCCCGATCGACATGCGGTTGAAGTACACTTTGACATATTCCGCACGACTCTAATGCAACGAGTGTTTCCGATTGTGGATCCTGTTCTATTTCCTGACACCATCAAGGCCGCGTACTCGCAATCGAGTCTAAGCGCCACACGAGCAGACGTCAGGGCCTGTATTCTATCATTTCTTGCCTTTAGTTCTATTCTCCAAGTTCCGGAATACAAGGATAGACCGCTTGGCCTTCCGCCGATCGACAGCGAGGGACTTGCCCTCAAGGCTCAATGTCTAATCCCGCAGGTTCTCCGGGAGGATGCAGGCTTAGAGGGTCTGCAGGCGCTTATCATTATGGTGAGTCGTCATGCTGGCCTGGCATCTTGCAAATTGCTGTGCAAGCTGCGTGGCTTTAATGTATCGTTCTTCAACAGAGCTGACAAATTCACAGGCGCTCTTCGAACTAGTCACTGGTAATCTGTGTACAGCAAACTACTACGTCTCTGTTGCGGCACGGATAGTATATATGCTAGGAGGCCATGCCTATCCCGGCCCCATGAACTCGTTCTCAGAATCCCCTGCCGAGCACCTCGAGCAGAGAAAGAAAAGGCACCTCAGGAACCTATTCTGGCTTTGCTATACGATCGAGAAGGATGTGGCCCTTCGCACAGGACAACCACAGGTCCTCACCGACGAAAATTGCGACCTGACGCTGCCCCCTGGTTATGTAGAGCAACTGTACAGCAGCTTGGGCATTCACCATCATTCCCGAGAACTGCCGGACCATCCGATGTTCCCAGTGGATCTACGCCTGAGCATCATCAAATCTCGAGCCTATAGCGCTCTATACTCGTTCCGAGGGCTCCAGAAGACAGACGCAGAGCTACTGAAGGAGATTCGCGAACTGGACGACGAGCTGGAAAGGTGGAGGATGTCCGTCCCGCCGGAATGGAGACCTACTCTGTCTTTCTCCCACGAGACCCCGGATCCAAACGTCAGTATGCATTCCGTCATGCTACGGCTGAACTACCACCTCTGCATGACAATCATCCACCAGGCCAGCAGTCGATGCAAATCGTGGGTTCAGGGACAGGGCGGAATGATCGAAGGAGTAAGTTCGAGCCTGGCTCTCTCTGTCGAAGCGAGCCGCTCCACATTACTCTACCTCGAGTCGGCGGAGCATGTTCTCGTTGACGGCGTTTTCTGGTGAGTCGTCCCTAATCTTTCGGGGTTTCATGGAGTCTTGTGAATGCTGGCTAATTCGACCAAGGACCCTCATCTTCTACCCTATGTCGGCTCTGATCGCAATTTTCTGCAACGTCCTGCAGAATCCCTCTGACCCGCAAGCCACGAAGGATCTGGCGTTGCTTCGGACAGCAACCTCCATCATGGAACGGGTCTTCTTGCGCCAATTGATGTCCATAGACGAGGTCGTCCACATAAAGATGGTTGCGGATTTCGTGACGGAGCTGTACACGCTCGCAGCGTGCGCTGTTGAGAAAGCGTGGAAGGAGCGTGCGGGACAGGGCTCTTGACTCGTTTATATCTGGTTGAATAGACTTGCGATAGATACTACTTGTGCTGGCCCACAAGGACTTGATAGATTATGGTGGAGCGGGCATTTTATGATGATTCTACTCGGCTTATCATGGACATGGGTTAAAAGCTACGTGATTTTGAAGGAAAAAAAGAGACGAGACTGGTCATGTGCAGGCTAGCCAGCTACAATCCGCAGGAAATAGTTCTAAATATGCGAGACCACTTGATCGGAAAGATATCGATGTTTGTATTGTATTCGCTCCATTGCCAATTGAATAAAAATCAGGAAACCTGAACCAACCAACATTAGCAACTGATCAACATCAAGCAGTGAGATTGAGTGGTGTAGACAACAAGCTTTCGCAAGCTTCATTTCAGATTATAATGCACAGATGGAATCAAGAAGTACTTTGCACTTTCATATGGGGTTGAAACAAAGAGATTGGCATATTCATCATTTGAGATCATGAATAAATAAATAAAGGAAGGCTTACCGAATGGTAAAAACCAGTAGTTGCTTGACCAATTTTGAGCAATTAGCATAACATTTGACCAACAGCTCTACATCCATGAAATAAAACTGCGATCTCCCAATGCTGGCCAAGATGCAATAGTTTAAAGAGGTGGAAATGTTTGGTGAGATTCCGCGGGACGATCTTAAAGCTCGCGAAATTAGTGTGCCACGTGATCACAGGAAGAACTATTTCCCGAAACACAGCAGGGAGATGCATAGTAGCTTAGAATGGTAGCACGCAATCCGCAAATTACCGCCTCCACTCTTGGGGTATTCGCATTAAGATGACGTTTCCCATGGCTGGTCTCGAGCTGCACCATTGGGTGGTCGAAACTGTCTGCATTGGCGCTCAATTGGCAATCGCAGAGCCTACTCCGTACATTCGCGCGTTGATCAGAGTTGACGGGTTTCCCGAGCATCAAGCACGCGCTAGGCAGTAGTGTAGAATACCGGAGAAGTAGACTCTCAAAGCGAGCCGGAGAAAGCTGTGTAGCTGCTCTGGACCATTCCAAGTACCATATGCCGAAGAAAGATGATAGAGCGACTGTCGGCCTCAATCCGTTCCATCCAGAAGGTCCCAAACAAGTCGAGAGCTGTTGGCATCCTGATCGCCAGTAGTAGGCTTTGTCTTATCGTTTTCGACCGACTTAGAGGCAGAATCTACGTCGATTCCCTGAGCTTTCAGCTGCTCCAGAAAACCGTTGATCTCGGCGTGCATCTTATCCATTTGTTGTATCTCTTCTCGGCTCCGATTGAGCTGCTCCTCCATCATCATAATCAGGGACTCTCGCGCTTGGTGTGGTCGATAGAGGTTGAGAAGGTGGTGGGCGTTGATAAAGAGGTTTCGCAGGTCCTCTACCTTTGATTGGAATTGCTCTGGGGCTATCGAGAGGATACCGACAAATTCGAGGAAGTTTAGTAGTAGGGACTTGCTGATTTTCAAAAGATAGTATGCATGGTTGAACGGGCGAGATGGATGCGACGGCTTTTCGGCGTCCGTCTCGGTTGGAGTGGAGGGATAGAGCTGTTCAATACCCTGCTCTTGCAAAGATGGCAGAGTCGTAGATAGCTGAAATTCGCTGTAAGTAACAAACAGTTGAGCGCCTTATATGTAGTGAACCTACACTTTGTAATTCTCCAAAGACGCTGTATTGTCCCGACGTCGGTATCTGCGGGGGCACTAGGAAACGCAGCTCTGGTGGAAGTTGGAGAGCACGCAATTCAGCAGGGGTCCACTTCTTCTTTCGCGGTTTCCCGTCTTCGCCCTTCGAGGCCTCTTTTTTGATCTCCTCCAGTCTTTTGAGATTGTCCGGTGTGAAGTGTTTCCAGAGAGGAGGCGGCGGAGCGAAGGCCGTGAGCGGTCTTGGTTGTCCAGCTTCAGCCATGAGGATTGCCAAACGCTGAATGAACTTCTTAAAGTAAATAAAGGCAAGGCTCAAAACTCCTGAAGCGTGTTGAAATCAACCTCAGCAACTTGCGGTGCCAGAAAGCTGGGTTGTGGTCATTGAAGAGGATGCGGAGATTCGAGCGAGGTGGAAGTGGCCCGTGCTTAAGCGCTGACGACAGCACCACCAGATTGCTCGTGTGCCTTGAACAACCGACTGGCGCTGTCTCGAAGTATTCACCTATCACTACCTCCCCGTTATTTCTCCTTCGTCAATGCGCAGTTTGACATGTCCGGGTGCCTTTTATTCTTATGAGTAATATACTCGATCGAACATCGCGGAGATGCCTCGCAATGGCATGGATACTGGGCCGAAGCCGACTGTAATGCCAGACGCTCTGGCTCGCTTTTGCCAACGTTCATATCCAGCCGTGGACTATATCGCTTTAGCATGTTTAGCAGGGATATGGGTTATGGTAATCCCTTGCTGTATCTGAGGTTGATATACGGTTGCGTTACTGACGGCTCTCATGGTCCGCAGATCCAACTTTTCGTGGACCCATTCCATCGCATGTTTTCTCTCGATAATAGATCTATCCAGTATCCGTTTGCCATCGTAGAAAGAGTCCCTATGGGTGAGCATGCCCGGAGTCTAACACCGGTTTGTCGTATGCTCATGCATTGCCAGTATGGTCCATTATCTATGCCGGAGTCGTCCCACTCCTGATCCTGCTTTGCTGGGCGGCCATTTTCCGCCCCAAACCATACCAGGTTCAGGTCACCATTCTCGGGCTGCTTGTCGCGCTTATGTTGACGTCCCTGATTACGGACATCATCAAGAATGCGGTTGGAAGACCTCGACCCGATCTTATCTCGCGGTGTATGCCGAAGAAGGGCACTCCGGCCAACACCTTGGTGGCCTGGACGGTCTGTACGCAGTCGAACAACCATATACTCCAGGAGGGATGGAGAAGTTTCCCGAGTGGTCACAGCAGCTTTTCTTTCAGCGGGCTAGGATACTTATCAATGTCAGCTTTGGTCACAAGATCGTTGGTAAGCTACCAATGCTAACACGGATGTAGGTTCTTCTCTGGACAACTGCATGTATTCCGCCCTAGAGCTGATCTCTGGCGCTGCATTCTGGCTTTAATACCGATGTTGTGCGCGCTGATGATCGCAATCTCTCGCCTTGAGGACTACCGGCATGATGTTTACGACGTGACCTGCGGGTCTATCCTTGGCCTGATTATCGCTCATTTCTCCTATCGACGCTACTACCCCCGTTGCGGTCTGTTGCCTGTGATGTCCCACACGAGGCTTATGAAATCGTCGGTCCAAATGGCTTCTCTAAATTGCCAAGCGATGAGGAACAACAGATCCCAGAACGAGGGCTAGACTCACGCGGCTGGGAAACCCAAACATATCAGCTGGAGGATCTGCCGTCTCATCACGATCGGTTGCACCATCCCTCCTCGACTACTCCTGCATAAAAAATGGAATAATGGCACCACAAACCTTTCCTTACGAATGGTTTACTCGCAAGCATGCATACCCTGGTGGTATGTGCACATGTACGATGACTACTTGCATATATGTAGAATAGCGTTATGAATTTTTGGAGCAGACTTGCTACCTCACTTATAACTTGGAAATATCTCTATATTGTACATTTGTCCACTCCTTGACGTCGTGGAAATCCATTACTCTGTTGGGACCCCGAATCTCCCCAGAGTATCTTTCCAGTTGCGATTGGCAGCAACCTCTGGGTTCCATTTGATCAGTTCGTGGATCTTTTGAGGAACCTTGCCTTCCATAGCATCGACGATGAGATTGCCAATTGAAGGCAGATATTTAAATCCTGAAAACAATCAATTGGTCAGCTCTTGCCGCGCTTAACATCTCTTGATGTGAAAGTCTTACCTCTGCCGGAAGCGCCGCAGCCCAGGACAAGCGAATGGTATTGAGGATGGCGATCGATCAAGAACTCGCGGTTGGCAGTGTCGGCGCACCAGCAAATCCTGGCGAAACTGAATGGACGGTCTGCAAGCTGTGGCATTGTCTCTTTAAGCAAAGCTCTAACCCTCGTCTCGGCTTCTTTAGGAATCTGAGTCTTTTCAAAAGGAATGCTCATCACTGTTCCGTCGGCAGATTGCACCATATTTGTATATCCCGGATGTTCGTCGCAGATCTTAATCTCGCCACGCTCCTCGTCTGGCTCAAAGAAGAAACCCCTCTCGATATTGAAGATAACCGGAATGTTCTTGTAAAGAGCCCGCTCTTCAGGCTTCAGAGCGATATGAACCAGCGTCCATGCCGTTGGACGGAGCTGATTCTTGAAGTCGAGGAACTGACCGGCGCTGGCGCCGGCGCAGAGAAATGTGCGCTCTGCACGCCAGATCTTGCCGTCCGCCGTAACGGCACCTTTGACATCATTATTTTCAAATATTAGAGTGACTACCCTGCCCTGAGGAGTGCCTGTCACGAACTTCACGCCCATTCTCTGAGCCTCCCTTGCAGCAGCCACGAGCGCATTGCGAGCATGGGCCCAACCAGCTCCTGAACGCGCAAAGTAGCCCTTCCAGCCGGGGAATTCTCCCTGAAGAACACCCTCAGGAGCCAATTTGCGGAATTGCTCCGGCCGTGTCAGTTCCACGAGGTTGGGGTCTTCACCGGGCCTGACACGGACCCCAAGGCGGTCCAAGCCTTCCTGAGAGCAGGCGGACATGAGCAATCCAGTATCGTGGTAGTATGGTTTGAAGAGGGGGTCGTTCTTCCAGCCATTGAACGCCTCTTCAGCCAGAATCTCGTTAATCTCGATTTCGTCCTTGTTGTTGCTGTATTGGCCTGAGGAAATGACTTTGTTCACGTCATTTCCAGCCGAGATGGCCGAAGGAACAGGGTAGGGATCTAGAACGGTCACATTTGTGTATCCTCTGCGTGCCAGATGGAGAGCGGTCGATGTGCCCCAGGTGCCTGCACCCACGATCAAAAGGGAAGATGACTTGGTCACTGCCATGACGTTGTCCTGGTGAGTATGAAAACGAGATATTGAGGAATTCAGGAACACTATGAAAGTCAAAGGAACAACTTGTTGTGTTGATCAGACCAGTCGCAGAATGAGAGTGTCAGACACCATGACGGTCAGCTTTATACGCCCGATAGGAAGATCATGCCATGAACATTGAATAGTTGATCTGTCGCAAGTATTCAAACTACGTGCAGGAAGGTCCACCCGAAGTATCTGCTGTCTTGGAGACAATATCGCTCTTTATCGGGTGTCTTAAGTTGCCTGGCTCTGACCGTGTGAACCACATCTTAATGCATTACCCAATCACATTGAATACGTGGATTTCCCCGCGTGCAGTGTCCGGTGACTCCAAAATGACTCCACTCTGACTTGATAACTCGGATTAACTCCTCAGTGCAATTAAGTAAACGATTCAGCTGTCTTTAGCCTGAATCAATCGAACCCGAGGTCGGCGATGGTTATCGCTATTATTCGCTTATCCGCCGTTTTGGCGTCGGATTACGACCGAGAATGGTATCTTGCTCCACCCAGGTCCTCCATCGCATAGCGATTGTGGTTGGAATTGGTCGACAAGCATGAATGACTGATAGGACTGTCTTATACAACATCTAAATAGAGATAACAATGGCTCTCATTCCTGACTGTTCGCATCAGCCCGTTGAACCCCTATCTATGGTCATCGAACCTTGTGAATGGACAACATAAGCATGCGCCAATAATGATAGGGCCTAGACAAGCCTACCAAGTGTTTAGCATGCGCCGGCTGATAACCTTGGCCAACATCCCGGCAAATGGCGTCTTGGTCTCTCGCTTGGACCTTACCTGACTTTCTGATTCCTCGTGAATGGTCGGTGGCGTCGATCTCAGTTTTGATGGCACCTAATCAATCACCAGCAATCTCGGAGCTTCTGGCGTCTGTCGCTTCTTTTCCCCACACTACGGTTCATGCCGACGCGATCAACGCCTTCGGATAGTTCTGGGGTAGGACCTTCCGTCTACCAGTGTTTCTATCTTTTCTCTATCAAGGTTGGGGTTCCCCTCACTTCGGCCGCGATAGAGCATCCTTGATTGATAACTATCGGAAAAATTGACGAGACGGGCCATGGTATAAAGATGCACAGAATGGCCACCATTGAGGTCGAACATTCTCATCGAGGAACCTCATCCTTTTCTCTCTCCCTCATCATTGTGCTTTCGCAGAGGACAGCATCTTGCGGTATCACTGTAGGATCCAGCTGCTATGGCTCCAATTCAGTCACAGGGTGCCGATGTGGAAGTTTGCCCTGGAGACCCAACATTGCGCGATGATGGCGTCTCTAAGAAGCCAATAACGGCCGAAGAGGCAATGGAGATTGCCATCGGAGAAAGCAGTACAGTCGAGTATACGGTCGATTCGGATAACTCGCCCTATTTGGAAGTCCGGGCTAATGTGCCCAACACCGATGATCCTACGCTACCTATCAACACATTTCGGATGTGGTTCCTGGGGTCGTATTCACCTTGGTAAGCGTAGTTCTTTATTAGCTATCGATTTACGCTGTCCCTACTGACCGAGGTATCGATGCAGATCGGTACGGGTGTCAACCAATTCTTCTCCATGCGATATCCGAGCGTGACTATCACGTCACTCGTAGCGCAGCTGGTCAGCTACCCTGTAGGGTGCTTTTTCGCAAAGGCGTTGCCGATTATGAAGATTCGTCTCTTCAATCGGTGGGATCTGGTCATCAATCCTGATCACCATTTCAACATCAAAGAGCATGCTGTGATCACCATTATGTCGAATCTCAGTTTCAATCAGTCATGGGTGAGTGACTACCGAACTTGAAGCAAAGGGAGCGGCTCTGACAAAGAGTAGGCGAGCGCTATCATTCAAGCACAAAAAGTCTTCCTCAATATGCCGACCCCAGTTGGTTACCAGATCTTGCTTGCTCTGTCTATGCAGCTGTTTGGCCTTGGCCTGGCTGGACTATCATATCGATATATTATTGAGCCTCCGCAGATGGTATGCGGTGTACTCATCACAAGGAGAGAAAGGAGCTAACCACCTACAGATCTGGCCTTCCACGTTAGCGAATGCTGCACTGTTTCAGACACTTCATAGCGGTGCCAATCCGATCGCTGACGGATGGAGGATCTCTCGTTATCGCTTTTTCTTGTATGTCTTCATTGGGAGCTTCTGCTGGTATTGGCTACCTGGCTATATTTTCACCGGACTAAGCACATTCGCTTTCATTTGCTGGGCCTCTCCGAGTACGTCGTCCATTTATCTCAAAAGAGCTGAATGCTTTCTAACAAGTTGTTCCGCAGACAACAAAGTGCTTAACAATCTCTTCGGAATGACAACCGGACTTGGATATCTTCCCACAACCTTTGACTGGAGTCAAATTGCTTACAATACCTCCCCCTTGGTCATGCCGTTCTGGGCGCAGGCAAACGTGTTCGCCGGCTGGTTCTGCGTATATGCAGTGATTGCTCCAATTCTCTACTACACCAACACATGGTTCACTGCATATCTCCCTCTGACCGGATCTGATGCGTACGACAATACTGGCAATGTCTACAATTCGAGCCGAATTCTGGATGCGAGCGGCACCATTGACGAGGCCAAGTATCGCGAGTACAGCCCGATCTTTCTGCCTGTGACCTTTGCCTTGAGCTATGGACTCGGTTTTGCTGTCCTCAGCTGTCTGATCTCTCACGTCTTGCTGTACCATAGCAAGGATATCCTTAGCACATTCAAGGGAGAAAACAAGAAGGATATCCACGCAAGACTGCTCTCCCGCTACCCCGATGTTCCATGGTGGTGGTTCGGAATCCTGACTGTAAGTTCAAGCGTTTCAGCAATCTTCCCTGGCAAAGGCTGACACCCGACAGGTCATCGTCGTGGCGGTAGCAATCATGACTCAGTATGTCTGGCATACAGGGCTTCCATTCTGGGGCCTCTTTATCACCCTTGCCCTTGCGGCAATCTATGTGATACCCGTCGGAACCGTCTATGCCGTTGCCAATCTGAACAGTAATGTTCTGACCGTACTGGGAGAGATCATCTCGGGTTATACGCTGAAAGGAAAGCCCCTTGTGCTTCTTATCTTTAAGGTAAACCGCAACACAACGTTCGTCATGACCAGCAGTCGCTTATGGTTCCTCAGTTCTACGCATACACCGGATTGAGTCAAGCAATGTACTATGGTGCAGATATGAAGGTTTGTCCTCTCGAACTCCACGTCTGAAATACTCCGCTAATATACTGCCTACAGCTCGGATTGTACATGAAGATCCCGCGTCGAACATTATTTGTTGCCCAGCTCGTCGCTTGTATACTTGGAACTCTAACCCAGAGTGAGTTTCACACACGAGTGTTGCTATACGCTTGCTGACGACCTTTTCTCCCAGATGGTGTTCTCATATGGATGCTTGGCAACGTGAAGGATGTATGCTCAAGTGATCAGCCTGACAACTTTACCTGCCCGCAAGGCCGAGTCAATTACAACAGTGCAATTTTCTGGGGTGGTATGTCTTTGCCGATCTTTTATCTCCAGTCGCGAACTGACAGGTTTATTCAGCCATTGGGCCCGCGCGACTATATAACATCGGCCAGAGGTACTCTGGTCTTTTGCACATGTTTTGGATAGGAGCATCCCTTCCCATCATTACATACTTTATCCGGAAGAGATTCCCTAAGTCACGGTTCATCGACGCAATCCACTGGCCGATCTTCTTTGCAGGCACTGGAAATCTGCCACCGGCGGTATGGATATGTCTCCTAGATACGGTCCTTGTTAGCTGACTCATATGAACTAGACCGGCATCAATTATACAACTGCTTTCGCAGTCAGTTTCATCTTCAATAAGGTGAGCTTTCCGCGCTCTAGACAAGATGCCAATCCCGAAGTACTAACGGCTGGCAGGTCATCAAAGGCCGCAGGCCGCACTGGTGGGCCAAGTACAACTACGTGTTGTCCGCTGCTCTCGACTCTGGCGTCGCTGTTGCCGCAATTCTGATATTCTTCGCGCTGATCTTTCCCGGAGTCAGCTTGAGTTGGTGGGGAAATACGGTCAACAGCGGGACAGTTGACGCAAAGGGAACGCCCTGGAGAGAATTGGGTGTGAATGAGACGTTTGGCGAGAGGACTTGGTCGTGAGCGTTATGATGCATATCAATGATTTATGTCCTATTTAAGAGGTTCGCGATGTCTGCTGAAAACAACATTTGCCGAAAATGTATGTATATGCCTCAGGCATACTGAATCCCCGCGGGGTGATAATCGCGTGTTCTCATTGGTGGATGCCCCTGTCGAAGCGGATTCTTCCATCCTTATCGATCCATCCAGAAATAATGACTCCAATTGCGACAGTCGATAAGCTCCATCATCCTTCATCCATCTACTCTAGGCTCTAACTGGACTTTTGAGCGGACTGCCGGATTGTATATACTCGTACCGCCGTGACAAAGTCAATCCGGTGCTCAAACCACCTCGTATTCGATTGTTCAAGAGTTCTGAGATTTAATTTGCCACTGGGCTTCGAAAGAAAGTCCGCAACCTCCTCTTCATCTCCTCTCAAACGCACCAATGGTCCATGCAGCATGAAACTGGCCATGTAAAGGGTCCCCTTCAATCACGCCGGAATTCGGATGCCACGTAAAAAGGCTGCAGACCGTGTGGGTCCGGTCAAGACCCGAACCCGCAGCGGTTGCAAGGAGTGCCGCGCGAGTCGCGTCCGCTGCGACACGCAGAAACCGGTTTGCTCCCGGTGCCGGGACAGGGGTCTCGTCTGCTCCACGGAGCTGGTGCTTAAATGGGAGTCGGAGTTTCTGAGCCGGGGCCTGGCGTTTGGTCGAGCGGGCGTTTGGAGTAAGTCCCGCCCTGCTGGTACGGAGTCTCGAGCGACGGCGACGACGACGGCGTCGGCGTCGTTGTCGGTTGACGAGAATGAGTGGTGCGAGTACCCTCCTGTTGAAAGCTGGGGGTTTGTGAACAGTGGTGTTTCGACCTTTGAGAATCCGCACCAGGTGAATGTTGCCTGTGATGAGTTGAATGGTCTTGTGGTTCGTGCAAAGGACAGGGAGTTGGTGTATGTGGGTGTCGGGTCGCCTTCGTCGGTGGTTGTTGCTGACGATGGCTGGATTGCGCGAGAGGCGTCGAGCCCGACGGCTTCGCTGTCGCTGTTTCCGAATATTCCAGAGTCGAGCCATACGCACTTGTTTGATTATTATCTGCAGCAGGTGTGTCCGCGGACGACGGCCAGTTCGAAACTCGCCTCTCCTTTTGCCTCGGTCATTCTCCCATTTTGCTTGTCGGCATCGCCAACTCTGTTCAAAGCTATTCAAGCGCTGGGTGCATGCCATTGGTCGCGCTTCGATCCGTCGTACAGCGTTGTCGGCCTTCGTTTGAAGTCCGAAGCCTTGCGAGGTCTCCGCCACAGACTCGCTACCGAGGGCTCGTTGACGTGTTCGAATGACCCTGAAGTCTTGGTCATCATGATGATGCTCTGTCTATACGAGATTGTGGATAATTGTGACCAGCGGTGGACGATACACTTGAAAGGCGCAAAGGAGTTGATTCGCGCCAGGAGACAAGAACAAGGTGCACTTGCAAGGTCTCGGGAAGCTCAAGATCCTGTATCTGCTTTTGCTGAGCTCTTCTTCGCTTTCCAGGATGTTATGGGCCGGACTGCCTGCGGTGAGGAGGTCCTTTTCGGGACAGACTACTGGGAAGACAGCCAGCAGAAAATCGACTTGTGGATGGGATGCAGCCCGGAACTTGTGTCAATCTTATCCTCCATCACCGAGCTTAGCCGGACGAGACGGCAGCTTGCGTCTGATTCCGCTCGGGCTGCGTTTGCCCTTCGCGCAGCTTCTCTGGGGCGTAGGCTGGAGACTCTCGTACAAGAAATTGATGACGAGGAAGACGAAATGCTCAAGTCAGCTGCGGAGCTCAAACGATTGGCTGCAGTGCTCTATCTTCATTGTGCACTGTACGGCTCCTCACCATCCACCCCTTTGGTCATTGGTTACGTGAAACGGATTCTGCGGCTGGTCTCGGAATTACTCGATTCTCGATCTCTGGTGAGCATGACATGGCCCATATTTGTGGCCGCGGTGGAATTGGACCCAGTTCGCGACGAACTATGGTCTGATCCTACGACTAAGACTGTTGTATATGGGCGGTCACTAGTTCTACGAGCGCTGGCAGCGATGGCTGAATCAAGTGTTTCGAATGTCGCTCGCACACGGGCTGTCATTATCAAGGTCTGGCAAGCTCGAGATAGTGACATGCTTAAAGGCTCGCCTGTGGACGTAGCAAATGACCACACGAGCTGCAATGATTGGGAGTGGTATGTTGCCCCAGTCAGTACAGCCATGAGTTTGGCGTGAATTATGTCTGGATATGATGCAATGAGATATGTGTCGGTTATGGATTTTCTTTTCTTTTTTCTTTGTTTCTCCTTTTCTCTGTATTCTAGGGTCATCATATGGGTATTCACAAATCAGCTTTCTGGGCAGTATTGCTCTACAATCATATTCTGAGACTAATAAAGTCTGTTTCCGCAAATGAAGGCGATGAGATATCGGAGCTTCATGTCAATTGCCTGAAATGCCTTGCTTGAACGCTTTTTTGTCGCATTCGTATCCTAGTGCCTGTCACTCTTAAGTGTCGACGCAGCCAACAATTGCGGCCGATCCGCAAGCGGGGCACGACTTCGCGTGATTCGCCAGAGCAATCGAGGAACGTCAGCGCGTCCAGCCGAACGAAAAGAGACCCAGCGCTTATCGACAGTCATCCCAACGTCTCCTCTCTTCGAGTACTTCGAGTTGTGTTCTTCTCGACCTTAACAATTGATATTACACTGATTTTGGAGATAGCGGGACCTATCTCCCTCTCACCGCGCAGTAGTCGAGCAACGACACCCCACAGGCGAACGAACACGAGACCGTTTCCTTGACCACCTACTATCAGCGCTTCAAGCTTCATGATGTTTCTTCGAATCTGATCATCGGGCGTGACCTCGAACCTCGGCGTCCATTCGAATTTATCTCAATGTCTAATTTGACGTCGTCCACCCCTCCTTCGACTCTGTCGCACAGTCTCCCCGCTCCGCCATTTGCGAGCAGACTGAGCGAGCAGTTGTCCCAGAGCAAGGAGCAGAGTGAATCCAGCACCGACACAGATTCTACAGGAAACAGGGCGAGTCGCCTCGGAACGCCACTGCGTCCTGCACATAAATCCCGTTCGCTGTCCGATGCGCCAAAACCCGTCTCCGCCTCGCCGTCTGTCTCAGGAGACACGCGCCCCTCCAGCAAAGATGACAACTCCATTACCTCCACTCCCGAAACCCCACGGCGGTCGTCCATGCACTACTCGAACCTGTCATTGAATTTACCCTCGAAATTAGCCGGATCAGCATCCGTACCAAATCGCGCCCCGCTCTCCCCAAAGCTCGACTCATCGCAAATCTACGGCTCCCCGGGCTCGGTACTCCCTCGACGGTCACGAGGACTCGATTTCTCCCGAGCATGCACGAATCTACACCACTCAATCATTGCGGAGTCTTCGCCTGACTCGTCACCAACGGTCGGCGGCCGAGGTGTCACCATCCCGCAACGGCGTGGCTCGCTGGGGTCAACCTCTATGGGTCCTTTCTCGACATCCGGCCCGGCCGACCGAACCGCGATCTCGAGTTCAGTGTCCAGCGTGAATATGATGGAGTCGGATACAAGCAGTAGCGAAGAGGATGACGAGCCGATGATAGGCGATCGGGATGATATGATGATAGCCAGCACCCCCCAGGCGAACAAGATGGTCGGCGGGCCAAGCCCGTTTGCTGCGGGAAACGTCCCTAGTCCTGGAAACGATTGGATGGGTGGGTATTCACAGGCAGCAGCTAGCCTGTTGAGCTTTCAGCGGGCTCGATTCCGCAAAGGGCGTAGCAGACACAGCTCCAGCAGTGCCAGTGGAAATAGCTCGAAGCAAAGTCCAGGGCCTCTCTCTCCGCCGGTGATGAAAAGCATTGAGAATCCTAATGGCGGTTATTTCGGATCGAAACAAGGCCTCGGGCCCCGTCGCGAGAGCCTCAGCCTTGGGACTGGCGATCTGCGCTTGTCAGATCTGAGTGATGAGGGGGAGAGTCGGCACGGTCACAGCTCGGCTGGTGGTTCCGCATCAGAAAGCGGGCCGTTGGGTGTGATTCGGCGGGCTGTGACTCGACGTGGAAGCTTACTTGTGAGTGTAGTGCTCGAGGGAATGATCAAAGCTAACTGTGTCTCCAGCCTAAAACAAAGACATTCGCCCGCATCAGAGCGGCCCTTATGGAGGAGTCTGCTCCTATTGACAGTGAAGCCAAGCGTGAGGCGGAGGTTATTCGGCAGGTCCGTGAGAGCGAACCCGATGTTCCACACACCTCACCAAGCCTGGACGCCTTGTCGTCCCTCACTCCTTCGGTGCCAGGGGTGAGCGCGGAAGAGGGATCTACAAAGCCTGGTTCATTTACCCTGGATGAGCCCAAGTTCAGCGATGAGGCTCATCGAAACTCTGCTGGGGCAGAGTTCTGGAATACATTCGATGAACGCTACCGCACACCACCGCCCTCTGTGCGCACATTGGGACCTTCGGCCATGTCTGAGGATGATATTGCCATGGATATCACGCCATCGACAACACTAGGGTCTAGCACAGCCGAATTCGCTAAACCGTACGATCGACCGGGATCGAGAAGCTCAACGCCACACGCAAGCTTTCCTGCCATGACCGAGATCAATCGGAAGCGACGCCGGGAAGATGATTTTGATCCCAATCTTTTCAAACGGAGAGCCGTGTCTCCGAGCATGAGTGTCCAGAGTAGTCCTGTCATGCCGAACTCGCCCGCGGTCAAGGATACAGGGCACAACATCTGGGGTCCCCCTCCCAAGTCTAACTTAGGCTCGCTATTTCCAGATCGACTGAACGGAGAGCATCCTGCCAGAAATACGTCGAATACCTCGCATTCTGGGCAGCCTCTAAAGCGCGTTGGTCTACAGGGTATGACTGAGGCCAATGATGGTTTCATGAATATGAGCATTGAATAAATGTTCTGTCTGGGTCCAGTTGATAATTCTCCTGACTCTTGCAACCACGAGCTGGACTCGTATATACCATATAATCTCTAGTTGAAACTTCTTGTTGCCTCTTCAGCGTGGTGCATTTGTACTTCAATTGGCGCAGGCCTCCTTTACTCGGCGTTGAGAGAGATTTGTACCACCATTGGCGTTAACCCAGTACTTAGCTTGAATGTGATTTTTACCCTAGTCTTCTATCAATTGTAACGAGATGGTTACCAGAACATTCTCAATGATGCAGTCATAGTCTTAGATGGCTGCGGTCTCTTTGCCCAGGCCACGTGCAAGATAGCCGCTTATCGCGCTAGAGCTCCGTCTCCGCTGACAAGCAATTGAGCTGTTCAGAGCTATCCTTGTTTACATCTTCTTGCTCTGTCCTCTCTTTGATATTTCTGTGCATTTCTGTTTTTGAATAAGACACATAAGAATACATCTTCAGAATCAGCTAATTCTCAAGTCGAATTTGCCGTGATGGGTTCCACAGTTGAGCTCGCATCCTCGTTCATCGAAGGTGCCCCGCCAGGCGAGGTAGGCCTCCATTCCTCCTATTGAAACCTACGTTATTGCTTCCTCTCCAAGCATGCAAAACTAATCAGACACTTCTAGCTCTCTGATGTTGTCGCTGGTATTATCTCCCACAGCCCCTATCTGCAGAACTTCCTCGCAATCCCCTAGGCCAGCTGCGTTCAATCCCGATCAGGTCGTCTTACTGAATCACTTCGTCCACGACAGATATCAAGGCACTCACCTCGAACGAATCGGATATTATTCCCTCTCTTGCGCCTGCATTTGAACGATACAATGAGAAGCAATTGGCTACCGTGAAGCTGCCCGGAGCTAGTCAGGAGGTGGGTCGACGTTGCGTACAACTTCAAGGGGGCATATTCTGACAAGGTGGTCGGGCTTAGGTCATCGTCAGTGAATTCAACAAGTTAGAAGGGAACCGATACTTTGACGTCGAGAGTCAGACGTCGTTCGAGGTGGATCATGTAACACAGGTAGGTTTGATGGTGGAATGAGGGGCGTGTGGAGGCTGATTGGATAAAAGCAAGCGTCTGGTGCGCAGTCATATGTCCTGGAATCGCAAAATGCGGATTTGATGTAGGTTGCCATGTTTCTTCGGATGTTTTATATGGTCTGACCGGTGCAGCAAATCTCTCCTCAAGTCGCTCGCTAAACACGCTGCGGAACATTACCCCAACTGCTCCTACGGCGTCTACCCTACCGAGGACGACACGGCTGTCGCGATTCTACTTGTTGCAAACCGCTACTCGCCAAACAACTTCTGGTTAGTGCCAGCCGAGACCTGGAAAAATGCATGGGCTAACGAGGAACGCGCTGTAGGAACGGTCGCTTCCGCTCCATCTACCAAGTCCCCGTGTCCGAGTCGACCACCGTGAGCGGCAAGATCCTTGTGGACGTGCATTACTATGAGGATGGCAATGTGGCTCTCAACACGAACAAGCCCATCAATATCTCCATTCCCTCGATCTCTGCTGAGAGCATCATCTCCCGCATTGCGGCTGCGGAGCGAGACTACCAGGAGGAGCTTAACCGAGCGTTCGTGCAGATGGCGGAGGGTGCATTCAAGAACCTGCGGAGACAATTGCCCATTACCCGGCAGAAGGTGGAGTGGGAGAAGGTCGGAGGGTACCGGCTGGGACAGGATATTGCTGGTGGAAAGGGGCGGTAAACTGTCCGTGGGATGTACAGATGCTGGAGGACTGCGATTGTCTGACCAACAATGTGTAGATGGTCGTTTACATAGTTATTCTGAAGCGTGAATCCGACTTTGCTAGAATGCGTACTCTTGTTCTTCTACCATTTTCATATTGGCTTCGGTTACCTACTTGAGATTGTGGACTGAGCGCCAAGTCGGCATTCAGGGGTGGAGATGCCGATGCGCCATGAAGACTAACAATTGTCGGTCTGAGATGGACCGATAAGTTCTCGAAGCCAAGTCTTACACTTCAACACAAGGAGGTTGTAAACATTTCCCCTCGCTCTTGATCAGTTCAATCCCATCTCGCTGTCCAACAACATCACAATGGCAGTGAAAGCCCCTCATGCTCCTCCCCTTCAACAACCCCCTCCGCAATCAAACAGTTCTCCAACTTCGCACGCACAGGGGCAGGCCTCGAGAAAATTCTCCGACTCATCCAGGCCCTCGCAACCATCATCATCGAAACCAGCATCGACAATGAAACAGTAACGACCTGGTCAACCGCCAAGTCGCAGTTAGCGCTGAGTTAGTCCCTGTATCTCCAATGCACCAATCTTACAAGTACTTATGCGTCTGCCTCCGTCTAACCTTAGCCCGCCGCTTCTTCCGCTTCTTTAACTTTCTCGATTGTTTCGAGCGGGTGTATGCCCTCCTCGGCAGTAGCAGTAGCAGTAGCAGTTCTGCAGCTGATGGGTTTCCAACGATGCTGTTTGAGCTCGGCCGGTGGACGTGTCTAGGGCTGTATTTTGTGTTGGAGGATTGTACTATCGTGAGTTTCTCTGTCTTGCTCGTTTGTTGCGAACTGGGCTAATGAGTTGACAGCTGCACGCGATGAACGTCTACCCCGTGTACTGGAATAAGCCTGTTATCGTTGAGGCCTACAAATTCTGGTTCTACGCGTTGGCGTTATCGATTGTCGGAGCTTTGTGGGGGCTATTGTTTGCTTCGGGTTCTGCTTCTATGGGTAAGGCGCAGCACGATGAGAAGAAGGGCGGGAGTAGCAAGGAGAGGAAGGTTGGGATCTCCGGACCTCTAGTGAAGCGGATTGTGGTTGATGGCTGTGATTTGATGATTCCTGGGGTATTTTTGGGATGGATTCAGGTGAGTGAGGTTGTGGTGGGCATGGCGATGGTGGTGAGTACACTGGTTGCGGGGAAAGATATTTGGATCAAGGCCCAGCAGGCCTGATGGCGTTGATGATATATGTATTATTGAAGAAATGGTCTGGTATATAGAATTCTCTATCCCTGGCGCTAATTATATAGTGTTTTCCCTGCATGACAACTCGGCTTGTGAGGGGTACGGGGTGGTTCCTCGGAGGGGGAGTATGAGGAGTACTTCCGGGTGAGGGATGAATCGAGGGAGTTGGAGAGGAGAGTCGAGGAACTGGATCAGTCTGAGGGCGCCTGCCGAAGAGGAGATCCGATCACTTGAAGGATCGCATCGATCAGTTGCATCAGAAAATGAACGCAAATAGCAAAGCGGTATCATAGATCTTTGTATACCAATATCCCAATGTTTATACCCCGAGTCTTTCTATCAAGTCTACTCTATTCTATCAAAAACACCATCACAGCTGCCCATCTCTCTCCCTTAACAACTCCTCGATATGCGGATTCAACCAGTACCCCTCCAACTCCTCCCTCCCCATCGTCTTCGCCCCAGAAATCCACCCCTTACACTTCTCACTCCCGCAGTTACAGTTGAACGCCTGATCCATCTCCCACTCCGAACTGGGATAGAAGAACGTCAACGCATCCCCAACCTTCAACGGCCGATCGTCCACAACCCGCACCTCCATCTTATCCATATCAAAGTTCAAACTAGGGTCGCAGGAGTGGTTGCAGAACACCAGGTCCGAGTTCAGCTCGATGTGGCTGTCCCGGCCCGTCTGGACGGATGTGTAGGCCTTCTTGGAGGGCGTGGCGGTGGTGATTTTGGCAAATACGGCGCCTGCTGGGAGCGAGACGAGCGAGGAGGCGCTGCTGCCGAAGGCTTTGGGGGAGCGGTTGACTTGAATGAGCCCGGGGTGAGTTGGGTGTGGGGTTGTTGTTGTTGTACAGGTTGTGGGAGCCGCTTCTTGCACGGCGATGGGGGCCATTGTGCTTGCTATAGAGGTTCAATTGGATCAATTATTTGAGAAATTGTAAGATAGAACCTGGAGGATATCAATTGAACTGGTAGATAGAAAATCAGTTTGTATGTATGGAAATATACAGAAATAATCCTGAACCGGGAGTGAGGTACCCCGCCTACTTATACGAGAGATGAATGTGAATGTGGGGTGTTCCGATTCCTGTCAGTGTTCCCGTCGACGATGGCATGGTTTGCATCATTCATTTACTTGCTTCATGATAGGCACTAGAAAACTCAAAGCAGGTCTATGGCCTTACTCCCCTTCTACCGAGGGTGCAGCGGATATTTGGAATGATGTTCTGTGGGTCCGGACCGACTGAGCTGGTTGCGGCGCCGCGGCGGTCATGGTGCCGAGGTACAATTGTTTAACATCGACCAAGCACAATTGCCAACTGTCTTAGGAATGGCACTATATTAGGCTCCATTAAGGTTCTGCATAGCCTGATAATCTGATTGGCATCTGAAAGGACGAATTGGTCGATCCGGTGAGCATCCACGTGCAAGTCAACTCTAGCAGGTTTCAGATTGACTTTCAGAACCGGGTGATTTACTCCATCAGGATAGGTAATTAGCAATTACGGAGTATGGACATCCCACATGTCATGCACGGCCAGCGATGCATCATGTCGCTATGTACATCATATGCATATGAATCAATTCAACCTGACTTGCAGCTCCTTGCCATCCAACCACCGTTCCAAGTTCTCAGCCGCCTCCTTATACCACCCATTGATCAGCTCCTCCTCCCCATACCCCATATGCGGCGTCAACAACACCTCGCTGCGCCCATCAACACCCCAAGCCGTGGTCCGCCACGGACTATCAGCAGGTAGCGGCTCCGGATCAAACACATCGAGCGCCGCGCCCCGGATCCGACCCGCGTTCAGCGTCTCCAGCAGTGCCCGCTCATCAATCAGCGGACCGCGCGACGTATTCACGATCATGGCCTCCGGCCGCAGCGCAGCCAGGTCCTCCGTCCCGACGATCCCCCGACTCCGCTCAGACAGCACATAATGCACGCTGAGCACGTCCGCCCGCCGCAGGAACTCCCCCTTCTCCGGCACCGCCTCGAAGCTCCCCGGCGGTAACCCCTGCGCTGTCGCCTGCTCGTCGGCCTTGTCCTGCGTCAGGTTCGCCGACCACGCGATGACTTTCATCCCGTATGCGAGGACCGCGATCCGCCCGACCTGCGCGCCCAGCTTGCCGAGTCCCAGCAGCGCCAGCGTCTTGCCGGATAGATTGACCCCTAGCGACCCCTGCCATTTTCCTGCCTTGACGGCAGCGTCGTCGCGCGCGACGTGCCGCGCCAGAGCGAGGATCAGAGCCCAGGTGTGCTGGACAGTGGAGTTGACGCCTGGGGGCCGGCCGATGGTCCCGGCGACGGGGATCCCGCGCGCGGTGAGGGCGGGGAGATCGAGGGATAAATTGCGGTTGCCGGTTGTTAGGAGGAGTTTCAGGTTGGGGAGGGCGGCGATGGTGGCTGCGTTGAAGGGAGTCCGTTCTCGCATAGCCAGAATGGCGTCGAATGGCCGCAGGCGGGCGATCAGCTGCTGTTGCTGCGCGCGGTCGCGCGGGTCGAGGGTATCGGGGAAGTAGGAGATGTCCACGCGGGAGGTGAGGTGGGCGAAGTGCTTGCGGGAGAGGTTTTGGTAGTCATCGAGGATGGCGAATTTAATTCTAGACATTTTGCCGGTGTTATTGAGCAAATTTCTTGATCAATTCGTGCCTTGACGAAGTTGATTGAGGCGTTGAAGATATGTTTGTGGTCATGGACTCATGGCTAAGAGTATACCCGTGAGTCATGCAACCCCGCAAGCTCTTCCGATCTCGGGACATTGGATGGTTAACATGGTGATAGTTAACAGGTTTACAGCCACTTCAGCGGCCTTGCCAACACGCTCAACCCGCCAAAGAGGGCTGTCACGCCCGTAAACACAATCAAGCCTCCATATCCGCTGCCGTACCCGTACCCCGCCCTCCACTTCTCCCCCGCCATCAATGCCTCACTTAACGGCCCACTAACCACATTCCCGATTCCCCGTCCCGTACACAAGAAGCCAAACACAATGCCCGGATCAGCATAGGCATTCTTCCTCCGCACTTCTCCCAGGATAGCAGGCCATGTCGACGTGAATGAGCCCGCAAATAGGCCATAGACCACACAGAAAATGAATAATGGTGCCACACTAACCGCGAACCCCCATAGCAGGAACGTCGCCAACACAGTTCCAACAGTCGAGATGAGTATACACGTCGTCGCATGGCAACGGTCAACAAGCGTGCCCATGATGATACACCCAAAGACCGAAGCAAGGTTCAGCAGGATGACCGTCAGCGACGCGGTGAGGTTATTCGCGCCCAGTGAGCGCGCATACGTCGGGAGATAGATCGTGGGAAGGAAATATCCCAGCGCCTCGATGATATTTCCCGCCTGATAGATCAAAAACGTCCGATCAAGAACGAAAGAGAGGTCGAACGTGCGCATGCTGGATGACGCCGAGATAGGCACGCGCGGTTTCACAAAGTAGAGCAGAGGCGCCGCAAGCACGAAGAGGGTCACGGCCCAGGCACGCAGGGTGACGCGGTATCCGTACGTATTCAGGAGCCATTGTAGTACAACCGGAAGCACGACACCGGCGAGACCTGTTCCTGCCTTCCCTTTTTTTTTAGGATCGTGTAATATAAGCTGCGGAGAGTGGTGGGATACTCACCCACATAATCCCAAACGCTAGCCCCTTCCGTCTCGCAAACCACTCATCCATGAAGATGATGGTCGGCGTGTACGCGACACTCGCGCCGAGTCCGTAGAACACACCCTGGGAGATGATCAACTCCGTTGTGGTCGTGGAGAACGAGCTGAGCGCCAGGGCCAGTGACATGGTCACAAAACCTGCGGGCGCGGCCCAGATGCGTAACCGCGGGAAAGCAAGGAGAATGCCAAAGTTAACGGGGGCAAGGAGGTAGTTGACGCCCTGGAGCAGTGATCAGCAGCTGGTCTCTGTCATATATCAGTGGAGTTACCATTGTGCATGTTCCGATGATGGCGATGTTGCTGGACCCTTGGAAGGGCTCATGGGTGCTGTAGTAGTCCTGGAAGATACCAAAGGCGAAGGAGAAACCTGGACATGGGATTAGGTTTGCAAGGAGTGCCCGATTGTGTAGGTGTAGGAGCTTACCCCATATAAGGGCCTCTATCATGAAACATGCCGCTAGGAAAAGCCAGGCGTCTTTCCCGCCGTCCATCGGAGGGAGCTGTCGATTTTGCTCGTGGTCATGATCCTGAATAGAGTTTAAAGATTGCTCTTCTGAGCGTAGGCGCAGTTGAATGTCTGATTCCATGTTGACTCTCTTTTGTTGTCGATATGTTGAAAGAGTAAAGGTCCAAGTTGACTCTGTTGAGTCAGATAAATAATGTTCGGCTTGTCAAACCGAAGGGCGTGTGGGTGGGTCGGGTCGATCACCACTTTCATTCTCACGTCTCACTTCGGTAACTGATTCCGATGAAGAGGACTTTTCCTGACTACTTATTACCCGACACGGACGTTGGACCCCATAGTTTGATGGTGTCGGCATCACAACGGTGATTTCTTCAAGTTAGCTTCAGACTTGATGACAAGAAAGTGATAAATATAAACATATATGCCGACTACTTGCATGGCGGTACCCATATTGATGAAGAAGCAAAAGGACTGAAGCCAATAAGAGGATGTTCTCAGGAAGTACTTTCGTCGCGGTGCTACCTAGCAGCAGAGATTATGTGAAATTTTTGTGCTTCATTATATTAATACACTAATACACTAGGTGTGATTCAAGGCGTCTCAGCAACATTGTACACCAACTTTTCTCCGCTGACCTTGCCCTCTCTCATGAGCTGCAGGCCATTCAGAACACCCTTCAGTCCATCCGGAGACACCTTGGGCCGGTGCGGCTTGACCTTGCCCTCTGCCAGCAGCTTCTCAGCGAGAGACCAAAACTTGCTCGCAAAATCAAAATCTTCCGCCTTCGCGGGGAATTCCTTGTCGCCAAACGTGAACCTCTCACCGACAGCAGTGTAGCCCAGCGTCCAGCGATCGTTGACATTCTCGCGCTTAATAGGAACAACCAGAAGAGCAGTGTACTCTCCTCCCTCGGTGCTCAGTGCCTCGTCGCAGAACTTGGTGCTCGACTCCAGCGAGATCGTGTCCAGCACATACTTGAGCTTGTTGTCGGTGGCCTTGCGGATGTCAGCCGCGGCGTTGGGGTCGTTGTAGTCATACACTGCATCGGCCCCCAGGCTCTTGACGAGCTCAAAGTTGCGCGGCGAGCACGTCGTCAGCACCCGGTAGCCAGACAGCTTGGCGAACTGGATAGCCAGCGTACCCGTGGCTGTTGATCCGCCATAGATCAGGAGAGGCTGAGCATCCTTGATCGGCTCGGTTGGCCAATTGAGTTTGAGAGACTGATAGAGCGATTGGCCGACGGTGGTGATACCGACGCCCAGCGTGGCGGCTTCCTGGAAGCTTAGGCTATCGGGAATGTGGATTTGCAGATCGCCCTTGGCGACAATGTACTCGGCGAACGTGCCGTCCTCGGGCTGCACGGCGTTGGAGCCGTGGGCGAACCCGCAGACTCTGTCGCCCTTCTTGAAGGGCTTCTTGACGGCCTCGCCGACTTCCTCGACGATACCGGCGTAGTCGCAGCCGACTAACACACCCGGAGGAGCCAGGTAGTCGATGTGCTTCCAGTCTGTGGGGTTCAGGGCCACACTGACGGTCTTGATGAGGATGTAGTCATCGCGCAGCTTGGGGATGGAGCGGTCGGTGACCAAGTTCGCCTGCTTGGGGTTGGTGATGACGACTGCTTTTTGGGTAGACATTTTGATTCTGCTATAGACTTTGGTGTTCTACTTCTTAGGAAGTGGTCAACGACGGAAGAACTTATACGAATATGCTGCGAGGTGACGCTTACCAATCCTTTAGAATTGAGGGTAGGTAGAGGCCGGTGGGCCCCATTACGTATTGCATCATGACGATCAATCACCGATCCACTACCGTGTTACACAGTGTCCGAAGCTTTCAAGGAGGTGGAAACTTTGTGCCTACTAATGTAACAATGCAAAAGCCTGAGACATACATTCTAGGCTTTTCCATCAAGTGATTGCTAATCAGTTGCAGATTGGACATAGGGGTGGAAATAAGGAACATACCTCGGCATCTCCGGGATCGCCGGATTTAAGCAGCGGGATTACCAGCAGGGTGTGCACGCTCCTGGAGTCCCTGCACAAGCTCATGCTCTAACCAGGAACAGCCTAGTCTCCGCCTAGGTCGCGCCTTCCTTTTTGGAATGTGGAGTATTTATACCACGCGAGGATGTTCTAGTCTATACTCTGCATCCGATGGAACTTCTCTAAGGCTTGTTTGCGAAAGCAATATCATTCAGATGACTAGCTGGCCAAGAATATACATTTTGAGTTCTTGGAAGCGATGATCCATTAGTGAAGGTCTCATAAGTTAAAAATTGTACGGATAAGATTTCGTGAGCGATGAGGTCATAAACCCCCAAAGGCCTAGTGCTTCCAGTGTTGACTTGAATCATAACACCCTTCTTTCGAGTACCGGAGTGAGACAGGTCCATTGAGGACCCATTCAATTGGCATACCAGTGATTGGTCCTGTCAGAAATTGCAGCAAGACGATAAGCGCGGTGTAGGGGTGGCTTCGTCTTCCGCATCAGGGAGCATTACATGCGATACTGAGCCCCCTAGCAACCAAAGGTAAGAGGAAACAGACGGAACAACGAGGAATGTCTTTTCCAGTGGTAGTTGCATCGTCCGACAAGCGAGTCATGTTGGCGTTGAGAGTCATTCTGTGTTCTCGGGATACAGCTTGTAAATGAAGTCGCAGAGCTCGTTGAATAGAAATCAACAGGGCGTGATCCAGTTATTCGAGGTAGCAGGCATGGGGTTTGCCGCAGCCGGTATGAGGAGGAAGTGATTTAGAGAGACGACAAAGGTACGCGATATTCAGAGGACATATCGCGTAAATCAATGAATCTTCCGCCAGCACGTTTCTCGGTAGGCGGGGGGATATCAAACAGCAGCCACGTTGATATGCCTCGTGTTGAAGAAGGTTTTATAACCATAGCTCGCTTGTTCCTGAAGGGTTTTGAGACTGCAGCATCGGCTGAGCACGAACAAGTCAACACCATCCCTTTATTCCGAGTATTCTTGGAGTCCTCGAGCGCGGCGTGGCCGGTTTACTTACTTGGAAAAAGGCATACAATCCAAAAGACGACAAGGGGTAGGCGGAACCAATGCGGTTCGCATATGGGACCGAGTGACAACGCTCGCGTTGATCAGCTCAGAAACTGTTGTGAATTTTGACGTCAGATACAGACCTTGTCGAGGCACATAGACGAATTACCTGGCTGGTGTGTGCTCAGACGAGCGCGATACAAATGTTCTCAAACCCTCGTGAGCCGGCGAAGCGATATGTCTGCCTTCAGGCATTCTCGTCCTCAGGCACCAATGCCTCGACTCTGGACTTGGACGCTCAACAGTGACTGGGAAGTCCAAGGCTGCGAAAAGGGTAGAGCCCTTCAACCGATTTCATCGGAGGCATGGATGAGTTACCCAGCGACACACAAAGCCTCCCATTCGTATTGGTTCCACTCATCATCGATGTTGAATTTGCAGGCGAATTTCTCCA